TGTCTCTGTAAGGAAGACTTCATCTTCAATTGATCAATGCTTCCAGGAATTTGATAATTCTTCATTTAGATGACTCTCTCTTTCTCTCTCTATGCAACCTGAACTTATAATCTACTCATTATCAAGCTTTTGAAGTAGATGTACTAGATATGTACTTAATGTTAAACTAAATGAGGCGATTATGTAAGCCATAGACTTATGTAAAACGCCTCTTAATCTATTTGCTTTCTTTAGTAGAACAAACAATATTAATTATATTTTCCTAAATTAAATTAATCGCCTAAATAGAAATAAAATATTTGTAAATTATTAAAAGTATAAAAATATTAATCTATTACATATAGCTTGTAAAAATTCTTAAAAATACATAGTAAAATTTCGAACTTTAGTTTTTCTTTGCCAACAAACAATGTTTTAAAAAAAGTTTCAAAAGATATTTTAGTTAATTTTCCTATATATTTCTCTTTATTATTATAATTAAAAATTCCAAATAAAATCTTAAAGAAAAGCAGATTTTTCAGAACAATTTGCAATTTGCATTTTAAAATATTAATATAATTAACTTTACACAGTAATTTTAATCTAATCGATTTCTTTGATCATCGATTGATATCTAACTCCAATTAAACGCGACACTTTAATTAAACCCACTTAAAGTCCTTTTTTTATTCACGTTCAAATAATGTCCCGCTCGATTTGGCGACTTGACAAATATGTCACCCGCTAACATAACTGTTATTCCACCATAAGAAACACATTGTTTAATGATTTTTCGCGCTTTAACAACCATGCACAAATTCCCTTCGCTGTCGGACAGGTATAGAAATATTTCCGGAACAGACATGTCGTTATCTTCGCGCATTATTCGACATCATTTCTCTTCTTTCATCCTCGACAGTTAATGCCTTTAATTAATTATAGAGCCAACCCGCTTTGAGTGTAAACGCTCGATTGATTGAGTTTTGTGGATTAACGGTGTCCTGTCAAATCCGTTTCCACACCCATCTCCGACCCATTTCGACGTTACACTCCTGACTAAGGCTTCTTCCATGGCCAAAGTTAGCAATCGACTGTGAGTTTAACAGATTGAGACACGACAGCCGACCGATCTTTTTCTCTGTTTCTCTCGCTCCTCACTATTTCTTCCAATCCATTCTTCTCTCTACCCACTTCCTTCCAGGATTCCCCATCTTGCTCCTGGCAGCTTAAGGGTCGATACTACCATCGCACTCTACTTTCAAGCTCTAGGCACTTTGCCTTTTTTTCTCACCTCCCACCTTCGGGGATGAAGGCCACTTACATGGGCTTTTTCTCTTTGACCTACTGCTGCCACCGGCACGCAGATCTGTGATCCCTTGACACGAAGCACGATAAGCGGTAAATTAGGCGGCCCTTTTAGCTCGATTCACGCTACAGACACAGCGGTGATCAGTTCGGTCAGTCTATTAGATTCATTAGATCATATTTTACAATCGATCTCGAATGGAGCTGTGGTCTTTGATCTAGTTTGTTTGTGGAAAATGTCGCCACGTGACATTGCTCTCGGCATACCGCGTTACAGCCTTTCGCTATCGTTGGACATATCTTGCTCATTTTTTTTATAGATTTTTGAAAATTTAAGTTTCAAATATAAATAAAAACATGATAATATATTTTTGAAATGTCTAATTGAAACAGAATACTTATAGTTTTCCAAACACAGACGCATCGCGAGTTCATCTCGCTTTCTTTCTCTCTCTCTCTCTCTCTCTCTCTCACGCAACATTATCGTTCTATTTTTAAATTTTACAAAGTGTCATATAAATAGACTTGTTTTATGAATCGTATGGAAAAGTTCAATTTTTGCAAAAAAAATTGATGTATATGTGCGGACATCAGGTTGCATATAGAGCCGAAATAAATAACAAAACTCGCGTTGCACTGTCGAGAGCGATTTTACTCAATTTCTATATAACATGAAATTTTTCTCCTTATTTTTTTCTCTTTGCGTTCGTCCACTTTTTGTTTTGACATGCTACCATTCGTAGCGAGTAACAATAAAAGTTTACACAGTAAAAGTCCACACGAACTGGTGGTGGCCGCCGACATATTTGGAGCATCTCGGCGGCTGCTTCGCGAAAACAGTGAAGGATTGTTAATTATTCCACGACACTTTCTGACAAGTGCAATCTGATAATGAGTCACACAGAGTTGCTTAAACTATATTTTATACATTCTATCTGACTATATGAATGCTTTGAAAAATTTCTTTGAAAATAATTTTACATATATCACGTCGATTGTTTTAATTATTTTTATCATAAGAGTAAAGGAGATAATGTAAAATCTACGAGAACGTTTCAATTTAATAATTGAAAATTTCTCTTTTTTTAAACTTTCTGTTTTCTAATTTTAGAATTTTTATTTTATTTTTATCGTACGAGTATGAGTTAAAATTATTAATATCCTGAATACGGTCGAGTGGATGAGACAAGTAATCAAATATGACTAAATAAATTTTATTTATTGCACATTAGCTACTTAATTATCATTAGTCCAATTAAATATAATCAACCGTATAAAGTGAATTATTAATTTGTCACGTTGTAAAATAATTTCACCTCGTTGAATTAAACAGTCTTAATTGCATATGTGTGAATGTGCGGTAAGACTACTTTTCATTTATTAACGAAGGTCGTCAACGAAATGTAAGGGAAGAATCTTGCGATCACGGAAATGTTTCTCACTCGGAGAAATAGATAATGTCGATTGATCGACTACTTGTTGAAATAACGATGATCCTTTTAACGACAAGGCTATCGAGCTCTCGAATTCTCTCACAGCTATCTATAGAGCATGTACACCCTAAATTATGCATGACCTGTATACATGGCGCACTGTGGATTATATACGGCGAAAACGGACGTGCATCATCTATACATGCAAATGTTTTGGTTCTATATGTATTAATATTTCATGTCCATTGGTTTAGAGCACGCCAAATTCACCTGGTAGCAGTTATTTGCTTCAGGTTGAATGCAAGTTAATTTTCTAACGAGGAACTCGATTAAGTATCGAGAAGTATATAAAAAACATTAAAAGTTCGTTGAAAAATTCGTTTAATAAGATTACATCTTCCATAAAATTCTCTCTTTTAGAAAAATGAATGCATGGAAGCTAATTGCATTTTTATTTATTCTTTTAAATTTCAATTTCGCAACTTTGCCTTCAATATATATATTTTTCCATCGAATGCATTTCTACGCTCTGCTGCATGCACATCACTTTAGTAGACTATGAATGGTCTACGCAGCGTGCAATATGAACAATTATTTTGTTACACATATTACATACATCATTAACTGACGTACTTTATTCATAAAATAAACACTTTATTTATTAGCATATACACGCAACACATCCAAGTCGCACATGTTGGCTTCGTAAACGTTTTCTAAACGTATCTAATATCATTAGTATTAGTTTAGGAAAAATTAATTAATGAAGCCAACATGTGTTACTTGACATTAATTCTTAAATATACTCTATAATTCTTCAATTTTTATTTTGTAAGAAAATAGATCGGACCATGCAGTCATAAACAAAAAGAATATAGTTTAGTTTTAATATTAAATAAATTTCCCCTTTTACAACTATTTTTGCTCTTAAATTTATTCTTGAATTGTGTAACAATATTTATCGAGTGCATACGTATATATGGCATTATTTAGTTCTTAAATGAAATTTTAATGCAATGCACTCTGCCTTTTTTGAAATCTGTAGTATCATAAAAAAAAACCTGACACTTGTATTTGCATTTTGTGCGAGTCAGTAGCATAATAAATTAATAATATATTGATAAGAACGTAAAAAGGACTTTGACAAGCTGCCAATATAGACTTATAGATTTGAACGGCTTCCAAGTAAATTAATAAATTATGTTTATCTATTTTTAAAGTTGGAGATTGTAGAAAAGTAAGTCTGTAGGGTAAAAGGTAGAACGTAGCTGCATGCGATGAATCTTGAAACGTATCTTGCGATTATCTCGGAGTTGTGTTTTCAATCTCGTCGGTTCGCGCCAGCATTTTCCAACGTCGTGGAAAATCGACGATGCGAATAAAGAATATAAGTTCGATACTCGACGCGCACGCACCGTCGACGATTTCGTATATATGTATAAACGTCTCGCTTGATCTGGCGTAAAACAAGAGCAAAAGACGTCGAGAGCGAACAGCTATACGAGGACATTTCCGTATTTCCTGATCGCAATCGGAAGCTCGACGAAGCGCGGAATTTGCAAGCGCTGCAAAATTTACTCGAATGCAACGAGCCTGCTCTACAATAATGTACACTAATGCACATAGCAGCAAAGCTGACTCAATTTCCAACATAAAACAATTCGGACACGCTAACGTTGTAATTAGGGTGGTTAAATATCATTTTCGTTTACCTATCTACGCGCGATATACCTATACACTTTTTTATCAATTATTATGTAAAATAATTTTTTCAACGCCAAAAAAAAATATATATATACGAATAATTTCTGATAAAATTTAAATAAAAATGATTTCTCTATGTCGCGTGTGTGCGCGCGCGTCTCTGATAAATCTTTTAACAATTTCGTCATGATTTTTTTAATAACGACAAAATGGTTTAGGTAAATCCCTGGTTTTTCATAAAAAAGAGGCACATTTTGCATATTCATATTTTATGATCAAAAGCAAATTGTGATGACGATGCGCTTTTGACAGGCAACGCAATATGGGCATTGCATTCGTTCTATAGCATTCGCCCTCTTTAAAAAAAAAGCAGGACAAACCTTAATAACGATATGCTTATCGAATTATTCAGCGTACATACATACATGCATTTTACATAGAGACATGCATTTGCATCGCGTCGCGAAGTGACGGGCCACGTTTTTGCCATAAATTCGACTACGGGATGATCGCATAATTGAGAGCTAAATGCCTCGCGCTTCTACCCTCATTAACCTGCATCTCTGGTACTGTGTTCAGGCAAGGTGGACGAGAAAGCGACGCAGCTGCACGCGATAGCTTCGCTGAAGGTGCTGCTGGATGCCACCAGGCCGCACAATGGCGCCGCGACGTCGACCGCCGCCCATTATTCCGGCGCTCCCTCGAAGGAGACGACCCTGCAGCTGCAGCAGGGCTCGCAAGGCACCACCACCACTACCACGACTACGACTACCACCGCCGGCACCACCGCCGGCATTCAGGAACTTCCTAACGGCGGTATCGCCGCCGGTCTCGACGCTGGCCTCGAATCGGTAATTGTCGAATGCAAGAAATACCAACACATCGGAGATCCCCGATCGATAGATCGACGTCAATCGGGAGATTGTTAATTGAACAAAAATGCCCGATATCGTGATCACCTCGTTAAAGTATGTATGGCGATTTTTTTTCGATCGTAAGAGATAATTGCTGAGAGATAATTAATGATTTTTCGATTATAAATGCAGCACTTGAGTAAAATCTTCTCTCTGAGAAGAATCAATTAGCGATAGTGGCTGACTTTTCAATCGAGTCTTAGTGGTATATTCAGTGAAACACGAGACGGCAGAGTATTTTTAATAAAATATTCACTGATTTTCGATGAAATTTTGTCACTCTTTTAATCAATAACATTTTCATTGATTCAATTTGAGAGAGTATATCTTTTACGAGATTCTCGAGTATACGGCACCTTTACAATTTTTATGATAGGAGAGCAACGAGAGAAAATGAAAGTTTTTATACGAACGCTCACACATTCATCGCCGTTTAATAACATCAATATTCTCCGAGTTATAAATGAGCCTTCTCGTCGTAGAAAACGTATTTCTAATAATGAAGGAAGGAACCGCATTCTGGCTTCGGATTAGGATCCGATTCGTTAAGTGGTGTATTCGGATCCGAGAGATATTGGAATAGTTTCGTTTCTCTCGCCGCGCTGTGCCATCGTAAAACAAAGAGACCGAGAATACATTGATTGGAATTTGTCGTTTCACTTTTCTTGACAAAATGTTTGAGTTGCTCGCAGCTTATTCGTCGTCACGTTTTTTCGTTTAAAACGCGAAGCGTTTCGAATACGTTATTTTTCCGCGCGCATGAATATTGCAAGAGAAAAGAGTAACTTCCAGCTCGATAAATAAGTGCAATAAACTAATTTTGAAAATTAGCGCAACTTCTTTCGAGATGGCCGTCGTGTACATCAGAACACGCTTTGCAAAGGGCACGTTAGTTCGATACCGTAATGCTCTACTTTCCATTGTAAAATGTTTGCTTCTATCATGACTTGGATATCCTGAATTAGAATAGGCAGTTTAATTCCCGCAATACTGCGAATCACGCAAAGTAATCCTTTTTAACTTGTAACGGTGAACGTCATTCTGGATGTGATATTTCGCTCTATATCTTTTGGAGCTCTTTCTCAATTACAGGCATCTGTGTTAATAGAAAATTCACGCTCTCTCATATAATTCAATCGTAATCATTTTTACATTTTAATTATATATTACAAGGAGAAAGACTATAAATAGAATATAATTCAGACTGAAAAGATTCGTGCCTCAAAGTGGTGTGCTAAAACGCGATAAAGATTTTTATATAAATAGACTTAGTTACTTAATTATATATATTACGATATTTGCTTGCATATATTTTTCAAGCGATACATTATAATATAGTTACATCGCTATTGAAAGGGAGAGTTTAGAAATGGCAATATTCCTCTATATTTAGCTGGTCAAATGTCGTCGTAGCTCGTAAATGTCCCCCAAAATAACAGAGGCGATAGTCCAAAGTCAGCTTTACGCTAACTACGTTTGCAGCTACAAACACGCACGAGTATAAATCGACACGAGGTGTTCATCCATTAAGTCTTATCGGGACAACCGCAATTTTCACCCGACCCCGCCTCGAACTTGTGTGGTTGTAAATCAGAGCAACGCTCGATATTTGTCGGTTTCGAACTTTAAAAGTTCATCCAAGGTTATTTTGCCCACGTCGAACTCGGCCGAGTTAAGGGGTGAAATATGTGAAAACGGAGGCTCGTCAACGTCGCGATATCTCGACATGGGAAAATCCAATCGGATCTCGTAGGCGCGATTGTCGTCAGAAGGGAAAACAGAACGAAATTAAAGAGCAAAGGAATCGATAATTATTTTTTATCTATGTCGAATAACAACGATTCTTTCGGGGGTGAGAATTTCCTTTCCCTCGGGTAGGAAAATGACTGACGAACACGATCGATACAATAAAAAAAGGAAAAAACGCAACAAACGACATCGTTCTTCTAAACTTTCCGGCTGTTCGTGGGATGATATCAGAAAGAATTGTACCGAGAATTCTATGTGTGGCGCGAACAGAGATAAATATTCAATTATTCTTCTCGATAAGGTGATACTATGATAAAAGCACGTCCTCGAAACCATGATTTCCAGTTGGAGCTGACCTCCGACTTTACGATAAACCGCCTGATGGCTACATTTATCTATCTTTTCGCGTCTTTTATCGTCTCCGAAAAACTCTAAAGAATTCTATACAATTCGCGACATTGCAAATTGTATAGATCCAACGTGCACCGTCAAAGTTCTGTTTTAGCTCGCTTAAACATTCTGTTGACGCATCGAATTCCACTCTTAATCGCGAAACAAATTTTCAACAAAGTGCATAGCAAAACACAGGTAGCTGATCGTGACTCCAATTAAAAGAGAATGTCCCGAGGAGCGACGACAGAACAGATCGGTGGTTGGCCGCAACAAATTGCCATGTCGTACAGGAGAACCCTCGGTTCAAATCGATACGTTGCGTCTCTCGTGTCATTTTCTTGCGTCGAACATATTCGAGCTTTTATCGTTGCATTAACATTTATCACGTCTAGCGATGAAGAACGGTGAGTGCAAAGTGCTCACTTAAAAAATGCATCGCGTATAAACGTGTGACACGTACCTATTCTTTGTATTCTCTCTCTCTCTCTCTCGAATTTTATCCGGCATCGCTCTTCGCCTTTTACGATCCTTCGACTAACAATAAGATCAACTCAAAGCTAAATTTCTTGATCGAGATATCTCAGTTCTCAGTATGCAATTCTATTTTAACGTTTATTTACTTTTTATAACGTTATTTAATCGCGGCATAAAAGAGGAGTATGAGCTACGCGACTCGCGTAAATACTTCATTTCATTATTACTATGAATTGTTTTAAGTTAGGTATAATGAAAAAATAAAACAATAATATTTTTCATATTATATAACGTATGTGATTAATTTTTTAATTAAAAATTTAATCACATACTTTTAACGTGACGTCAAACGCGACAATTAAACGTGTAAAATTTATGGTATAGAGAAAAAGCCATTCTTTTTGTCATAAAATTTGTCTTAAAGTCGGAGGCAGGAAATATAGCTTATGAAAGCTCCGGACTAGCTTAATGTGAATAAAGAGGACTCGAGAGCTTAACGTTTAATCGTAAAAAAGACCACAATAATCGCCATTGTTACGAAAAGAACTCTTGTTCTCGCAGTCAGAATGACGCAAAGGAGCATCGGAATGGCGAAACAATTTACCCGGGAGCAGAATGCATAATCGTCGCTTGTAATTTGGAAAGTTATTCTGCGGAAATATAAATCGGAAATCGACTAATCCAAAACTCGCTCTTTCTCTCTCTCTCTCTCGAGGATATTAGCCGGCTGCTAGTATTGCGACGCCAGGATGGACAGCAAGTAGTCTCAGGCGGCTTTGTCCTAAATGAGCGAAGAGAGGACCTTTTCATTTTGAATGCATCGGAGAATCTGGGTCAATGCTGCAAGCCCACCCGTCCGATGCTGCACGTTGTGGATTCGCGAGCGCGCGCGCATTTTCCACGCAGCGAAGTCACCAACCGATTTTCCGGATTTGCGGGAACGAAAGACTCCCGGGTTCATATAATGTTTCGGTCCGGCGGCCTCATTAAGCTTACAGCAAAGTAACGAGATTCAAGATAAATGGCCTATGACGATATTAATCAAAACTAGACTGGAAGCACAAATTTTATCTCTTCGCAATTTTATTACGATCGTGTAAATACTGATGATATATAATTTTTTTTATATATACTGCTTATAATTAATTGGTCTTGATCTTTTGGACAGATGACAATACTCTGCTCTTTGAACAAGTATACATGTTTTTTAATAATAATCCTTGCTAATGCGGAGACATTTAAAACAAAGGATTAGTCTTGGAACCGGATTTATTTCGTTCTTGAATGACGGCGACTGAAAACAATGGTAGTTTATACAAGCGTTCGCGATGGCATTGTGCAGCGGTTTACTCAGGACCGAATAACGGAAAGACACTTTGTGCCTTTGCTGGAAATTCGTGGTTTTTAAAAGGGTTCCTCGAGCCTTGCGGCGTTCCCCGATAATGCGAATAAACATTTCCCTTGCATTCTTAGCGGTGAAACGTTGCTGTTTAAACGGCGTCAAATAAACAAATTGAACATTCGGGCATCTTGAGCGATTAAAACAAAAACACAATTTAAAGAGAATTTAATTCCTCCATATATGTTTATTCATAGGGCGAAGAGGATGAACCTCCAGAGGCCTTGGACATGGGTTGGCCCAGCAGCCCGAGGAAAAGGCTGACTTACATCTTGGTCGCGCCAATTTTATTTCCTCTTTGGTTAACGTTACCAGACACGAGAACACCTAGAGGTAACCAATAATCACCTTTCTATTACCCGTTTGAACTCGAACACACGAAGACTACAATAAATTATTTTTTACTCACATTTCTCGGTTTGTAAACTTTGTCTTTTCTCTGGTCCAATTATTAAAAATGTTTGCACGTAATATGTATGCAAAGAAAGATATTATGTTTTAATTCTACGAAATTAAATAAGAGTAATTTATTTATTGTAGAATAGATTGATGTGATTTGAAAATTAGACGAGACTAAATCTGTTTGTGTTTGATTGATGCAATAGACAGCGAATTTGAACCATTACATACCTGCTTAATGGTCTTTTCTTGAAATATTTTCATTCGCTGTTGACTGCTCGAGCGATATTAGGTTCCGACAAATAATCGGTTCTGAATAGAGGCAGATGAAAACTGGAGCAAAGACAAAAGCAGATCCTTTGTAAAGCGCAAGGGCGATTAAGCAGTTTCATTTGCATATCTTGCGTCCATTGCGAGACCCAAACTCCCTCCTTTCTGAAAAGTCAATTAAGATATTTATGAAATGAATGTAGAAACCTTTAAAAGAACATGAAAAAAATTAATTCTCCAAAAGTATTTCTAATCGATAAATATTTCCATAAACTTCATATTTTTCGTTCTTTATTTTCATTGCTCGAGAATAACGTTAAGAAAAGTACATATGTTAAGATAATTTCAAGTTTAATTTTACTGCAATAACTCGTTATTTATATTATTCGGTTTCACTACGATGGCAAATATAATCGAGAATATTTATTTACGTATATTTCACTCGACTGCAATAAATTGTTCATGCTATGATAAATATTTGATCTGTATATTGCATCTCTTGCAAATAATGAGAATCGATAAGATTTAAGAATTTTCGCGCGATAATTAAACTATTCAGCATTAAATTTTATATTTGCTTGTGCATTAATTATTACACCTAATTTATCTATGTTGATAAAAGCGCATAAAAACGACCATTTATTACCGGAAATATTATCCAGAGAGAATGAAAAAAGAATATAGAGAAGTTTGTGTGTTTCGAATGCGCCATTAATTAGGACCAGAACTCTAGGGTCGGGGAAGGTATGTGTACCTGTCTTTTTTTTTTTTAATTCGCTGAAAACGTCGGGATCAGATTAAATCCTATCAATCAGCGCGAACGTCGCGCCATGTTTTGCCCGCCCGGTATATATATATTGACCCCCGAGGTAATATTAGCTCAACTCCGGGAATTTGGGATTCCGAGCCATCGATTTCGCCGAGATGGAACTCGTCTTTCATCAACACACAAGAGACTAATTAAACGGCATTTATGCCTAACTCACCATTTAAGTTTATATTTCATTGTTGTGTAACAATATTCGAAGATCAGCGGAAAAATAAAAATTAGACTTTTTCTCAACTTCCACTAATGGCTAATCGCGGATTATCGCGCGGCAAAAACATTACAATTCGGCCTTATCGGAATCGCGAGGACGAGTGAATCTCTATTGGATTTGGCATACGCGCCCGCGTTCTAATTTAATAATAAATGTTAAGATCGACGTCAACACTCGCGTTATTCAAAGCATCTCGCAGCCGCCATTTATCACACGCCTCCTGCATTATCTCGGCCTAATAACACGCTTCTATTGCGATATATCGCACAATACCCGCGACGAAAGATGATATTGACACGTTAATTTCGCATCGGGGACTGATTGTTGCACACGTACGAATGCACAGATAGTACGTACGTATGTACATACTCGTTCTATTGTCAACTAAAATTCCGATACGTCCTTTGAATTTCAGCAATCTCGGCTCTTTGATTACCGATCTGTTAATATGAACGTACCGCGATCAATTAATGCGGGATTGTACGCACCGCAAAACGCACAAGCGAGTCAGAGATCGCTCCTAAATTATATATATATATATATATATACATATATATATATATACATATATATATCTATTTATTTTTGTGTCAATATTTTTATAAAAGTTTATTCAAATCGAGATATTCCAACTTCCTTCTTAATGTATTCAAACTTCCCTCTTAAAATATTTATGATATTCATATATTAAAAAATCCAAATAAATTGAAACATAAATTGAAAAAGTTAGCAAATGTATATATCTTCTGCTAAAATATAAGTGCGATTACTTTAGTATCAAATTAAAAGAAAAAAGTTATGATGCGATTCTTTTTATCGAATTCATTTATCGAATAATTAAAACTGTCTAAATTGAACTTAATTAATCTCGCTTAAATTAAGCAAATTAATTATATCACGTAACACTTTTCTCTTTCTCTTTATTGTGTATTTTCATTTATTCAGATTAAAAAGCTAATATGGAAAACAATTTAGTAGAGGAAACTTTCATTTTGTAAGCTCATTCCGCTTTAGAAATTGCATAATCATAATCATGAAGAGAAATTAGTTTTGTGAGCAAATATCAAAATATTCTTTATATTTCTAGGGTTGAACCATCTATATAATATATATTGGGTTCCATTAAGTAATCATTCGAAGCAGAATTCTTCTTCCAACGTTCTCAAATTAAACCCCTGAGATTCAGTCATTAGGATTAAATTACGGCCCGGATTAGATATCTCGAACTTCACCCTCATCATCGTACTTAAAGCACGTAAATGCGTCGTTGAAGTCTGCAAACACTGATGGTTTTTATTGGCAGAGACTGATTTTATCTATCGTAAAATATATCGCTAAGAAAAAATATAACTTACTGAGAACTTTTCGTTAAACAGCAGCATAAACAATTAATATTGATGATTGCAAGCAAATAATTAACCATTAATGACTAACTATAAAGTTGTATTACCGTTAAATTATTAAAATAATAGCGTATTTCTGCGTTTAATATTTTTCCTTAAATTTTAATTTATTTTATAAAATGTTGATCTTTATAATATATTTATTTAGTTTATTTATTTTTATCGATCTATTTATTTATTCTTATATTTTTTATTGATTGATTGATTAATTTTTATAATATATTATGCCAATTATTTGTTCATGCACAAACATGTATGCTATGCTGATTCATTTTTTTCTTATAAAATATTTGTATTATAAAAAACGAATGATATATTTGTTAGATTCGTATCGCGTACGCCAATTAGCCAACATTACACAGCGATATCGAAATGGTAATCGACCAAGCACATTTAGCATACTTAAACTACTCCTGTTAATGGAAACTGGAAATCGAGTGATACGACTAGAGCGCTGGCGCCACATGGCTGACTGCATAATTGAGTGAAAGAACGTCCCGCATCGTCGCAGCAACATCCCGCCTTTTCCCGGCTCTATTTTGACACGGGAAGGATTACCGCGTCGTAACATCCGATATGTCAACCGGTTATGTGCCGGTATATCCTGACCGATTAATTATATATATATATATATTAGTTACAGATTAGTTATAGATTAATTTATACAAACCCGAGGCGCACAGGTAACAGATGCCGTGCATCCGCTTAATTTCAGGGAAGAAGTTTTTCCCGATAACTTTCATCGGCTCGATCTTCTGGATCGCGGCGTACTCGTACCTGATGGTCTGGTGGGCGAACGTCGCCGGCGACACAGTAGCTATACCGCCGGAAGTGATGGGCCTGACGTTCCTCGCGGCCGGCACCAGCATACCGGACCTCATCACGAGTGTGATTGTGGCGCGGAAGGGATACGGCGATATGGCCGTGTCGAGTTCCGTCGGCAGCAACATCTTCGACGTGACCGTTGGGTGAGAATCCAAATTCTTCTAGATACTCTTCGATGCAGCATTGTCCTGCAACTATTATATACGAAGGCGTTAAAGCATTCGTTCTGTTTCAAAAAATTACAAATTCCAAAATTTCTTTAAATTTCAATATTTCATGGACACCCAAATTCATTATGTTTCTTATTTTTTATTTATGTATGTATTATTATTTAAATTTTCTGCAACATATTATATACGAAGGCGTTAAAGCATTTGTCTGTTTCAAGAAGTTGCAAATTCCAAAATTTTTTTAAGTTACAATATTTTACGAACCAATTCATTATGCTTCTTATTTTTTGTGTATGTATTATTATTTAAATGTGTTATAATTGCTAACATATTTTTTGCCAACTCTATTGAAAAAATAAGAATCTTACTATGCTCTAAAAACTTTATAAAACTAAAAATTATTCCAAGACTATGATAAAAATAAAATAATTCGAAGAAATATTTTATTAAAATAATATATGTCGAATAAGATATATATATTATTAAACACACAAGAATATGTATGTATGAAATCGAAAATCCTTTGACACAAAGTCTTTCTGGTTCTATTCTATTCTAGAAAAGTCGCAGCAACGTGTAATTCTCATTGATTCCGTACGTGAATAGAATTTTATGACACAATCAAATATATATATATAATAGATATTGCTAGATATTCGATCTACAGATAAGATGAAATGATAAGAAACCTTTCAAAAAAGAGTTGCATTGAACGTCATATTGATTTTCCGCTAGGATTATCTCAAATCGAAGAAAAATAAAAAGTTAGAATATAAGTTAGCATACATAAACTGAACGATACAGATACAAATGCAAAAAGAATGCCGAAAGATAAGCATTCTCGACACGTCTTTTATTAACATTTGACGTAAAAAAAATTATGACAAAGTGAATGGTGCAGTATGAATAATAAGGGAGGAAGCAAATTAAAAGGAAGCAAAACGTTTTGATATTATTTTGTTATTTCGAGATTGCCAGTGTCACGATTAATTCAGATATTATAAATCTGCTTCTTAATTAATATCAATAAATTTGTATTATAATGTATAAATAATTGAATAATGTATTAATAATGTTATTTATTTGTTTAATCGTCAAATTTTCTGCAATTATTTAATATTAATCAGAAAGTTCTAACTTTTGACTTTAAAACAATACAAAGTATAATTTATTTAGTAAAAAGGGCAACACATCCTGGCAAGGATCATACGCAAGAATTTTTCAAAAACATTTTCGTCGCTATAATAAGGGCAGAGAGTAGCATAAGATACTAAAATGTGTCGTAAAATGAAGAAATTTAATACACTCTTGAAAGCATCTGCTACTTTTTCTGTTTATGAATCCTAGACCCATTTACGTCGTGCTATATATATTGAGGGATCGATTAACGAAAAGGACCAAGTGCCAAAAAGGCAGGGAAGCTTATTCGGGAAGAGATATCAATCTCAAATTTCAGTAATGGTCGTTCAAGCGAAACGAGGAAAACAAGATATCAAAGGGTAACGCGTAGGCGACAAAAAAATATCGATTTTCGCGCACAATTTGAACTGCAAATATCTAGATTTTTAATTGAGTAAAAGATAGTATTTTATATTTTATTTTATTCATAATCTTTTTTTATCGAAACTCTCAGCTAATGAAAATTATTAATAAAATACGCGATTAACGTCTTTCATCATTTTCCATTTATTGTCATTTCATGAAGCGCTTATTGTAATAGTCTGCAAACATTACTAGTATAGAAAGAAACTGTGCTATTGTTCTCATATTGTGCAAAGAATATATGCACAGCCAATAGTTGTCATAATTATACGCTGGTATACTGAATACAACAGTATTTAAGCTTATATATTCAAACGCGTTTACTTCGAAGGTGCCTTTGATATATCTATGCTTTGAATTATTAAATATATAATTAGTTGTTCTTTACCAGTACATAGTATGGAGGATTTAAATAAAATCAAATATATATATTACAGGAAATATTGAACATATTCAAACTTTAGTATCTTTTATGAATGTAAAAATAGATGTAACTTTATTTGTCATTTACATCAAAAGACTTTTTTTATAGCTTTGTCAGAGTATTAAAATAATGTTTGTTAATAAATAGCACTTGTTTTCTTTAATTATTTTTCCTCTTTTCAGAAAGATGTGGATAAATTTATAAACATAATATATTACATATTCCGGGAGAAAATTTTCTTATTTCAAAAATAAATTATTAACTTTTCTTTTTTTATTCCTGCAAAACGCGTAATAATATTACTTCGTAATTCTTGCATTAAGTAGTATCAAGCATTGCAGGAACTTTTCCCGGATACTACTTAAACGATGTCTGCATTGCCGGTGGGAATCTTCAAAGAACGGAAATTGATAGGCGGTAGAAACGATTATGGTTTGTAAGATATCAATAGCACAGTAGAGTTCAATAGACGAATCGAACAATATCGGAATTATTGAACTCCCTCGCATGTATATGTTCGCGCGCGAATACAATGCACTTAATTGCATACATATGTACGTATATTTACCTAGTATATGTGCTTCTGTATAATAAGTGTATATACTTTGCACACATACATTCGTATACACATATTTCCTCTCGTATAATGTACATTCGCGCGATATGAATTAGAATTTCACCGATCATCAAACGGGGTTTAGAAGAGGCGTATGGAATTGGTAGCCAGAACAAACCTGTCGAGGTATTCTTACTATTTCACTATAATCGCATTCGCTATTGATTCTCTGATATTATTATGACCTGTCGGCGCGGGAAATGCCGCGAATGCAGTTTCAGCCGCTATCCATTTTCCATGGATAAATTTCGAAAATCTCTATGCGAAACTACCATTTCACTTCTCATCACTAAAATAATGTAGTTAATAAGCAATTACGTCGGGCGTGGTGTCCGAATAATTACATGATGAACTTGAAACAAGTGATGAAAATTTGCCAATTGAATGTTTCGCGTATTCGAGCTCCTTGTTTGCTTGTTTGCACTCAAATTCTTATTACAGACGATCATACAGATCTCGATTTCCAGAAATTCATTGTGAGAAGAAAAAATTCTTCATTTTCTAATTTGTAAAAAAATAAAATTATAAAAATTATAAAAATCAAATCAAATATCTTGTGTAACTTTAACAGTACACTGATTTTCGCGCGTGATATTTCTCGAGTGATCTCTAACGAGAAGCAAAGTTTGTGCAAGCAAGTCGTGGCTTGTCACCGATAAGAATTCATTATCTCCTTCACTTTGTCTTCACGGCTATAAAATCCAATCTGTCGAAATTGATCGCGCGTTCCTCGACAACACTCGATCTCCTGTGGCAATCGCTCGCGAAGACGAAACATTGGATCCTTCTCATCGACGATCAATCATTATCACGTATTCCTCGATTGACTGCCAACTGACAGAGAACTTGAAAGGAATGTGGGGAAAAATATTTCTCCGTATTTGCGCGCGGAGGAGATTGCGACTGCACGTCAAACGATATTATTATATATCCAAGAGACGTCGACAGTATTGTTATAGACGAATATGAATTATTGTACGTCAAATATATATATATATATATTGTATATTTATAGAAAGAAAGAAAGGAAGAGAGAGAAAGCACGACACCTCCACACACGCATACATTTGTATGCTCGATCAATGCTGTCAGATGATCCCACCTGACTTGTAATCATAAAGCTGTAATGTTTTAATAGAATTCGTGATGCAAAAATGCAAACATTAAGTATATTCGGAGAATTTTGTCGAAAGTGCCACGTTTTGCGATTTGTATGAAGATGTAACAAATATATGCGGTTTTTGATATAATTAAATAAATTAAAATAAATGATTGGTATATATATTACGCAAACGTAGTGATAATTTTTGACAGGTTACAGCACATTATCGTTCTACAAAATAATTGATACGTTTTAGAACGATAAAAATGTTATATAATTTCAAAACTTTTTCAAGTTACCAGCTGGCAAACTCAGTATGACGAATAAGCGATTCAATTAAAAAGTTTTCGATCGATACATAATTAACTATCGTTAATCTCAAATATTAATTACACGTAATCTTTCACGTTGCTGCCGCTATTATCTACATCTCTTGTTCTTAAAAAACTTACTATTGATACTTGAAATATTATATAGATATCTAATTAGAGAGAAGATATATTAATTAAAGAAAAAAGAAATAGAATAATCAGAGGAAGAGCAGTAAACGAAGCGCACTAATTATAGCTAATAACGCATCGGCGAATCAATCGGGCGAATAAATATAGGCTCGATTTGCACTTTGATTCTGCCCGCAGGCTTCCGGTTCCGTGGCTCCTGTACGGTTTGATCTACGGAAAACCCGTGGAGGTGAACTCGGTGGGGATGGTGTGCAGCATAGCGATACTGTTCTGCATGCTGCTCTTCGTGATCATGAGCATCGCCTGCTTCAGATGGAAAATGAACAGGGGCCTCGGTTTCACGATGTTCATCCTCTACTTCGTCTTCGTCGCCGTCTCGCTGATGTTCGAATACGAATGGCTGGTCTGCCCGGTGTAGGGCAGCACCAGGGGTACTAGAACCTCCTCTCCGGAGGAAAGGACGAACACGTCTGCGAACACGGACGCACACTTGCGAGTCTCGTCATCATCATCGTCATCGTCGTCGGCGAGTCTCGGCCGACGAGAGAACTCTTCCCCGGGGTCGAGCCGAGGAGAAAAAAACCGCGCAAAAACCCAAAGTCATTATACCTTCCCGCGTGCGCGCGAAGGAAACTTAATGATCGAACGGCAATAGCAGCACCATGAACACACACACACATACACACACACATACCCACATCTACACACATGTATACATACACACAGCACTATCACCGGTCATCAGCAATTTTGTGTATCACGCAGATGCGTTTTGTTCTTATAGTCGCGCGAGAGGTGTACATATTGTATAAATCTTGAAATACCTGAAACGAAATACTCATCTTGTTAAGAATTAATCGAGCGTGCCACTTCGCTCGAGTCCGCTACTTTATTATTTAGGCATGGCGAGCGCGTTAGCCGATCGTGCCAAGGACCAAACCAGCATAATTTTATATAATCCGTGGAAGAATCCTTTGGCATATCCTTCTTTCTTCCTTCTTCTTCTTCTTCTTTCTTGTTCCCTTGGTGATTAATAAAGCTTGCGCGATGCCTATTAATTCACCGATCAGACTTTTGTAGCAACAAAAGAATTATATAGCAATCTTTCCAATTCTAATCGTGTCGCGTCAGATATCGCTCGATTCGTACATTTATCAAGACATTTTTACGCGTTTCTTTTCTCGAATATACACACAATTAATAGCAATAATGTCAAATTTGTAAAACACAAAGTTACTTCGTCAGTGTACAAAATATCCCAGTGAGGCTTCTCTCGTTTGACTCCTTGGCACGCTCACGTGTCCAAATATTATATATAATATTATCCTTAGAGAAAGAGAGAGAGAATGACAGAGAGAGAGAGAGAAAGGTAGCAAGTCAGTAATCTGACCGCTCGCCGATTTTCTTATAAAGTAGAACTCTTTTCACCTCTAAACGTAGAATAGATTTTAACTTTTACTCTATTACGCTCACGAAATTTCAACTTGATGCGGTGTGCTGTTCGACGTTTCGTTTCGATGGCGAACCGATGTACGCACGTCAATTTCGAGTGTACATATGTATATATTTCGTTTACAAGTCTTTAATTTTCTGTATTAATCATAAACAGACGCTAATATATACTATACACACACATATATATAAATATATATTATGCAAGCTTTTACAGTAAAAGAATACAAAATGTTGAAAAAAGATCTTATTTCTTTCTCGCTACGTTTACGATAAATTTCCTAAATTTATCCACATTACATAAATTATTATCACAATTAAAATAAGATTGTGTTTGATCATTAAAATGTTTCCTACGTTGGTTAATAAACATGTTTCCTATATACGTTCGTGAAATTATATTAAAGAGATATATGATTGAAAGTCTCCAAATGTTAATCCATTAAATAATAAGATTAAGACATGTCCCAAAACGAAACGGTCGATCGTCACACCGGATTTTCAGTATACGATCGGAACGGATGTTGCTGTTGATACGTGAATAAGATAGAGTAGCGGTAAAAGTGCGAGACGTTGATTAGCACACTCGATTACCTTTGCAGATTACATTTTTCCTTGACTTTTCATTTAAATCGCTCGATTCAGGGAGCAAAAGAGCTGGTTCTCGAGCAGTATCAAAGAAAATGTGTTCATCGATGCGTAGCGTTAATTTAGCGAGATAGAAAACATTCATTTGATAATTTTAATTGTCCGTTTAACATGGTTGATTAAACATACATGAAGAAATATGCATTGTTTTGTTAAGAAATGTATATCATATGATATTTTAACGAAAAATCGCGCAAGTCGTAATTACGATTTATTTATTGCTGATCAGCTGATCAAGCGAATCCATTTGGATGAAACGAAAATACGTCTCGTTCGCGTAAGACATTTAGATCCGATTCCGAGCGTGTTTTTTTCCTCTTAAATACTATTTACTATCACTAATTATATACATATAATCTGTAAGCGACATGCGAAAAAGCAGACCTTCCTGAGTGCATAGAGAGAAAAAACAAATTATTGAAAATTGCAATATTCGAATTGATATATCGCGCGAGGATTCTTATTATAATCAATCGAGGACACTTGTATCTTGTTGCTTGTTGATTGTTGATGCACTTTACGCGCGATCGAATCCACGTGCGACATTTTCTCTCCGTAGAGAAAGTATCAAGACGATCATATGTGAAAACGTATAAAATTATGGAACGTGCGGATAACGCATTATTATTATGATACGTTCGTAAAAAGAAACGAGCAAGAGTCGCTTAGACATTGCACTTTTCATGATATTCCATCGCTTGATACTCTCCGAGCAGCTATTCTTTTCGATAAATTCTTTCAAGTTTTCGACATTGCATTACGACGCACTACTAAAAAAGGTATCGCTAGAAAATATTAACTTACTATTATGGTTGTTACATGTACACACAGAAAAGGCAAACGGGTAACAGAATGAACGAATTCACGGAGGTATGCATGTGTGTGAGATTGAGAGAAAGAGGGAGAGAAATAGGATCATGTATAGAGTTAAAGCGTGACAGAATGGGCGATTTTTAAGTTCCAAGTTACAGCACCCGCGTGTTGTAAAAAGCGTTTGTAAAGGATACGTTTTAAGGACATATAGAGATAGTTATAATGTGATATCGATTATATTAAGGTACGAGTTGAAAGAGGAAAATGTTATTATACATACCTATCATATGTTGAGAGATACAGAGAAGTGATATTCTTAGCCTGAACGCCTAAAAGCGGCCTAGCTTTTTAATTAAGCCCACAGCTGACGCAAAAAAAAAATCGATCCGTGGCGTGAAGAGATAAGAAAGAGACCATAATTATATAAAAAAAAGTACTGTCAACGTTATAATCGATAGGGCGAATTTTAGATTATCAAACTCATATACACACACACATATATATATAGTGTGAAGAAAATTCGGCGCGACGCGAAACGCATTATTATGAAGAATAACATACTATATATTCGCACATATATATTATCGCATATAATGATATATTTGTTTTCTATGGTCCCTATATGATATCGAAAGCACGTGGAGGACGGTCTCTCGCAGCTTAACACTCCGAATCGCGTCGTGTGACAGTTATATTTTACGTTTAGCCTTCCAACCGCAGCTATATCCATCTGTCTCTCTGATCTGCCTAAACCCTAAGTCACCTATGCAATCCGATTCGCGCGCTCGATTATTCTGTGAAATTATTCTGTGTACTCCTCCGTGCTCTGGTTACTTGGATTCCTCACGCGACGAAAAGCGTCGTGAGCCACGCTATTGCGCCTAGAAAGAGCGGCTAAAATTGACCGATGATCCGGAATATTAACGTCCAGGGCTAACGATGTCAAGGATCTGTGATAGCGAGACGAAAGCAAGAATACCAAGAACACTTCAAGGCCGCGGTAAAATTTACGACGTTAACGAACAACAATCTGTTATATCAATTTGTTTAACGTGAAGTGTAACCGGTTATTTTGGACGGCAGAGTAGTCGAACTACAACGATATAGGATTGAAAAAAATATTATAATTGTTCGGAATATAGACAAAATTTTATAGTCATAAAATTGCAAGCAATGAATGGCAACATTACGCGATCTCCTCGAGATTATTATCGATCATTAATTAAGATAGCGACGCTCCTTTTCGCGACAGAGCTTTCAGCATTACGTTGAGAAAAAGGATTTCGCCTGCATGGCAATACTGCCAATTGATTCTAAACTCACCCCCATTTCCTTTTTACGAAATTTTATTTATCGAATACAAAACCGTTTTGAGACTTTTATCCGCGAGACTTTAATTATAAGTAGTTTCAGTCTTATATCAGATTTCTACACCCAATGAGTAAACTGTATCCGAAATTGAAAAAGATCAGGCGATGAATGGGGGAAAAAAAGAAATAAACCATTATTCTGAAATAGATAAACTTGGGAACACACAGACGCAATCAGATTTTCGTAAATGAAAATCGTGCAATGAAAATCTCTTAGGCGCGTGAGCGGATGAACTTTTGCTCGGCGTAAGAAAAAGATGTAATCAAAAATCGCTCGATACGGACGTGATAGCTAGCGTTGAACCGCCCTTCGGACTTAGCAGCGATCATCAGTGGGGAAACAAAGCTTTGGGTTCCTTCGTGACGACCAACATAAATGGGGAACGAGTTACGAGAGAGCGAGGGAGAAAAGTGGGGAACGTTGTGCCGAGGCATTTTGCGTCGTGGTATACGAGTTGCAAGGGGTACGAAAAGGGATTAGTCTGTCAGTCGCGAGCGAAACAACGAAAGCGGATTAGCAGTGAATCGCGTGATAAGTCGAAGGTCGTGCCGGAGGGCTCAAAGCGCAGCGGTGCTCCGCGTAATTTATGCTTTGTAATATACCGTAGGACAAACATCATCGACATTGGTGATGAGGAGAGACGGCCCGTTTTTTGCTTTTGAATGTCGACTTTTCGAGAGATTAATATCCTTTCGTGATCCGCCTGGGTATAAACGTTAAGAAAATAGCTTGCCTCGTGACATATTTCCCCTCCCAGAAAGAATGACACGAAGAGATCTCATGGATGTACATGTACATGGTGACATGCCATTGACCTCGATACTCTTTAGCGACTTCTCACGTTATACATATTATATAGTTATTACATATATTATACATGCATATATATATATAAAATATTGCATCGGTTGTATATAAAATATATATGTACTATATTTTAGTACATAAAGATTTGATTTGATCCTTGCGTTGTCAAATTATCAGGACGCACGGCACATTCATTTTATTTGTATGTAGAGTGTGAAAATAACGAAAGAGAGAAAGAGAGGGAGCGAGAGAGAAGAGAGAAATACAATTTAATTTCAATGCACTCACGCACGCACACTCATACACATATATACACATACACACATATACACGTGTAAATTTACGTTCGTGAGGTGAACGCGACGAGACGGAGAGTGTGTTTTCGAAAAATGAAAATTGTTTGGTTTGTCCGACAAGTTTGTCAAGACTTAAAAAAATGCAACGCATCGATGCCAACCCTATTACGTAAAGGATGAATTTATGTCGAAAGGGAAATGAGAACGGAAACAAGTTCCCACCAGTTAGTGCATTCAACCCGAAACAGTATAATCAGTGTCCGATAGACCCTTCTTAATTTTTATAAGGGCGTCTCTCTCGTGAAATCCTTTTGAAATACAATTATCTTTTTATATTTACGAACGCTTCATTTTGTCCAAAGGTGGCTTTCGAAACTTTTATTCGCGTGACAACAACAAAAATAAACTTATTGTTACATTATATATACATATATATATTTTATATATAAATATATAATATATATATATTTATATATAGGATTCGTTAGACCCTTTTATATTTTTATGTGAATGCACAATATGTTGTACTGTTTAGAGTTGATGGTAGCTGTTATCTTATATAATACGGATGCGGAACCCGTCGCGCGCTCGCAAAGACGCTCCAAACTTAGACTTTAAGCGACGTTAAGAGTTTAGTTGGTTTCATACTTTTTAACGTAGCTTTCGAGAATCGTACAAGAATTTTTACATTGTGACAAAAAAAAAAGAGGTCGGTAGATTAGAGCCGGGCACGTGCGCGCGACGAGGATCGAGCACGATCCTTCAAATTTCGGCGAGTTGTTACAAAAAAAACGGGGCCGAGTGACAAATTTGTCCTCCGCGAAATCGATCGATCGTGTATACTAAGAACTGTCACTGTTCTCTCAGCCGAATGACATGATATATAAATCGTTATCGATACTCGTGGATATAAAATAACGCGGGAATAAAAAAAAGGGACACAATACGCACGCTGTGAACGATCGAACAAGATCGAACGCTTCGAATATTTTCTTGGCATTGACAAAGCGCGAACGCACATATCAAAGAGAAAAAAAAAATGTTGATTATATATGATAACTGAGATTACTTGGTAGTATTATTAGTGACTTAAATCGATAAGATAAATAATTAGATGAGGAGTTATACGAGCGCGTTATAAAGTTTCTATATAATTACAAATTATATAATATATATATAAATATGTATTATATCCTACGAGAGTCTCTCAGTAAAAAAAAAGAACGCTGAATCGTCGATTATTGAATCGCGTAATTCGCGGGGAAAGAATAGCGGGATGCAATTTTTGGCGATTCTCTGGGCGATGATCTGAGCGTGTTGGACGTAACGTAAATAAATTCCGGAGAGAATATACCTCGCGTTTCTCTCGGGCTTTTCTTTTGATATATATTTCATTATCGTCATCTCTTGAAAAAAAAAACGCCACATTATATAGGGTTGTACCCCCGTCCATCGCCGCAGTAGTAGATTTACGGGATACGACGCGTAGTTATAAAAATCACGACTTACGAGAATTAATTAGGTCACCACAGAGTGCTAGAAAGACGAAGAGCGAAGCGAGGAGAAATATATAAATATACATATACATATATATATATATAATAAAAATATACATATATAAATACGCATAAAAATACACATACACACACATATAAATATGTAAAGTACCTATATCTAGCGTTATATACGTTCTCGTCGACGATTCCGAGCTTGGAACGTTTTTATTACGGTAAAAATTTCGTTTCTTGATGTTCGTAAGATACGTCTTCGACGCGTTACTTAAGATCGGGGCCGAGGCACACATATAATAATCGCGATGTGACGAGAGTAAAAAATAAACGGATGCGTTCGGACGAAAATTGCTCTTTCGCGCGCGAGGGCGCGAAGTTAAAAATTCATCACCTCGCGGTCGCAAAAGAGCGATAGCGAACGATTTTCCCGAATTAAAAGGGGGGGGGACAAGGGGGAGACCGATGCATCAACGACCACGGTCGAAAGTTCGCTCGGGACGAATCTCAGCTTAAAAAAAAAAAAAACAAATCATTAGAGATCGCGTATCGTACCCCCGAGAGTACGAGAGAGTTTAAAATGTATAACGGAACTAAAATCGCAAACATAAAAAAAATAGTCACGATGGGCGAAAAGCCCTTGAGAAAAAAAAAAAAAAACGGAGAAACACGCAGATGTGTTAAGGAGAAGCCGTGGGGGTCAGCGTCGGGGGTTCAGGCCGCTCGGTCGTCAAATGACGATAAAACGATATGAAACGATGTCACTTGACGCCCGAGATGTGGGCAGAACGACGAGCGGAGCACTCCCGGGAGGGATCATTGTTTTAATGATGTACGCCTTAATGATCAACGATTTCTGCGTCCGGGAAAATGGGGAGCGATATAGGGGATGATAGGGAGACGCGGATCAGCCGGACCGGCTTACGGCGCTGGCGCCAATGGGTGACACCGCGTGTGCAATAAAAGAGAGAGAAAGAGAGAGAGAGAACGAAGAGAAATATATAACAATATTAATATTATTATATACAACATTTTTACGGCATATATACGCGGATACGAAAGTAGAACAAGCGAAAAAAATATCTGAAAAAGATCAGAAGTTTTAGGATAAATGATATTACTTGTTGTTGTCTACCATAGCGCCGTAGCATATGTAGGGCACTCTAGTCTAGTAGCCTGTTTCGAGGGATGCGTGTGAAAAATGCGTGCGAGAGTGACAGTTCGAGAGATCACTCGAGAGGATGAGAGAGAGAGAAAGAGAGAGAGAGCGAGAGAGTGCGAATTCAGAAAGAACGGAGTGATTGAACGCATATATTAATTATTATTACCTAATTGCAAAAATAAAAATTATATATATATATATTCACATATATATGTTCTGTATATATACATATATCTATGTGTATATATATACATACTCGAAGAAGCTAGTTACTTAACGAAAATCAATGATTGAGATATATACAGAATCTATACATATACCTTAAACGTGTGCCTATGTGCGCACGTGCGTACACTTTATCTCCTCCACCCTCGCGATCCCTGGCCTCTACCCTCTTCCTACCTCCTCTCTTCAACCCCTCGCAGCCTTTCGTCTCTTACCGCCAGCCTCACACGCACTTGCGCACATATCCATTACGCATTACCGTAGCCATGTTGTGTAGGGATGTCTTTAATGAGTAAAACTACGATTTCTCATGTTACATGTTATACGAAAAAAATGCAAAAAAACACAAGCAGAAAAGAGGAAATCTCGAAACGACGAAAAAATTTCTTCCGGTCAGTTGCAGGATCGTTTGAGAGGCGCCACATATTATGTATATTAAAATATACGCGCGCGAATGTCCAAAAAAATGAGACAGCGAGAGGGATATATAATATATAAAAATCGCGCGTATTCTGTATACACACACACACACACACACACACACTTAATGCTATTATTATATAATTAATTAAGTCGAATTACTCGCCAATCGCGACGCTTCCCTCACGATCTTTTGCGATTTAATTCAGTTTCTTCGTTTTTGCTTTCGTCGCGAGAAAAAAGCCACGGCGGTGACGGAACTTATTGACAGACTTTTATTAAATGCAAATGCATTATTAATACAAATTAATATATACGAATTGTTACGATAAGAATTCGCAATATCAATTTTGACAATGGAGATATGAGAGGAAGAAAGATGCAACATCCGTTTAACGCATTGTGGGCACTTTCAGATAATCGAGTTTTTTATTTAAAGACTAAAATTAATTAAAGGTTCCAATAATAAGTTTACAATACTTGAACACATAATTGTGACAATATATATCTCAAATTTTCTCATCCATTTACTTTACACATTCAGGATGATTGTGAAACAATCTGACAGCTGTCAAAGTTATCGTGCGACTCATTGTAAGCTAAAATGAAAGAAACTGCATTATTCGAAACTGCAATTTTTTTCACGATTAAAGTGCGAAAAACGACCCTCGTCCCCGATGCGTTAAAACGGCAAACGCCGTAATGAGATGATGTCTGTTTAAACTCATTCTACACTTGTTCGCGATGAAAATGATCCGCTATCCGCGGACGATGGCTCTTTGGTAAAGTACGGCGTACGGCTTGTCGCGGATTTGCACTACTCCCTTTTACATACTAATCGCTCATCTCTCCACTTTTGCCATTTGGCAACGCGTTTTCCTGCGGAAAAAAATAAATCTTGCGGTAGAACAGAGAACAAAATTTCACTTACACGATACTATCCGAGGGAGACTGTGTATCTTCTTGGCGCGTGGCTTCTCTAGAGAAAAGCTGCCCCGAGAAACGGCGGAAATAAACTTCTTGCGTGATTAAATCCGATTTTTACGAAGGTACACCTTCGCCTATACGTCACTCTTTATCTGGAGAGTTTAATGTTATTATCATCCAACAGAAAGTACTTAAAACGATTGAAAAAAAAAATAAGAAACTGCGTTATACATGCAACAACTCGAGTTAACGTAGGGGCATTTATTTAGAAATATTCGTCGAGAGAGAAGTTTCCACTATGTATTAATTGCATATTAAATAGTCAGTTAAAAAAGAAACCGATTGTTGGAAGAAGCGCAACGTGTTACGATATAGCAATTAAATTAATTAAAAATCACGCGAATCAATCAATGCGAACGATTCTTCAAAGTTTCCCCAAAGGTCTCTCGCTTGAAAACGCTGAATAATATATATTGTATAATCGGCGTATTCTCACTCTTCAAAACTTTGATTCGCGAGTATTTATTGATACACAGTCGACAATAATCAAGTAACAAGAGTTTACATTCTATCTCTATTCCACACTACTATTCAATAAACTCAACAAAAACAAAGATACGTTAATGAACGAGCTCTATACTTGTCTCGCTCGAGATTCTATTATTATACATATATCGCGATTCTTGCAAAACATAGATTCTTTTTCCAGCGTTAATCTTTACAGAAGAGAGATTAAGAGAGAAAGAAAGAGAGAGAAAGCGAGTATCGTTTTTGCAGTATAACTCTTGTTCCTCAGTTTTAACGAGACGCAATAATTGGATCGTCTAATAATTGAGTATATATTTAGAATCGGCAGTATTTTTGTTTAGCATTAATCTTATATAAAGTTCCTGAGAAGAAAGAATCGATCATCTAAGAGAATTGAAAAGCCACCAATTGTATACTATAAATTATAAAATATCTCAGTGCTGTTATACCGCTCTCTTATCCCATTTCGTTAGTAAATTTCTCTCTTACTTCGTTATAAAATTATTCTTACCGTTGTTGTTACCACCATTATATAATTAAACACAAGAGTAAAAAAAAGAATAATAATCTTCAGAGAGTATATAAACGCGTTACGAGATTTAAAGTAATAAATATTTCTCAGCTACTTGAGAGCCCGAACGTTATGCGATAACGTTCTAATTAAGTGAGATATATAAAGCCGATAAAGCAAAAACATACCGCTGATTCTTTTAATCACACCTGAATCATACTCTCGTATCTATATAGCGTTATTTATCCAATTACAATTTGCAACTTAGATTGCCCAGGGATAAGTAAAAAGAAAAACATATATCGCAATGGACTTCATCATCTCTCAGCGCTCTATTTTCTGCATGCACATGCCGTATTGCAAACGATTAGTATATCATTATGTTACGATCGTGGTTGCGACGAACATTATTGCTATATAGGCGTATCCATATTATTGTACCGCGACATCATGTTAATTGCTCGAGGTGATTAAAGGCTCGACGGTGTCAGACGATGCTCAATGAATCGGTGGCGTGAATAAAATCGGATTAACGCACGTTTGAGTGCTCGAGCCTAGAAGAAGATCCTCGCACGTCGATCTCACATCTCTTGTTATGGTGAAGAATAAAAAAAAACAAAGAGCGCTCCCCCCACATCTCGCCATTGTATATACGTATATATTAATGCATAATATTGTCATAGGACACGCGAGAGCGGGCACAAGAGATGGTTATATTATTGTCGTTATTAGGCGAAATTGTGAGGGTATTTCGTTGCGTTTAAAAAAGAAAAAAATGCCTGCGGGACAGGATCGTTAGACGACAAATATAAGTGTCGTGTAATTTTTATTTTTCCATTTCGGACTTGGATCGGACTCCCTTTACGCGATATATTACTTGGACTGTTCCGGTATGTAAGAACGTTCCTAGGAGGCGAACCGTTGTTGTACCTCTCCGTTCCATTATTTTAAGTTCCGTGCACCGACTAAGTAAACTTTGTATATCGTTAAGTCTCAGTATCTCGTTTTTTAAGAAGAAAAAATCGAACAACACGTCAAGAGAGCGGCGGCATCTTCTTCAAAATAACGGTCGCGTATTCGATACCCACGTGTAGCGCATCTGTCAAAATCGCTAATTGAGGCAGCGTTCTAACTCTTGAGTTGTATCCGTCATACATATATATATATATATATATATATATATATATATATATATATATATATTTCGCGCGAGGTGACATTCAGAATTATATATCCCCGTACGCGCAAAGATGTACGTAGCATATAATACGAACGACGCGATGATGTTAATACATACGCATTTAAAACTTTTCTTATAGCGTTTACTACTTAGTAGATAAGCTAGAGAGCGTCGTAGAAGAAAAAAAAACGCGTGTCATACTGAGATGTAAATTTTTATAAGATTTCAAAACGTAAAAATGTGTCACCTGTTGTCAGTCCGCGACTATATATAAGGTGATTCGGACTGTGCGATACGACTTGACAGTTAGCGGCTGCTTCGAAGAAGGATCAACTTCGACGAGAACAGACCGGTATATGCGACCGTCGAACATAAGACAGACAGCTGATTGCGTCGCCAGGATGACAGCGATCAAAGTGTCAAAAGCACATGCGTCAAGTCCCAAGTAGCCTGATGTCATTAGATGTGAAAATGACGTCATTTGGACGTTCAATGACGTCAGTTTGCTACTTGGGGTGTGTCAAGAGCGACGAATAAACTCGTCCTTACGGTCTGCATCTTTGAACAGTCTTGCACGATATATCAACGATATTCCCACCTGATTGCACGAGACACACTTTTGTCTCTCGCGCTTGAAACTTTGATCGGGGTGGATCCTTGCGACGCCGCAGCCGGAAAAACAAGCGGGATACAACCGCTGAGTTTATCGATTAAATTACCGCAGATATACATGCATTATTCCGTACCAAGTACGGCTAGAGAGCTACTGAGTAATTTATTATAGGATTAAAGAGTCGAATGTGTAACGCGAGCACGAACGAAGAAAGGCCTGCATCGACGACCATCTAACACTCTTTACACTTGCCGTCAATATCCCTCTTCTCCCCGTCCCGTCCTCCCTCTCCCCCTCCTCCCTCTTTCCTCCCCCGTCAATCTTACATTCCTTCTTTACACCCGATCACACCTCCCTGTACCCTCAAGAAAAAACAGAACAACATATTGTAATCTATTGTAGATTGTTGTAGATAAATTATACGGTTTGACCGTACATTGTTACTTTTTGTCGACAATATAAAAAATACACAGATATATAAGTAATTACCATCTCGTTACGTGTTTTCTATTTTATTTCATTACCTCCCACACTACCGACCGGTATAGCAACACTGATGTCATAAATTCGCGATTAAAACGTTTATTTCTTTTTAATACAAGATAAAAATCATTATATATAATACATTGTAATAGAGGTATTCACGTGCTCGATAATTTTTTATATAAAAATTATCGACACGCTGATAAAAGAGCAATATTTACAGAGAGAAAGTAAAATTAATTTATATATATACCTTTAAATTAATGAGTATTACTTGACATGCTAGGTGATCCTACTACATCGATGATATCTGCTTTAACTTCAGGCTCGGTTTTTGGCAGGAGTGCCGCTGGTATTGTTAAAGTCTGAAAAGAGACAGTTAACGTTAGTAAAGTTCAAGATATAATTTGAAATTCTATTTATCCATTAAAAATATTGCAGTTGACAACCTTTCCAGGTGCTAATGCTTCATATTGATGCCTTAAAGACTGTAATTCATAATCGCATGTCGACAATGCGCTTCTCAATTCATAATGCAAAACTATGTCGCTACGTAATTCATTGAATTGCTGGCATATTTGTTCCGTCGGTGGTGGATTCAATTCTGTTAGCAAAAGTTTACATTATCAGTTTTCAGTTTTAAAATTTCACAAGAAATATAATATAAAAGTGTAAACTTTAATTTCTTACCTAAATTTAATTCAATCAGCATTTGTTCAATGCCTTTCATCTTCTTTTGACCAAGACTACTTGGTAATTTGATTCTCTGAGAACGAAGAGTAACACCGCTATTTTTGAAATCCGGGAATTTAATTCCAGCTGACTCCACTGCCTGCAAAATTTTAAAAATGTATGAGCACTTTAAATATAAATGTATGTAATTTTATATATATATATATATAGGGTAAAATTTTATTACACTTACATGAGAAGTATCAGTTTTATTTGGCCTATTCCTAGAAGAACTGCTATTTTTTTTCGAAGATTTTCTCTCGCTTTTTCTGGGATCTGCCTGATGATCAGCTGCTGTAATTAATTTCTGCAAATCTTGCGTCTTCCTATCTCTTTCTTTTTTCCTTTGTTCAATCTTGCGTAATTCAGCAAGCAGAGTCTGCTCCTCATCCACTTGTTCAGGAGTACGTTCGAACAACTTCTTTAACTGTTCTTTTCTACGTTTCTCATGTTCCGCATCAAAAACATACACCTTGTCAGTATGGGATTTTGCTTTTGTCAATGCAGCGCACACCTGATAATATCTATAAACATTTATCTATTAATTCTGTTAATTACAAAAAAAAACATTTGAATTAAAATAAAATATATCAAGCTTGCCTCTCTTTCAAATCTTCTACCGATCTCGCGAGAAACTTGGTGTGATCCCACCTATCCTTAATAATAATGAATCTAAGATCAAATCTCCTACATAAGTCAAACAGGTGATCCGTCTCTGCTCGTGACCAACCATTGGTCACCAAATGTTGAACGTATTCTCCACTTGTGTACGTAGGGACAGGAGCTTTCTTGTTAAACTTTGCAAAGGGATATTCCTTCCCGGCATCGGCGACACGTCGCCAGTGATAAAAGGTAGCATTATCTGTACGTGCTGGATTCGTAAAGGGTGTCCATCTCCATGGCCTCACTTTTTTCATGCCAAGTTTTGCTCGCACCTGCTTATATCCTTTCGCCGTGTCAGTGGGGAACAACGGCGGTACGTCATTATTGTCCTTGCAGAGGAGCGCAAACACCTCGCGGTGCATACCCTCGGGACGTTTTGGCACTTTGTTGTAATCATACCGCTTACGATTCTTCTTGTCGCTACCTATTATAGACTCCTTCGTAAGTTCCGTAATCGTGGGCACCTCGATGTCCAGAATATCGCGTACGTCTGCCATCCTGATTTTTTTTTTATAAGGTGCCTTTAATCGATGAAAATTATCTAGCACAGATAAAATGTAGCTGTAATAAATATTTTAAATCCATCTTAATACTAATAATAATAACTAAAATAATAATAAATAATAAGAAAATTAAAAACAATAAAACGAACCGTCAGGATGGTGGTTTTGAGGTTAGGATTCTCCTACGAGATACTTACAATATGCTAACAGGAAAATAATTTCGTTTTTTTTTTTTTTTTATTGCGTGAGCTGAGCGAACACCTTTTAATTGTATAAAATAAAATTTACGTATAAATGGCTATATTTATATCTATATCCAAAAATTCTCTTTAACATGTAAACACTTGCGAATACGTCCGACAAATGATGGGATTTTATCAGTTGCGTTCGGAAACTCTTGGGAAACGAATTTGATTGGTCGATCTAGAAAGCCAATCACAGAGCGTAAATGTAAAGTGAATTTCATGAAAGTAGAATGCGATATCTTACATATGAACTCTCCTTTATGATTTCTTTTTACAAACATTAATAAATCATTAAAATTGTAGTGGTCCATATTAAATATTTAAAAAATTTAATCACACTTTCGTAATAGGAAACGCACATACACACTTATATCCTGTCACATACATACACACTTATATCCTAGGATGTGTCTAAATATATCATAATTATCTCATATCTTTTACACTCAAATTGAAAATATCGACTCACGAATTTTTATTGAGGCTTCAACATGATATCAATATTTTGAGGAGCTGCGACATCAAATAAATTTATGGTATTAGGAGTCCGATAATCCATGGAATGTAATGGAACCGATGATCCGTGGTCTGCTTTCTTTTCAGAATTTAAGAATTTGCAATATACAATGTACCAAAAGCTTTGTACAATATTTTTAACTAATCCTGCAAAAATTTCAATTAAATAATAAAAATTCTGTATTATTATTTATTGAAAAATTCATTATATACTTGCCACTTGTAACAAAAATACCGCCCACAGTAGCGCATAATTTTACTAAAAATTGAAAAATTGTATCACGTTCCTGCGTTACTTTTATCTTAAGTGCGCTCATATCATATTTGAAAAAAATTCCTGGTATTCCATGAGATCCTTTGTGGTGATCAATTGGTCTTTGATGATCTTTAACACTGTATTGGTATGTCTTTGATGTACTTAATAATGTTCTAATATCGGTAGGGACAACTTCAACAAAATATTGATATAGCATCATATCTGAAAGATAAATCATCCATTATGCAAAGACATTCATACTATTATTTCTAGTAACTTGCAATCATGAAACTTACTATTATCTGCAACTTTCTCATCGCCTTCAAGAGGATGCACAATACCTGGACTAGGTCCACCGAAAGAAAATTTATTAATTCTATGAGTAAAGTTGTAATCTTGATCTGTCATAAATGCAGAGATATGTATATGACCACGTGGCAAAGATAATGATTTTCCAGCAGTTATATGAAAATTTCCCGCGACCTTATTCACATTCACGCTGCCATGAACACGACAAGCATTTGGTGCATAATCTGGTTTATAGGACCTAAATAATAAGGAATAGTATAAATATCCGCAATTTATAACAATATTGCATAATAATAAAGAGCAGTTTACTTTACATACCGTGCTGGCATTTCGCTATAAAGGGTAATCTGATTTGATTTCCAAAGGAGTTCATGAATAGCATGATACTCTTCTCTCAAATACGAATTCATGTGCTTTAAAGCTTCAAAATGTGATCTTTGCTCCGGCGTTAATTCCCACCATGTATCCTCCTCCTCCAAAGAATCATAGCTTAACATATTCTGATTTGTAGAATCTAAAACATCCGCACCAATACGACCACATGGCATAGCCACTGTTATGTCAATATTAATTTGTAGCTTTGCATCAAATTCAGTATCTGGCTCAAATTTGAATTGCAATCTGCTATCAAGATAGTAGCTTGTTTCTGCTATTATTAAATATGCAATGATAAATATTGTAAAGATAGAAACTGAAACAGGAAAAAAATTATTTGGAGTATTAATAGTGATCCATAAGAAAATACTCTTCCTAAACCTAAGTAAAGACGAGGCCAAGTAAAAAAAAAAAAATATATATATATATATAAATGTTTAATAAAAATATCTTACTATACAAGTATCTGCTAACTTACATGTTCCTCCCACTGCAGTTTTGTCGACATATAACTCAGGAACTTTGGGAAATGCGTCCAGTTCTTTGACTGTCTTAACATTGACGTGTCGTCGTCTCAGCATTTTAATAATATTAAAATATTTATACACACAAATAAATCTTTTTAAATTACTTAATCATACATTCACCGCTAACCTATAAGAAATGTTCACTGTGCACACAGAAAATCCATATTTAAATATGTGTATTCGATATTTATCTTTAACACTGGTATTTATCATCGTATTCATTACAACATATACAACTCAATTAAATCAAAGATTGAAGCTTCCTACATATTTGACACGTAGATATATATGCTCCGTTTTGAGAACGTGTGCACATCGCACACGTACGGGAAATAAAATATGAACGCTAAGCTGAACAGCTGAAGTAAAACTATAAAACAAATATTATAGCAGAAAGCATTTACAGAAAGATGGCGCCACATAATAACATGTTAAAAAATATATTATAAGTTGAATTTCAAACTTATTGCGTTTAAAGGCAACTTTACGATTCCAATTTATACACATTTTATATTAAAATACTATCCTTACTTCAAATACTACATATAAAAATTAATATATTAAAACATTTTATATTCGACAAATATAGATGTATACATAACTTTATAAAACATAGCACCTTGTAAAGCAAAATAAAGTTCATAAATAATCGAAAAAATCAAATACAAAACTTACTGACGACTTATTTATTTCGTTAACGTGAATTTAAAAAAAATTCTTTATTTTATTTTTCGCGAAATATATATTTATTTTCATACAAGTCGTAATTAAAATTTAATTGCAATATTAAATATAGCTACAGAAGAACGTATATCTTTTCTGCAGTTTTAGAAAGTATATCCTGTATTTTTAAGATTAGTTGTATAAATTAAATAGTTCAAAAAATGAGAAATTGGTGTAATATTCTTCAATGTACATATTATATTCTTTTATTTCAAAGATATGTTTAAAGCGTGCGAAGATGTCCAATGTATGAATATATTTGGGGCCCTGATAAGGGCCGTTGGTCTTGAGAGGAATTGTTCACTTGGAGCTGGTGTATTTAGTAACAGCCTTGGTGCCTTCGCTTACAGCGTGCTTAGCCAATTCTCCGGGCAACAGAAGTCTCACAGCAGTCTGAATTTCCCGAGAGGTGATCGTCGAGCGCTTATTGTAATGCGCCAAGCGGGACGCCTCGGCGGCGATACGCTCGAAGACGTCGTTGACGAAGCTGTTCATGATGCTCATGGCTTTGCTGGAGATTCCGGTATCCGGATGTACTTGCTTCAGTACTTTATAGATGTAGATAGCATAGCTCTCCTTCCTCTTCCTCTTCTTTTTCTTGTCAGTCTTGCTAATATTCTTCTGGGCCTTTCCGGCCTTCTTCACAGCTTTGCCACTCGCTTTCGGGGGCATAGTTGGTGTTCTTCGTAAAGCGTCGTATGTGCAGTCGCAGAGACGTAGCTTCGAAAAGTGAGTGCAGCTCCGAGCGCGGTCCTTATATATAGTAGAAGGGAGAGGCGACGACGCGCCAATCACGTCGCGCGCCCCACTAGCGTGAGCCTATCTGGCACGCCATTGGACGCCTTAAGGTCTCGCAGTTTGGTATAAATAGCTGTCAGAGCGGACGCAGCAGGCACAACCGATCGAAGCCTTGCTCGACTCAGAGTACTTTCATCGTTTGCTTACCACAAATCTATTCGTCATGTCTGGCCGTGGAAAAGGTGGAAAGGCTAAGGGAAAGGCGAAGTCACGATCCAATCGTGCTGGATTACAATTCCCCGTTGGACGTATCCATAGACTTCTGCGTAAAGGAAATTACGCCGAACGCGTTGGCGCTGGTGCCCCGGTCTATCTTGCCGCGGTGATGGAATACCTCGCTGCGGAAGTATTGGAGTTGGCGGGAAATGCTGCTCGTGATAACAAGAAGACCAGAATCATCCCCAGGCACTTACAGCTAGCCATCCGTAATGACGAGGAATTGAATAAATTGCTCTCTGGAGTTACCATCGCTCAGGGTGGTGTACTGCCGAACATCCAAGCAGTCTTGCTGCCAAAGAAAACTGAGAAGAAAGCTTAACCAGATTGGCAACGATTATAAACGGCCCTTTTTAGGGCCAACAATTTCCTTACACGAAGGATATTTCTTATTCGCAATTCTTTTATTATCAATTTTATTTTATTTTCATACATTTTATATATCGATATATGTTCTGTATTATCAAGTATGTTTACATTTCTCTCTGAAATCTTCTTATCGATTATTACAATATTATATTGCCAAAATATTTGAAAAATCATAGACAAAGATACGCACGTATAATTCTAAATCATAAAGTACATTCAATTAGTGCCTAAAATAATTGTATATTTTGTGGTCTCTATTATTAAAGAAACTAAATTAAATAGAGGTACACATGTTAAATTATATTTTTATATTAATCTTTGTTATATATTACAATATTGATACGAGTTTGTTTTATACTGCGCGTGACCTGTAAAAATAGTGGAATGCTTAGCGTTTATCATTGAAAATAATTTACGAAAATTTATTAAGATAAATTCTTTCTAAAACTAAAATTTTAAATATTACATGAAATTACGTGATTTTCAAATAGATCATAAAACTTGGAAATAAAGTCATATTTTAATTATATTAAATAATTCATAACTTTACAAACAATTAATATAATGTATATTTACTGATGCACTGATATTATAGTTTATATTTACTGATACCATCGTTTAAATTGATCAAAGACAAATTATCTCAAATATCTACAGGTAAAACTCGTTTCGAATAATGAGGAAAGTCCACGATGTATGGTAGTTCCTTATTCTCGCTCAGCCAAACAGTTTTCACCTTTCTGAATGAGAGCTAGAACCGCGAGAGCCACGTGGTCGGTTGGCTGCATGTCAAATTCGAAATTATTAAATTCCTCTTTGGCCCATTTTTCGTCGATGATAGAGAGAACTCTACTTTCCATATCTTTAAGTATAGCCGGCAGCTCCGGTAATCATTGCAGTCTTATTACACACGTCCATGTCCTTTCTTAATATGAATCGTAATGTCGCTACAAAGATTTTGAGAAAGCGATTAATTAAGTGATATAAACAGAATTTACTGCAATATATATGCTTCTTATCGCTGCTTATCATGATGTTTTTATTATTGCTTAGTGTTATTTAATGTTGGTAGGGATGAAAGATATTCGTTCTAAATATACTTTATTTTTATTATAGTCTATATTTCTATATCAATGATGTAAAATTTTGTAACATTTTTATACGATTATGCATTCAATACATTATTGCAATACGAATAATTTTGTTATACATTTCAAATATTTATTTTGTACATTAACAAAAATTTATTGAATTCCAATAAGTATTTATTTTAATACTGCCAAATAAATCATTTATTTAAAACTAATAATATTGATTTGATATGTGAAATATTTATTTAATATAAGAAAGTCCTTTTTAAAACAAATAAATGTTTTCTTAGGCGATATTGAAATATAAATATTTATTAATTTAGTCATTTTTTCAGTGTGATAATATATTTAAATCAAGTCAAAAGTTTGATATAACATTGTATTTTTTCGCGGACCTCAAAACAACGTTTGACAAAGTAGATAGGATAAAGTTAGGAGAGATGCTGAAAAGGGCAGGAATAGGAGAAAGATTGAGAAAGAGAATTATGGAAACTTATAAAGAAACGAAGAATACGGTGAAAGTAGGAGAAAGAAAATCGGAGGAGTTATGGACAAGCACAGGAGTTAGACAAGAATGCCCTATGAGCCCTACTCTCTTTAATATATATATTATGGATTTGGAGGCAGATATAACATTGCATAATATATTACATAATTAATATAATATTTAATATTTATTATTCAATACGTTAATGTGTTAGAATATATGTATAAAGAAAAAAAATTATAAATTTTAATAATAATACAATAATATATTCATATTTATTAATAATCATCAGTAAACTGTCAAATGTTCAAACTGATCAAAGCAAGTTATCAAATATTTAATTTTCTATAGGTAAAGCTCGTTTCGAATAATGAAGAAAGTCTACAGCGTATGGTGGTTCCTCATTCTCGCTTACCCAAACCGCCCCGTTTTTACCTTTTTGAATAAGAGCTAGCATCGCGAAACCCACATAGTCTGTTGATTGCATCGAGTATTTTATTGGTTCAAATTTTTTCATGTATGTTGCATCGACGAAGGAGATAACTTTATTTATCATATCATCTATTATTGTCGTCTTCGTACTACCTGGACACATTGTAAGAACTCGCACTCCAGTCTTCTCGTACAGATCTGCTAAAGACCGGGTGAATCCAAGAACGGCATGTTTCGTTGCCGTATAAACCGGTGTTGGAGGATACTTGTCTAATCCAGCTATAGATGAGACGTTCACGATTACACCTTCGTTGCCGCCTTTGTATCTTCCCATGTGGTCTAGAGCCAGATACGAGCTGCGAATTAGTGCCGTAACATTGATATCGATCGTCTGTTCCCATTTGTGCTCATTCAAAATACCAGCATTATTGATTAGAATATCAAGAATCTTGAACGCATCGATGACTCTATTGAATGCCTTTTCTAGATCTTCTGCCTTTGCTACGTCACACGCGATGAAGACAGCACGGCCCTTTCCAAATTCCTTCTCCAACGTAGTCGCTGCATTTTCGCCATTCGATGTCGGCAAATCGATTATTGCAACACTTTTGGCACCATTCTGAAGTAATATTTCTGCGTACTTGTAGCCTAATCCGGCAGCTCCTCCGGTGATCATTACCGTCTTATTCCGTACGTTATCCATCTTGCTTTCAAAAAATCGTAACACGTACTATAATTATTATTAGTAGTGATGTTAAATTATTAAGAAAATGATGGATAAGAATTATAATAACATACCTTAAATATCACATAAAATGATTATATCAGACGTGCGATGTCAAACTGTCTAATTAAACGTTGTTTACACGGCCGATGACAGGGCACATAATGAGTAAGAAAGCGATATTAGACGACCTTAATAATATTATTATAGATAGGGTTTAAACTTTCCCTATCTTTTTGTAAATTGATCGTGTTATTATGTTTTTAAATAAAAAACATTTCTGAGATATCCCTCTTTCTCTTATGTTTTTCGCAGTACAAGTTTTTGACAGTTGGGTCGCTCATAATAAACCTTGCAATATATATATATATATATATATATATATATACTTTTTAATTGAAATATAGTCATTGTTTTTACACATAGAGAATCATGCACATACACAAAATTCAATAATACGATTTAAAAAAAAAATATATATATTATCTATTTCATTCGTAATTATAATAAATTTGTAATTGCATTAGATACAAATTGGAAGCTTTTATTATTTCTTCAAGTTCATTATCTCTTAAAACTTTGACAACTATTCAGGTAGATCTATTATTTCATGATTTTATCATTAAAACCGAATAGATAGATCTATATTTATATGTGCCATAGCACTCCAAATGTTTAACATAAATATGATAAGCAATATGATGTAACTCGATATCTACAGGTATAAACATACACAAATAACACTGATAAACATTTAGTTTTAAGAAATATAGATTTGTAAAAAAACTAACCGATACTGCAATAGAAAAAATATCAGAAAAGAGATAATTCCGAAGCGCGATATAGTGTAGAATTTATAAAAAGAAAGATAGATCTATTTAGCTAGATATATTTAAAAATTTTTGGAAATATTGTCTCACAAATATTTAATTGTTCTTTAAACATTATCATACAACTGGAAAGTACGAAACTATCTAGTGTATACTCATATTAATGATTATCTTATTTAGCATTTTCATATAATAAGAGCTAGATAAGATATAAATTTTTTTTAATTTTAATCTTAATAAAATAAAATAAAAATTATTAACTTATTGTTAGTAATCTCAAACCAAGAGATACAGTTCCGAATTCATTTTTTGCGCTTGTGCTCTATTGGCCGATTTTAAATATCATATTTATATTATTATTATTAATATTGAGAGCCGATAAAAAAAAAAAATATATATATATATATATCGTATCTAAAAATTATTAACTTAAATTAAAATTTATCTTACAAAACTATGTATATAACTAACTATAGATACAGTAAATTTTATTTTTAATATTTGTTTAACTTCTTATCTCTTATATTACTAAAGTTATAGGAGTTGTAGGAGGTTTAAAATAGAACATATTATTGCTTACGTAAAAATTTTGCAATGACTAATGCTTATTATTTATAAAATATAATTCGAGAAAAAGAGAGATTTATCGTTTGAATAATTAATAAAATTTAAAATAAAGCTTTCCTTAAACGCTGCAATTTAACTTTATCCAATAATATTTTATAAAATTAAGTGTGATATATTAAAAATAATTTTTAGGACTCTTTCTTGGAAATAAAAATGTTGTATTTTAATATTATATTAAATTATTTATGTTTTCCATTCTGCATCTCGATAATAGAAATATCTTTACTTTTAAAATCATCAATTAATACCGTTTTCGTAATATTTGGACACATTTCAAAAACTCGCACCCCGGTCTTTTTGTATAGGCTTGCCAAAGATTGGCTGAGCAAAAACGGCATGTTCCGTAGTCACATATACCGGCACAAGGAGATGTACATGCTAAATTTAATTACAGATGAACATATATATTCACGATTACATCTCCTTTGCTGCCTTTGTGTCTTCCCATGTGATCCAAGGCCAGAAAAGAATTGAGAATTAGACCCATAACATTGACATTGATCGTTCGTTTCCATTCGTACTCATATAATACACCAGGATTATTGATAAGAATATCGAGAGTCACGAACTCATCACATCATCATTCATCACATTACATAATTAATATATTAATGTATATATATTTAATAATGAATACATCAATGTTATAATATATAATAGAATAAATCAATAAATTTTAATAATTAATACAATAATGTTTATATTAATTGATAATCATTATTAAACTATGTCAAATGTTAAAGTTAATTAAAGCAAAACAAGTTATCAAATGTTTAACTCTCTACAGGCGAAGATCGCTTCAAATAATGGGGAAAGTTCACGGCGTATGATTTATTATTCTCGCTGACCCAAGCCGCTCCGTTTTCACCTTTTTGGATGAGAGCTAGTACCGCAAGAGCCACATAATCGGCAGGTTGGCAAGTGTTAAATTCGAAATTATCATATTCATCTTTGGCCCATTCGTCGTCGATGATTGAAATAACTCTACTTTTGAAATCTTTAGACATTGATGTTTTCGTACTACCTGGACACATCACAAGAAATCGCACTCCAGTCTTTTTGTATAGACCTGCCAGAGATTGGCTAAATCCAAGAACGGCGTGTTTTGTAGCCACATATACCGGCGCAGGGGGATATGTATCTACTGCAGCTATAGATGCTATATTCACGATTACGCCTCCCTTGCCGCCTTTGTGTCTTCCCATATGATTCAAGACCAGAAAAGAGTTACGAATTAGACCCGTGATATTAACATTGATCGTCTGTTCCCATTTGTGCTCATTCAATATACCAGCGTTATTGATAACAATATCAAGAGTCTCGAACGTATCGATGACCTTCTTGAATGCTTTTTCTAGATCTTCGGCCTTTGACACGTCACACGCGATGAAGACAGCACGGCCTTTTCCAAATTCCTTCTCCAACGTAGTCGCTGCATTTTCGCCGTTCGATGTCGGCAAATCGATTATCGCAACACTTTTGGCACCATTCTGAAGTAGCACGTCTACAAATTTGGAGCCCATTCCGGCAGCTCCTCCAGTGACCATTGCAGTCTTATTACACACGTCCATGATGCTTTTTTAATGCAAATCGTAATAGTTGCTCCAAAGATTGTTGGAAAATGTAACAAACGGATTAAGTAAGTGATAGGTATAACGAGAATTTACTGCAAAATATATATGCTTCTTATCGTTGCGCTTATCAAATGCTGCTTTGATTCGTCGCTAATAATATAATTGTTAATGTTGGTAGGGATGAAGGACTATTCGTTGCAGATGTGCTGTATCATTATATTTTGCAACTTTTACTTTATCATTATTACAACATTTATTTATTATTATTGTCTATCAGTAATGTAAAATTTTGTACCCTTTTTATAGACTTGATTACCTATATATTCACTACAATTTTATTGTACGAACAATTTTTAGACATTGCAAATATTTATTTTGTGATAATATATTTGAATCGAGCGAAAAATTTAATATAATATTGCATAACATTATATTACATAATTAATATATTAATATATATATTTAATATTATATACATTAATGTTATAATATATAATAGAATAAATTTATAAATTTTACTAATTAATATAATAATGTTTATATGTTTATTGATAATCATTATTAAACTATGTCAAATGTTCAAGTTAATTAAAGCAAGACAAGTTATTAAATGTTTAACTCTCTACAGGCGTAGATCGCTTTAAATAATGGGGAAAGTCCACGGCGTATGATTTATTATTCTCGCTGACCCAAGCCGCTCCGTTTTCACCTTTTTGGATGAGAGCTAGCACCGCAAGAGCCACGTAATCGGCAGGTTGATAAGTGTTAAATTCGAAATTGTCATATTCATCTTTGATCCATTCGTCGTCGATGATTGAAATAACTCTACTTTTGAAATCTTTAAGTATTGGCGTTTTCGTAGTACCTGGACACATCACAAGAATTCGCACTCCGGTCTTTTTGTATAGACCTGCCAGAGATTGGCTAAATCCAAGGACGGCGTGTTTTGTAGCCACATATACCGGCGCAGGGGGATATGTACCTACTGCAGCTATAGATGCTATATTCACGATTACGCCACCCTTGCCGCCTTTGTGTCTTCCCATATGATCCAAGACCAGAAAAGAGTTACGAATTAGACCCGTGATATTAATATTGATCATCTGTTCCCATTTGTGCTCATTCAATATACCAGCGTTATTGATAACAATATCAAGAATCTTGAACGCATCGATAACCTTCTTGAATGCCTTTTCTAGATCTTCGGCCTTTGACACGTCACACGCGATGAAGACAGCACGGCCTTTTCCAAATTCTTTCTCCAACGTAGTCGCTGCATTTTCGCCGTTCGATGTCGGCAAATCGATTATCGCAACACTTTTGGCACCATTCTGAAGTAGCACTTCTACAAATTTGTAGCCCATTCCGGCAGCTCCTCCAGTGACCATTGCAGTCTTATTACACACGTCCATGATGCTTTTTTAATGCAAATCGTAATAGTTGCTCCAAAGATTGTTGGAAAATGTAATAAACGGATTAAGTAAGTGATAGGTATAACGAGAATTTACTGCAATATATATATATGCTTCTTATCGTTGCGCTTATCAAATGCTGCTTTGATTCGTCGCTAATAATAAAATTGTTAATGTTGGTAGGGATGAAGGACTATTCGTTGCAGATGTGCTGTATCATTATATTTTGCAACTTTTACTTTATCATTATTACAACATTTATTTATTATTAATGTCTATCAGTAATGTAAAATTTTGTATCCTTTTTATACTTGATTACCTATATATTTACTACAATTTTATTATACGAACAATTTTTAGAGATTGCAAATATTTATTTTGTGATAATATATTTGAATCGAGCCAAAAATTTAATATAATATTGCATAACATTATATTACATAATTAATATATTAATATATATATTTAATATTATATACATTAATGTTATAATATATAATAGAATAAATTTATAAATTTTACTAATTAATATAATAATGTTTACGTTTACTGATAATCATTATTAAATTCTCAAATATTCAAATTAATAATTAAAGTAAGACAAATTATTAAATGTTTAACTCTCTACTGGTGAAATTCGCTTCGAATAATGGGGAAAGTCCACGACGCATGGTGGCTGCTTATTTTCGCAGAGCCAAACCGCTCCGTTTTCACCTTTTTGGATGATAGCTAGCACCCCGACAGCCACGTAATCGGGAGGTTGGTGAACGTTTAATTCGAAATTGTCATATTCATCTTTGGCCCATTCGTCGTCAATGATAGAGATAACTCTACTTTTGAAATCATTAAGTATTGGCGTTTTCGTAGTACCTGGAACCATCACAAGTACTCGCACTCCGGTCTTTTTGTATAGACCTGCCAGAGATTGACTAAATCCAAGCACTGCGTGTTTTGTAGCCACATATACCGGCGCAGGGGGAAATTTACCCAATGCAACTCTAGATGCTATATTCACGATTACGCCTCCTTTACCGCCTTTGTGTCTTCCCATGTGGTCCAGTGCCAAAAAAGAGTTACGAATTAAACCGGTGATATTGACATTGATCGTCTGTTCCCATTTGTGCTCATTCATTATAGCAGCATTATTGATAACAATATCAAGAATCTCGAACGTATCGATGACCTTCTTGAATGCTTTTTCTAGATCTTTGGCCTTTGACACGTCACACGCGATGAAGACAGCACGGCCTTTTCCAAATTCTTTCTCCAACGTAGTCGCTGCATTTTCGCCGTTCGATGTCGGCAAATCAATTATTGCAACACTTTTAGCACCATTCTGAAGTAGTATTTCTGCGTGTTTGTAGCCCATTCCGGCAGCTCCTCCAGTGACCATTGCAGTTCTATTCCACACGTCCATGTTGCTTTATTTCGTAAATGGGAATCGTAATACGTACAAAGATCGTTAGAAAGTGATGGATATAACTTGAATTTACTGCAATATATATATACTTAATTTTTATTGCTGCTTATCGCGTTGCTTTGATTCGTTATGGTAATGTTTGTATGGATGTTTGTATAGGGATTTGCTGCAAATATGCTTTATCATTATTTTGTAACTTTTACTTGTACTGTATTTTTCGACCGATTTTGCTTCTTGTCATCCCCACTTTTCTTTTCATTGCATCTAGATTGCTTGCGGAGACTTAAGACATTCGAGCTAATAGGGACGATACTAGTTGTAAATTATACAGGGCGGTTAGCGTGTATTGTCCCGTGCGCTGTTCACTGTTTATAGAATTTTTATTATATTATAAAATTAAAAATAACATTAAAATTAAATTAAGTATTTCATAAAATTAATATTTTTATTTAACATAACTATCTATTATAATAAAACAAATGTACGCTAACCGTCCTGTATGATTCACAACTAGTATCGTTCCTGAGTTCAATGTCTTATTGTCTCCGCGAACAGTCTAGATGCAATGAAACAGAAATGTTGGGATGACAGTAAATAAAATCCGTCGAAATGTACAATCCGGCCGCAGGCCTAGTCTATCAGTAATGTAAAATTTTGTTTTTTTTATAGGCTTATTGTTAGATTACCGTTATATTTACCCGTAGATTTACCATTTCTAAAGATTCGATTATGCAGTCAATACATTTTTATACAAACGCTTGTTAGACATTTCAAATATTTATTTTGTAATGATATTGTATTTAAATCGAGCTAAAAGTTTAAATACATTATTAATATAGTAATATTTAATATTCACAATATTCAATACATTGTTACAATATATAATAGAATATATATAATAAAATAAATTTATAAATTTTAATAATAAAATATGTTTATATTTATGATAATCAATAAACGATCAAATGTTCAAATTGATCAAAGCAAGTTATAAAATGTTTAACTTTCTACAGGTGAAGTTCGCTTCGAATAATGAGGAAAGTCCACGACGCATGGTGGTTCATCTTCCGCGCTGACCCAAGCCGCTCCGTTTTTACCCTTTTGAATGAGATCTAGCATCGCGAGAGCAACGTTGTCAACTGATTGGCTCCTTACTTCTAAATTGCCAAATTTGTCTTTGGCCCATTTTGCGTCGACAATAGAAATAACTTTATTTTTTAAATCGTCCATTAATGCCGTTTTCGTAGCACCTGGACACAATATAAGAACTCGCACTCCAGTCTTCTCAAATAGACCTGCTAGAGACTGGCTGAATCCAATAACGGCGTGTTTCGAAGCTATATATGTCGGCATCGGGGGATATTTAGTTAATCCAGCTATAGATGAGACGTTCACGATTACACCTCCCTTGCCACCTTTGTGTCTTCCCATATGCTCCAAGGCCAGATAGGAGCTGCGAATTAGCGCTGTGACATTGATATCAATCAGCTGTTCCCATTTGTGCTCATTCATAATACCAGCATTATTGATTAGAATATCAAGAACCTCGAACGCATCAATGACCCTATTGAATGCCTTTTCTAGATCTTCTGCTTTTGCCACGTCACACACGATGAAGACAGCACGGCCCTTTCCAAATTCCTTCTCCAACGTAGTCGCTGCATTTTCGCCATTCGATGTCGGCAAATCGATTATCGCAACACTTTTGGCACCATTCTGAAGTAATATTTCTGCGTACTTGTAGCCTAATCCGGCAGCTCCTCCGGTAATCATTACAGTCTTATTCCGTACGTTATCCATTTTACTGTGAACAAGTCGTAATGTGTACTGTTAAGATTGTTAATTAGTAATGAAATGAAGTTGTTGAAAAATCACGAAAGTGATGAAAGTATATATATGCTTATCACGGTTTTTTATTCGGTGTTGCATATTTGTAAAGATTAAAAGCTACTTGCTAAAAATGTGCTTGTCAATATTTGTACTACTTTTGCAGATTATTGTTTTATCAGTCATGTAAGATTTGATAACGTTTTATTTTGATTATTTTATTTCGTTGTAATGTACTCAAATCAAACCTAACTTTAAAATGTTCTTTATATTGAAATACAATCTCATTTTCTCTACATATCTTTCTTACACAATTATTATTTATAAAATTTACAACTTATTATTATATTTATATATTTAAAGATTATTTAATAATTTTTAATTAATTTCTATTTATTATAATATAAAAATTAAATACAATAACAAACACAGAATTTTCTTTTCTCAAATTTCGGAGCTCTTTGTCTGTGAAAATAACGTCGTAAAAAGTATTCTATACATTTCGAAATACAAAATGACTGATCGTGCAGCAAAGGAGGAAGAGGATAGGGTAATACTAAAGTATTAATTAACAGGTAATACTAATCTATTAATTAAATATAACGTTAAGTGTTACATAACACAAGCATAATACAAATTTTACATCAAGTTTTAGATTTATAATTCTATATTATTCTATTAATTATACTTTCATATTTTATAATTCTATTAATTATACTTTCGTATTTTATTTCCGTTAAAATATGTTTACATCTTTATATGTATATAAATATGCACAAAATATCTAATTATAATGTTCAACAAGGGTATTTATATATTAATTAAATTTATCAATATAGAAATAATAAAAAATTTTAATTAATATATATTTAACTTTCTATAGTACAAAATTATAATATATATTTAAAATAATATATAGAACGAAAAATTATACTCAATAACATGATTTGAAAAAAATAATTTTTATCTACTTATCTGTAATTACGATGAGTTAGATAAGAAGATTATTATTTCTTCGAACAATCATAGCGTGTCTCGTGCACAATTATAAAGTTGTAGAGAAAAATTAATCAAAAGCAAAAAATTCGCTGTAATTATCGTACAAACATTTACACTCTTTTATATAGTCTGTTGACTTTAAATGTATGTTAAGATAAAACTTTTTTTGAACTTTGTAACTTACGTGACTTGTACAAATAAAATATTGCCGATAAATAAATGTATAATTATATAAGTAATTCTTAGAACTCTTTGAAATAAAGGTAAATTTAATGTTATATTAGATACTATTCATATATTTTCCATATTCATATTTCCCATTTTACATACGTGTCACACAATAATGTTTTATATTTAATACATTAATGTTATATATTTATTGATAGCCATGAATAAACCATCACCGCGCAAATTCATCAAAATAAGACAAGTTATCAAATGTTTAACTTTCTATAGGTAAAGATCGCTTCGAATAATGAGGAAAGTCTACGGTATATGGTGATTGTTCATTCTCGCTGACCCAAGCCGCTCCGTTTTCACCTTTTTGGATGAGAGTTAGCATCGCGCAACCCACGTAATCGGTTGATTGAACCGAGCCACATAGACCCTCAAATTTACTGACGTATTGTGCATCGACAAAGGGGAGAATTCTTTTTCTGACGTCGACAATTATTGCCGTCTTCGTAACACCTGGACACATTATAAGAACTCGCACTCCAGTCTTGTCATATAGACCGGCCAAAGATTGGCTGAATCCAAGAACGGCATGTTTCGTAGCCGTATAAACCGGTGTTGGAGGATAAGCGACTAATCCAAATATAGATGAGATGTTCACGATTACACCTCCCTTGCCACCTTTGTGTCTTCCCATATGCTCCAAGGCCAGATAGGAGCTGCGAATTAGCGCTGTGACATTGATATCGATCAGCTGTTCCCATTTGTGCTCATTCAAAATACCAGCATTATTGATTAGAATATCAAGAGTCTTGAACGCATCGATGACTCTATTGAATGCCTTTTCTAGATCTTCTGCTTTTGCCACGTCACACGCGATGAAGACAGCACGGCCTTTTCCAAATTCCTTCTCCAACGTAGTCGCTGCATTTTCGCCATTCGATGTCGGCAAATCGATTATCGCAATACTTTTGGCACTATTCTGAAGTAATATTTCTGCGTACTTATAGCCTAATCCGGCAGCTCCTCCAGTGATCATTACCGTCTTGTTCCGTACGTTATCCATCTTGCTTTCAAAAAATCGTAATCCGTATACTGCAAAGTTATTTATAGTAGTACGAAGTGTTGAGTAAATGACTAGACATGATGAGTTTTATGAAAATATATGCTTGTTGCGCTGACTCGTTGATTCGTTAACTAACATTGGTAGGAATAAAGGAGTGTTTGCTATGGTATTTGAAATTATCTTTTGTAGATCGTTTATCAGTTACGTAAAATTTTACGTTTTGTACATTTAAATATTTTTTTGTGATAACTTGCCGGGAAAAAATAATGCATATGTAATAAAATATAAGCATATGTAAATATGTATAAGACAATCGCAATATACTATGAAGAGAGAAAAGTTTTATATAGTTTTATATGATTGCATATAATGCTATATGTATAATTTTATACAATTGAATATAACGTATATTATATGCAATCAAATATATTTGCATATAATTTTATATATGGCCAAATTTTTTCCAAAATTTTTGGAATAAATGATTATATAATATATAGTTATATATAATCCTATATAATATTATATATATTTTGTCATTTATTCAAATCAAACAAAAATTTAAATGCATCTTTTTTATCAAAATACAATTATTGTTCCTACATATCTTTTTTATATATATAATTATTATTTTATGGAATGTATTCTATTTATATTATTTATATATTTATAATTTAGTAGTTTATTAAGAGTGATTTAAATATTTAATAATTTTAATTAATTTCTGTTCATTATTATAACACAGAAATTAAATATAAAAGATAAATAAAACGCTAAATAAAAAAATAAAATGAAATACATTAATAAAAGTAAATATTGTTTAAAAAATATAATGCGGAATTTACATTCAATTTTAATTGTAACATGTGCATAATAAATTAATACATATAGGAGATAATATATCTATGTGGATAATATCCATCTATTACATATCCATATATAACAGTTAAAACAGTTTATTTTTTACGTCACATAAGATATCAACTATGATTAAATAACTGCTCTATAAATGTAAATATAGCATTTATATTATATAAATGCCAGAAAAGTGTCAATTTTAATTATTATTATTATATATATATATATATATATATATATATATATATATATATCAATAAAGTATGTATGTTTTTCAAAGATGTACCAAAACTATATGTATTTTTATAAGAAATATATATATATGTATATATATACAGATAGATTAATGTTTATTTAAAATTTAAAATGTAATAGTAAAATATTTTTTTAATAATCATGAAAATTAAATCGATATTTTAGTTTTCGACGCGAACACTTGCGCTTCTCGGTCTCGTGACAGCTGGCTGGTGATTGGCTGTCGGTGCAGTGGTGGGGATGGCGCTGCCCGTACGTCTATATAAGGTGGCTCCCAGAGGTTCAGCAGCACATTCTTCGTCCAAGCGTCGTAGAACTCATATCGTTGTAAAAAAATGACTGGTCGCGGCAAGGGAGGAAAAGGATTGGGAAAGGGAGGAGCTAAGCGGCATAGGAAAGTTTTACGTGATAACATCCAGGGTATCACTAAACCAGCCATCCGTCGTTTGGCGAGACGTGGCGGTGTCAAACGTATTTCTGGCTTGATATATGAAGAAACTAGAGGCGTCTTGAAAGTCTTTCTGGAAAACGTTATTCGTGATGCTGTAACGTACACCGAACACGCCAAGAGGAAGACTGTAACAGCTATGGACGTCGTCTATGCTCTGAAACGCCAAGGAAGAACCCTGTATGGTTTTGGTGGTTAATGTAATCACGTATTTGTGAAAGTCAAAACGGCCCTTTTCAGGGCCAACAATTTCTTTATACGTCGGAATTGTCTTAGAAAGCATACATTCAAATATCCGAATTTAATTTTATATACAATTTAAAAAGAAATAATTATACAAAAGTAAGATTTAAAAAGAAATTTATTTAAAAGTATTGTTTTTTTCATTAATTATATAAAAATCCCTTTAAATAAATTTTAGTTAAATTAATAAATCGGAAATTAAATTTTGAAATAATTTTGTTTATATTGAATAAATTGAAGCATTTTATGCATAAAGTAAATTCTTAATTATTAATATAGCTTACTGTTTTTAATTCAGCATCTATATTTTTATATCGCCGCGCAAAAAAATATGCTTTTAATTAAACACAACTATGTAGCATTTTTAATAATATATATCTCTTATCTCATCTTTTTATAGTATTTTATTTTCTTAAACTCCAATGTATTATATATTTCAATGTCATCGCAGTAAATATTAATCTAACGGCACATAAACAAGAATTTTTATATAATAAAAACAAATTTAATGTCCTATATTTTCAATATGTATATATTTAGCGAGTTATGATGAGTCAGAGATAAGTTATTCATTGTATCTTATCACAATAATAGGATATTTTTAAATACATGTATAGGGGATTTACTGCATTCTAAATAATTCCTAAAATTATCACTATATTTAATACTTAAATTTTTTTTTAAAGAAAAACAATTATCTTTCTTGGACTAGATATTGAGTATACTATCTTAAATATACGATATAAAATCTTTTTTATAAAACTAACATAATCCCCTCTTCCTTCTTCCTATGTTCTAAATTTAACATGATGCTATAATTATAGACATAATTATTTTCATATAAAACTTATTAAAAAACCTATATCTACATCAGTATAATATTAATTGAAATATTGTATAAAAAATGGATAAAATTTTCTATGTAGGAAAGGTAAAACAAGATATGTATTAATTGCGACTTTTTTCGAACGTGTTCCTCGTTTGAAATAATTTGGGCCCTGAAAAGGGCCATTTGTAATTGTAGCGAGCAGAATAATTATTTCTTTGCTGAAATAATTACGGCTTTTGTTGCCGCTTTTTTCGGCTTCGGCGTCTTGGTCTTCGCTGCGGGTGCCTTCACGGCTTTCTTGGCTTTCGACGGCGACTTGGTTTCCACGGCGGCTTTACTCTTCTTCTTTGCAACGGATTTAGCAGCGGCGGCAGTTTTCTTCTGAGCGGGCTTCTTCGGGCTCTCTGCCTTTTTAGCGGCGGGCTTCTTCGCGGCGACTGGTTTTCGCGTCGTCGTGGTCTTCTCGATTTTGTCCTTCTTCGCCGCAGGTTTGACAGCGCGCTTCACCTTCGCCTTCGCCTTGGGCTTCGAATTGTCCGTGGACAATTTGAAGGATCCGGACGCGCCTTTTCCTTTGGTCTGCACGACGGTGCCCGAGGAAACCGCGGCCTTCAGGTATCTCCTGATGAACGGGGCGACCTTCTCACCATCAACCTTGTAAGTCGCCACGATGTACTTCTTAATCGCCTGCAGCGACGAGCCCTTTTGATCCTTCAACTCCTTGATGGCCGTGGTCACCATCTCTGAAGTCGCTGGCCGCGACGCCTTTTTCTCCTGCGACTTAGCCTTGCTCTTGTTAGTCTTCTTAGCCGGAGTGGGATTGCCCTCGGCGGCTTCGGCGGCGGAGTTGCTCGTGTTAACTTTGTCCTCCATCTTAATTTTATCAGCGAATGAGTTTTGCGTATACAAAACTATAATCACAAAACGATATCTATCTCTCGGTCTCTCTCTCTTTCTCAATATCCTACGAAGTGCAGAATAGTCAGTTTGCCTGCGAGTGCCAGCCTCGCGCTCTAGTACCGGGAGCGCGGACCATGGAGAGAGACCTACCCAATATGTCGGCCCGTTGGTTTCGCAGAAAATGATGGAGCGGTAAATGCACTTTGCCTTTGCGGCGTTATTTCTCGCGGATTAACGTAGCCGGATCCTCGCGAATGGAATCAATCGATAGCCAAGTGTATGCGGTTTCGTCTTCGATCGTACCGCGCGACTCTGCGAGCCTCGGTTCTCGGCCACGAGGAAATTTCGTCGTTCGCGTCTCCACGCGCCGATAGCAAAGGTCACGGAAAAACATAAAAACCGAGCCTTTCCCGACCGATTTTCCATGTTGACTCTCCGAAAGGATATTCCGGCGGAACGGGCCCGTCCTCTCGAGCCATCGTTTCCGACCGATATCGGCTTATATTCCGAAAATAAGAAGCTTCATTCGCAGCCTCTCGGGATACGCGCGCTCGTAAGATGCGAGAGGCAAATGGCCTTGTTGCTTCATAGCTTAATAGTATATAATGCAAATCGATGGATTCCTCGATCGAATTTTAATCATGTTCCATTGATGAAATTCACGATGAATATTGAAAACAAATCATTTCGATCATTTGAGCCTCGAGATGCTTTTTTCACGAGACGAGGAGCTAATACTGCGCAGTTTTTTGTACAGTTATATACCTATCCTATGTATCTGGGGAGAATATAATAAATCGATCGAATAATGCATTTTCTATATTAATTAGACTTGGAAATTAATAATAATAGTTGTCAATGAAATAAGGATAAAAGTTTGATTTATACGCCTTTAAAGCGATAATTCTGAATTCTCAGACTTATCTTTTTAAAATCATATAGGTCAATACAGTCGAGTGAATGTGTAAAAGTTACTTTATTTATTTCGTGTGTCTTATTCTGAAGAAAGAATGTATAAAAATCAATAGAATTTATAATAGAATTATTATTGTAAAAATGATAAAAATACGATGTATTTGATTATAATATTCGCTGAACCAAATATTTTACTGTCGCATCGTGTACTTATATGACACACGTTATATCGACAGAACGATATAGTAATTTGTTATATAATTGTTTATATTTTCGAAATACTTGATAGATAAAATAAGAAATGCATTTGTCGATGATATGCATTTATATATTTAATAATATTTGTAAAATATATTTAAAAATGTCTTTACATTTATAAAAGCTGTTTCTCAAGCTTCTATCGCATTAATAGTTCTGTAATGTGAATTCATGTACATTATTTAATTTATTAAAATAACAATTAAATTTTTCTAGAATATTTATGTTAAAGTATTTTGTAATTCATAATTTGACATCATCTATGTGTATATAAATAATACAGTAATGGTATAGAGAAAACTCTGTTATGTAAGAGTTAATGACGTTTTTTATCATCTGTAGGATATTTATAATAGATAAAAATATATTTTAAAATAAATTTACATCATAGTATTGTAATTCTATAAATTTCTTAAACAATTAAAAAAGATACAAAACTACATATTAGTAATTCTAATATTTTCATTTTATATTAATGTAAAAATGTAACATGCTTGAGATATATAATTTAGCATGTTTATTATAAAATTTTTCCATAAAAATATATATGTATAAATATATATAATGAAATATATATTGCAAAATCAATTATAACTAACAATTATAAATAAATTGTGCATTGATATAAATATGCACTCTAATTTTATTAATATATATTTAAAGTTATTTCTCTCAATTATACATAATCAATTTTGCAAATTAATATAAATTAATCATTTAGAATATAAAGAAAATAAACTTGCTTTGATAAAATTTCGAAATAACAATGCCAGTTGAAGTTAAATATAATAATTTTTTTATAATTATAAGAATGTCAACAAATATGTCAATATTGAGTACTGGCATTTATCATATTTTCTTAATAGAAACACACACAATACATAAAATAAATATATCCTAAGTATCTATACATAAAGTCTATAAGCGTTTTAATGTATTTAATTGAGACAAGTGTAGAGAATTATATTTTTTTAATTATGTAATATTATAAATTATATAATTATACAATATATGATTATGTAATTATACGTTGTTTGAGATATATATATATAAATTTTTAATGTTCTCTCTCTCTCTCTCTCTCTCTCTCTCAAACAACGTATAATTACATAATCATATATTGTATAATTATATAATTTATAATTTTACATAATTAAAAAAATATAATTCTCTATATTTGTCTCAATTAAATACATTAAAACGCTTATAGACTTTATGTATAGATACTTAGGATATATTTATTTTATGTATTGTATATATATATATATATTATTCATATCAATTTATATTAATGCATAATTTATTTATAATTGTTAGTTATATATATATATATATATATATATATATATATATATATATTCGTAAGCAATATTCATATCTAGATAGCAGCAAATATGATTTGATTAATTGCAATTAATTTATTATATGTTAGTGTATATAACCAATTACAATTTTAAAAAGTCATATGTTTATTATTCTCTTGAATATTGCTGGCGAATACATTTTGCAATTGTCGTTAATTGCATATTACTTGTACCCTCATAAATAGTACCGATTTTGCAATCCCTGAAATACTTTTCTTGCGGAAAATCAGTCGTAAAACCAACACCTCCCATTAAGTCCATGCATTTTGCGGTAATACGACATGCAGTTTCGGACGCGAAAAGTTTCGCCATAGCCGCTTCCTTCATAACATCTTTCTTAGCTTCTACTAGTCTCGTTGCGTTGTAAACAAGTAATCTAGCACACTCTAGTTCCGTCATCGCTTGAGCTATTTGATGTTGCAGAGCTTGGAAGGAGAAAATATCCTTTCCAAATTGCTTTCTTTCCAACGTATATGGTATAGTTGCGTCTAGACAGCCTTGTGCGATACCGATCATCTGCGCTCCGATACCGATTCTACCCTCGTTCAGAAATCCAGCCGCATATTTATATCCATATCCGAACTCTCCTAATAAATTTTCTTCAGGTATTCTGACGTTGTCGAAGTGGATCATGCAAGTGCCCGATGCTTTCAAACCCATTTTACTCTCTGGTTTAGCCACCGTGAGACCAGGTGTATCGCGATCCACGAGAAAAGTCGTGATGCCGCGATAGCCAGCGGAAGGATTCGCGTTGGCAAAAACTATAAAAACCTGCGCCACATCGGAATTCGAAATCCACATTTTAGTACCATTTATCACGTATTCGGCACCGTCCTTTTTCGCCTCGGTTTTCAGAGAAAAAGCATCTGATCCTGCATTAGGTTCCGATAGACAGAAACTACTTACACAATTTTGAGCTAATTTAGGTAAGTACTTTTGCTTTTGTTCTTCGGATCCCACTTTAAGAATCAACGAATTTATCAAAGTGTTTTGGATGTCAACGGAAACGGCTACCGCTGCGTCGACTTTTGAGATTTCTTCGATAGTTAGTATTGTATTCATAAAGCTGCTGTCCGTTCCACCGTACTTTGCTGGAATCTCGATACCCATCAGACCGTTTTCAAAGAGCTTCCGAAATATACTGTCGTCTATCCTTCCTTCCTTTTCCATCTTCCGTACAAGCGGGGCGATTTCTTGTTTGGTCAGTCTAGCAACCATTTCTTTCGTCGCAAGTTCATCGTCTGTAAAGTGTGTTAGAGGACCTGTGTGTTGACGAAGGCGCGTTGCATGCAAATGTAAGTTACACGTCGCACATGCGCTCTGTTTTACATAACGTGGGACAGATTGAAATATAGACGAGTACATGATGTATCTTTCTTTCACGAAGAGAAACAACAGAAAATCTTCGTGGGAATCAAAACGAAAACTCAAAACACTGATGTTAATTTATAAGTTAATAGATGACGTCGATATAACAATCGAAATAATCTCACGGAGCTCGACTTGCTAGAAGCTGATGTTCGTCAATACTGAACTCCGCTCTTAACAAAACATACATACATAAATACTAAATAATGTTATCGCACGTGACCTGGTATTCGATTAAAATAATATTCGCGCAATGAATAGATAGCTTTTATCTTTTGAATAATTCCGAAAAATATACATATGAACGCAATGCAATAAGCAAAGAAATTTTCACGAGATGATTTTTAAAAATTAGAATACTTTGTTCAATGGAAAATCTGTGTTAGATATAAATATATCATAATCTTCGAGAAATGTTATAACATGCAATAATTAATAATTACATTTATACATTTAATTACTATTATTGCACTTAAGTTATTACACTTGAAGAAAATCTGAGACTTATTTTTATGTAATAATTACTGTTAATTACAATTAACAATATCGAATTATAATTAATATTAAAATAATTGTATTTAATAAAATTGTTTAAAACAGACTGTAAAGATTTTCGTGTTAATTTTTCTTTTTCTATTAAAATATATAATTGTAATAAATGTTAAATATTATATAAAAAATAAATATTTGCAACAAATGTTTCTTATATGATAAACTAATAATAATTCTGGAAAATATATGAGAGAAATATTTGTTGAATTTCAAAATATATCTTATCTTTTCGTCACTATTTAAGTTAAACACATAGAGATTTGATATCTTAAGACAGAAAAATATGTATACACATCCAGTTAGTATATATAAATGCTTCAAAGTGTTCAATGGAATTTTAAAGTATTTGAAGCATCTGGAGCATCAACTGGACCATGTGTATCATCACGCAAAAATATTCATCAGCTTTCCTATTTCTATCTCTTTCTCCTACTTAATGAGACTTAATTTACGAAATCACAACAGAAGATGTGTCGTATTTTTAAGAGAACGTAACAATTTCTTCTTTTTTTTGTCCAGTCACAAAAATAACAGCTGCATTCTGCGGAATCAACAGCCAAATATCCAACGTGCAACTGCAATGAATAAAGAATACATTGTAATGAAAATTCATATCATTAGAATTCATTTGAATATGCGCATGAAAGTCAAAACGTACGTATGTGTAATTCGAAGTCAAGCGAATCAGCTAATCGCAATTCATTAGGTTGATACACGCGTCATGAAACTTGAGTCACTACAATGTTCATTACATTGCACATCCGCAATAGGAGAGATGCGCATCGGCGAACGACAATCGTCGAAATGTGAGCATCCTGACGCCAAACGCCATCTGATGACTGGTGTCGCAATTCAGAAGTGACGCGTGAATGCATCCCCACCACCGTGCCGTCAGCCAATCAAAAACCAGCGGACGGGTCCGCCAGGGTATATAAGCGGAGCGTTTCGCTCGTCCCGCTACATATCGCTCTTGACCGCAGACCCGTTCGAGATGGCAAGAACCAAGCAGACCGCTCGCAAATCCACCGGTGGCAAGGCCCCGCGTAAACAACTGGCGACTAAAGCTGCGCGTAAGAGCGCGCCCGCCACTGGAGGCGTGAAGAAGCCGCATCGTTATCGTCCTGGAACTGTCGCTCTTCGTGAGATCCGTCGTTACCAAAAGAGCACGGAGTTGCTGATCCGCAAACTCCCGTTCCAGCGTCTGGTTCGTGAGATCGCCCAGGATTTCAAGACCGATCTTCGCTTCCAAAGCTCGGCCGTTATGGCTTTGCAGGAAGCTAGCGAGGCTTATCTCGTCGGATTGTTCGAAGATACCAATCTTTGCGCCATTCACGCCAAGAGGGTCACCATCATGCCCAAGGACATCCAGTTGGCTCGTAGAATTCGTGGAGAACGTGCTTGAATTAATTTCTTCAAAAATCGGCCCTTTTCAGGGCCAAACATTCTCTTACGGAGGAATTTCTCGCGTACGCTTTATATCAACATTATTTGCAGTCGATAAATAACCATTTATATCTTCGAACTAAATCATTTTTTTATTTACATCTTCAATATCGTATTTTTTATCGTATTAGTCAACCGGATTCTTGTACATAATAGGATACACGATAAAAGGCGAGAAGGACGCCTGCGTTGGGTGGCACGCTTTGACAGATGACGCTTATGTAGTTTTGGCGCGCTTTTGTGATGCAGTCTAGTATGGCGTCTTCAACGTTTCGCTCGCTAAAAAAAGCGACGGAATAGCCAATCATTCTCTCGCTTCCCCGGGAAGATTATGCAGGTAGTCAGAAATAATGACTACCAAACCGTTGTATCTCGTGGGATACTACGTTTTTGCGAGCCATTCTTTTGTACAGAGAAGCACGTAACAAAGGGACAATAAATTCCTCCACGCATGAATTTATATGCACATATCAGCATCTGTCGTATATATACCCTGCCATGTGTCTAGAACATAATGTTAATGTCATGTGCTCTGGATCTTTTAGAAACATACATTAAGCTTGAAAAGCTGTATCATAGAAACGCTAAAACTGCATGATCATGTACAATTAATGTAATCTCGTCACGCAACATGATCCGATAAATTCGGTTAATCTTAAAGTAAACAAATTCAATGATAAAAGTAGAATTTCTTTGGAAAATTACATTCCTACATATATATTAAATATTTTTAAAAGATTTTTTTATTACGTGATAAATAAAATAAATTTTAATAATCACCTATTACCATAATTATAAATAAAGTGAAAAATACATTTAACGCGCGCGCGATAAAATTGATTACAAAAACAATATATATAATCTATATCTTTGCCTTTGCCAACTGGCAAAAGACTGTCGATCAAAAAAGAAAACTTGCGAATCGCACTGTTAACTCGAGCGTCAGCCGTGCGTGCGTTTGCAGATGTATAATTTAAAACCTCTCTCTTTCTCCCGTCCCGCTCCTCCCAATCATGATTTCATAACGCGAGACAATTCGAAGAACGCGGCATCGTGTGTATCTCCTTGAGCTTAGGCACGATGTCAGACGAACGATTTCTCCTCCGAACGGGCCGTCCGCATGGGTGGGGAAAATCGATATGAAAAGGCGAGTTCAAAGCGCGAGGGAGAGCGCACAACAGCGCAGCAGAGCACCACCACGAGACGGGTCATTAACGCTCGCTCGGCGCGCCGCGACAAGTGACGTTTCCCCGCGGATGAAACAGGAGGACGAGAGAATGTCGCAGCGGCGAAAGGAGTGCCGCGGGAAACGTCTGGTAGTCACGAGTCGATGAGGAAGGTGCTCGCGAGCTGGACGGTCGAGCGTCGTCATCCGCGTCGCGGTAACAGCTGTGCTGGTGCGGGAAAATGCTGAGGGTGTCTGTCGTCGACTCTTGACGGCTCTCGGCTCTTCAGGACACAGAGGCGGCGGTGGAGGACGACGGAGAAAAATGACAGCGACTCGTCGACGGTTGGTGCGCGTGCTGTCCCTGTGGCTGCTCTGCTTGCTCTCCCTGCAGCCAGACTACGCGCACTCCACGCACATCACCGGTACATTCAACACGAGGGAGTTCTTCCGTTTCCTCATCAAGTTCGGCTTCCAGAAGACCGACCGCCACCGGCAGAAAGACTCGTACGGTTATATATTCGGCAATGTGACCGCGACGACGGACTTTGACGCGCCGATCACCCTGGCGATACTCGATCGCGGCCACTTCCTCGAGTATTACGGCAATCGCACCCTGATGAATAAGAGCACCGCGTGCGCCTACATGTTCAACACGTTGAAAAAGAGTTCCTACGATCCGCACTGCAACGAGGAGGGTCAAGATTTTCTCAGGTACAGCCAGATCATTTGTTTATATATTTTTTTATGCGACATATAATGTGTAATATTAATTAAAAATATAATAATTGTTAAAGGCGAGTTCCGTGTCCTCGAGATAAATTGTGCCCGGACGAGGACTCTGTGTGGAATATCGTAAAGGGACATCAATTCACATACGTTATACAGGATTTTTGGCAACCACGATTTTGGTACATGAGCCTGGTCGCGTGCTATAGAAACAGAACAACCTGTCAGTGGGAGTATTACAACAAACAAGATGAATTGAAATATGACATCTGGCTAGTAAATGGCAATCCGAACATCAGTGGCCTAAACAGTCTGACTTATCAGTTCTCCTACGACAGACAAGACACGATCGAGCTATACTTATTGTTTTTTCTGTGTTACATCATATTAGTGCCACTGCAGTTGTATGCAGTAAGATTACAAAAGCATCCTGTAACAAGATTATTCACTGCTAGTTTATTATTAGAATTTGTAGCAGTATGTTTAATCTTGATACACGTATTGAAATTTGCACTAGATGGAGTGGGCTATGAGCAATTAGAAGTTGCAGGTGATATTTTTGATATCCTATCACGGGTAAGGAAAATTTCTTTTCGTAAAGATTATATGTCATCAAATTGTATATTGTATAATATGTACTAATTGTAAATCTAAAACAGTGATACATTCTATGCAGATTGATATATTCTTTAAGCTAATCCAATCTTCAGAAGACTTGTTATTAAATTTTAATAGTAGTTAATAATTTATTCTTGATATATAATTTTAAAATGTTAATTTATATGGACAATTGTGATGTAAATATTTGTTTAAAAAATTTGAAAACTAGCTATTTAGGAAATAATGTGTGCATCCAACTCTTTAATACTAAGTTATTTTTATATTTTTAGACATCATTTATGTTATTATTACTTTTACTCGCCAAAGGATGGGCAGTAACAAGAATGGAATTAACATGGAAACCATTGGTGTTTGCAATATGGTTTTGTTACGGGGTTGTTCACATCTTGTTATACGTATGGAATATGGTAACTATTACATATTCCTTACCCATTATTTATACATTTGCAATAAGGGTGTAAATTTATTTTATTAACAAAAATTTTGGTTTTCAGACGGAAGTTGACATTATTGAAGACATAGATGAATATCAAACTTGGCCAGGATGGTTCATATTGTTATTTCGAAGTGCCATAATGGTATGGTTTCTGTATGAACTTAGAAACACCATGACATATGAGCATAATACTCAAAAATTGAATTTTCTCCTTCATTTTGGAGCATCATCATTAGTTTGGTTCATATATTTACCCATTATAGCACTTATAGCGCTTCAAGTGAGTGCACTGTGGAGGTTTAAACTGTTATTAGGTAAAAATATATATATATATATATATATATAAAGATGTACAAATTTATTTTTAATTATATTTTTTCTTTATAATTTTTTATATATTATAGGTATAACATACTCAGCAGACTGTTTTGCTTATTGTGTAATGGCTCACTTATTATGGCCCACACGGAGTGAACAATACTTTTTACTTGCACAAGGTGCAGATAACGGTGATGAACTTGATGAATTTAACGAAGCGCCGCATGTATTAAATAATTATGTAGAACCGCCAGAACTCAGTAAAATAATCACTTAATACTCGTCCATTGGAGATATAATATTAAACAATGATAAACGAAGTTTCTAATTACGAATGATGTGATGTACATTTGCCAAATGGTCAGTCTAATAGAATTGATAATATTCTAATATGTGCTACTGAACTGAGATATTGTTGTATGTACACATCCTATAAATTAGAGATGTATCATCAAATTCGGCTATGTGATATGAAGTTAATTGATGATACAACTGGTGAGTATGATATGAGTATAATGCTATAAATACAATTTTTTCAATTTTATATATGGGAAACAAAGCATGAATTTTATTCTTAGCAATTTTGTATATATATGTATAAAGAAAAAACATTAAATATATATTCTTTTGAAGAATATATTCTTACATTACGTTGCTAAGATTTACAAACAGATAACTGATTTGCATATACTAGGATATAAAAAAAATTAATTACATATTACAATAATATATAGTATCCAAAATTTATCATGCAAGTACTTTCTCTAAATAACAATTTTACTTACTCATATCATATTCAAAATTTTGAACTTCAAACATCAATCATTTTCCAGCCATTCTATACATTTTGGTTGTATAAAGATTTCTATAATACATTTATATTATATATATAATATATAAAATCATTGAGAATTGAATTTTATAGTAAGGTATATACATTTTTTATGTCATTGTTTAATTATTCATTACTTGTTATTATCTTGTAATTATTCCATGTCTATTCCATACGAACAATATTACAATGTGCGCTTGAACAAAGAATGTGGTGGGAAATAAAACTTATATAATTTTTATAACATTTTGATTTTAGTTAAGTGTTTTAAAAGTTGCACATGTGATGACTTTAATGTGTATGTGTAAAAAGTTATATTAATTTATCATTAATCTATACAAGATATTTTAAAATGATTACATGTTCTTTTTAGTATACACATTTTTTATCAATTCGTAACATTATTAGCATTTGAATAATTAATTATTGAAAATGGACAGATAATGAAATTATCTTTAATACTATAATAGAATTTGAAATTAAGATAAAAATATACAATACTAGAAATTGCAAAGAGAGAGATAAATAAGGACTTTTATTGATTTTTAATTGAGGAAAATTATTTCCATACCCTTCGATTTTATAAAAGTCGATATTATTGGAACATTTATATAAGAAAATTTTTATATTTATTGTTATTCTGTTTAATTTTATAGAGAAAAATGTTTAATTTCTGTTTTTTTTTATATAATTTTAGTTAATTGTACACTTTAAATATATATTAGAATAAAAAAGCATCTATATATGTAAAATTATTTCCGATTTTATTCAAGTAATTTAATGTTGCATCAAGAGAGAATATAAATTAGTTTACACAATTGAAAATATCTAATGTATGAATTTAGGCTACAAATACATTTTTCGTTACATTATTATTGCTCAATCTTGTAACTTAGGTGATATATATGTACACTCTTTTGAGAATATTTTAATGCTCAGCATATGTATGTATATAGAATTATGTAAAATCTTTGTGTGATATATTTATATTTCTGATATCCACACTAAAAAAATTTTAGTATAAACTATATTTTTGACTTCTTTAGTTGTCTTCTTTAATATATGTATGTGTGTTGTGTGTATGTGTTATAAAATATATTTAGCAGAGTTATGTCCACAATTTTAATTTAATTTTTAAGTATTTTTTGGAAAATACAGATTATGAATATGAATATATGTATTATACATAGAGTAAAAAAGTGTCGGTAATCTTTAAATTTGTTATTTGTAAAAGTTGACTCATTTATGATATAGAATATATTTCTTTTTTAAAATCAAATTATAATCTCATTTTGATATCAGGTGAAATAATTGTATCTTATATAATTTTCAATATTTTTATTAAGAATGCTGAGAGAGAATTTATTTATTTTTGATAATTGTGGAAAAAGAATTTTTGTTTGGTTTAGGAAATATTTTAATTACAACTTTTTTACTATTAAAAAAGTAAAATTGTTTTATGGAGCTTTTGTATATAATGAAGCTGAAGTACAAATGTTTATTTTTGCTTGTAAACCATATTTTAATGTTTTTTAGATTCACATGAAAATTATTATCAATATCCTTTTTTAACAATGTAATTTATTTTATTTACAAGATACATTTATAACAATCTTAATCTTGATGTAAGGCTATCAATAACTTCATTAGATCCTGGTCCTATGCCAACAACTGTTACTGTACCAGGTTTCAATTGAGTCCTACCAGCATCTTTTATTATGGCAGTAATTAAACCAGCGCGTTGAGCCTTATCCGCCAAAGTCAATAACTCTTCTTCATTTGGTATTTTAACAACAATTTTTGGCTGTCCAATTTGTAACCAAGATTGAAACATTTGTTGTTTCTTTTCATTATTTAAAGTCTGACGACAACATTCTAATGCAGCATGAGCGCATTGAGCACCGACTTTACCCTTTCCCATAGGGATATCGGACCGAACCACTATTACCATTTTACATTTCTGTCCATTCCAAACAGGAGATAATAAAGATCTAATATATCTATTTATCAACCACATTTTTAAATTATAGATACTTATTATTATTTTAAATCTTGCCGCTTTGTGTGTTCAGCCATACACTCTTTAAACTTTTTTACTTCATTTTGACACTTCCTCCAATCTTGGTGCTCAGCTATACATTCCTGAAAAAGAATAAAAATTAGATAACTATATTTTTAAGATAATCAGAAAATTTAATTTACAACAGTCAGTTGATTTTAAGATTAGCTTAATTATTTTTAGATAACTATATTTTTAAGCTAATCAGAGAATTTAATTTACAGTAGTCAATTGATTTTAAGATTAGCTTAATTACTTTTAAATAAAAAAATATTCTAGAAAAAATAATCGATACTTTAATAGAGTTTAATTAATATTAGTATCATTTATATAAGTGAACGCACTTGAACTTGATAATGCAATTCCATGCAACCGGTCCTTTTTAGCATCCGCTCGACAGGATCTTCAATTTCTTTTTCAGCATCGGTATTCGATGATGCAGTCATATTATAACGCCGATACTTAGATGAAAAGAATCCGAATTATATCCAATTGGAACAATCATATAATTTTAAATCATCCAATAAATACAACTTACACAATTTTAGCGAGATACGAAAATGCAAGGTTAATTACTTCATAAATTATCTCTTATCTGTCCTTCGACTGAAACGAGATAATAACCGTATCAGAAGATGGAGAAAGACCCGAGTTTATTATTTGAATCTCATTTACGAGACGTCAATTTATTCGTATAAAAAATATATCATTGTAAAATTACATATACACTACGATTTGCTGTACTACTACTACATTAACATATTTGCTAGAAAAAAAGTCCGATAATTCAGCGCTCGAGGCGCCACCTGTCAAGAGAGCTACCGGTTCCGTGAAAGTAAACCAACGCGTGTGACGACTGAAAGAGCACGAGCATCATTCGGCAGGGCATTCCGCTTGCACGATTATTCAAAGGTATTTACCGAGGCGAGGCGGCGTCCTTGTCTGATCGCGCGTTTGACAGCTCTTCCGCGGAGGATCTCCGCGTGGAGCGTCCGACAGTCTCTGACGTTTCACCGAAATAGCGTCCGGCTCTTTTTCGTGGAATTCGTCCGGAAACACGGCACCGCCTTGTTTCGTTACTCACATTACATATACACGCTCCGCGACGAAGCTCATTAGTTTATCTTATTCCTTCATCGGAACATATCCCCCCTCGTTTTCGATAATTGTGATGAGTTTCTTTTTTTCGCGCAGTGATTCTTACGTGTCGAAATTTATTTATAACAATCTCTTTGTTGCATCGGTTTTATTACCCTTGTGTAAGTGAGATATCAAGGAAAGAAAGGAGCTAAATTGAAGCACAGTTACGGTACGAGTAATCTCCGCGAAATGTGCATCTTCTATTTCTTGGTTTTATTTTGTGCTTGATTCTCTTACGTGGACGAGAATCGCAAAGTGAATAAGTAGTAACAATTTGCAGTGTGTACAGTTTAATTTAATTAGGAAATTTTACGTTCTCTTTTTTATGGTTTCCATAACATGGCAATGTGTTGATGACATCATTTCTAATATTTGATAAGTGTATCTAGAGATTAGTTGCATTATATATAAATGTTAAATTAGTTAATTTATTAAAAATAAACTCCTGATTATTTCCTAATTTGCATTTGTGTCATAATGTTTGTGTTTTAATATTTTTAATAATTTTATTTAATATATATGTAATAAAAATATCTGAAATTTAGAATCTGTTTTATTTGATTAACTTACGTCTATGAGATACTAATAATCTCAGATATGAGTATATAAATTCTTTTAATAAGAAAGAGATACACTGAAATATTAAATAATAATTTAAAAATTTCTTGATTTTAATAGTATATATTTTAAATTATCTGCTTCAAGTGTAAGAAAAGATATATAATATATATATTTCTTTATATAGTAAATGTGAGATACGTTATAGATACACATAAAATTATATATACTTGACCCTAGTCTTAGATTTCTCACACTGACAACATAATTCTCACATCCTGCCATTGTTAATCCTGCTCTGCTTTAATTAAGATAATTATCATGAAAAAAGCTCTTTTTAAAAAATGCAAAAAATATATATATATCTATTACAATCACTTATTATTTTTACTCAATTATTGTTATGATATATATATATATATATATATATATATATATATATATATTGTTGTTATTAATACATAAATTTAAACAAATTATAACAGTGTATTTATGTGCCAGAAGTATGAGTTGACTATTGTTAAAAGGAACAAGATTCCATTACTATATATTTTTAAAATATGATGGAATTTAAATGGCTACTTTATCTTAATTGAAGGTAATTACCACAAAAATGTCAAAGAAACCAGGAGCTACCCAAGCAATGCATAAAGTTATAATGGTCGGGAGTGGAGGTGTTGGAAAATCTGCTCTTACGTTACAGTTTATGTATGATGAGGTAAAAACAAAAATATTTTTATAGCAAATATAATACATGTATATTATTATTGATTTAACAAACAAGCAATTTATATTATATGATTATATTTCTAAATTTGTATTTATAAATATTATATTTAAGAAAAATTTTTTTTTAAACATTATTTACAAAAAAAATTTTGTTTTTTAAATTTTAATCTTGATGTTAAACTTAGTTTGTTGAAGATTATGAACCTACAAAAGCAGATTCCTACAGAAAGAAAGTTGTATTAGATGGAGAGGAGGTACAAATAGATATCTTGGATACTGCAGGACAAGAAGACTATGCAGCAATTCGAGACAATTACTTTCGTAGTGGAGAAGGATTTCTCTGTGTATTCTCAATAACAGAAGATGATAGCTTCCAAGCTACACAAGAATTTAGGTCAGTAAAATTTAATAAAATTGTTTATTAGCTTTTAATATCTAGTTACTGGAGAGAATATTAATATATAGCAATTTCATAATTTTTTATTATTCCATGTTTATTTTAACTAAATAAAACTTTTCTTTTTCATAGAGAACAAATTCTCAGGGTAAAAAATGACGAGAACATTCCATTTTTATTAGTGGGAAATAAAAGTGATTTACAAGAAAAAAGGAAGGTTAGTCTAGCTGAAGCTCAAGCAAGGTCTCAACAATGGGGTGTTCCTTATGTGGAAACAAGTGCTAAAACAAAAGAAAATGTGGACAAGGTAAAATACTGTGGGTATATATAAATATATATCTGTAACATAATTTTTATTTGATTAGGGAATTCAAAATAACATAATGTGTATAAGATATACACACTCTAATAATAGTTATTGTTCATAAATATTACCTTTAAATCTATTTCTTTTAAATTATATTAATAATGATGTTGTTCTACATACCAACTTATATATTTGTCTTGATATTTTTTCTTAAAATGAGGAATTTATATGGAATTAACTAATTTTTGTTTTTTTTAAATTAGATTTTATATCAGATTTTATATGAACAACAAAACACAAAATATTTATATATACGAGTACATGACCATCTATAGTACTTAAATTGTTGAAGTTGGTAGATGCATTCACATATATTTTTTGTTGCTTCTATTTTCAATTTATTTCCAATGTAATGTAATGTAATGTATGGCGTATGAGTCGATTGCACGAAATATGCATTTTTATATAAGCTTAATTCTGCAATCTATGTTATACATGTTTTATGTCACTATGTGTTGTGTTGTTGCTTATGTGCACACAATTCTTGTTTTCTTCTTTTACAAGTATAAAGAATATTTATGTTATATTGCACATTTTATATGCCTTAAAGCTTTGAGATAGCATCCATTGCACATTTGCAGGTATTTTTCGACTTGATGCGTGAAATAAGGTCACGCAAAATTGAAGATAAGTCAGCAAGCAATGGTCGAGGTAAAGACCGTGCCAAGAGGAAGAAAAAGAAGTGCATTATTCTATAGGTTTGCCGGTTTTTTTTTTGCACCTTACTTTTTATTTTATATTTTTATAAGATAATATGTAGAGTTATAATATTTTTTATTTTGGCATCTTTAAATTGATGTATGTAAAATATATAGAGAATATATGTATGTATGTATTTTAATAGTTTAATCCAATTTTTCTGATTTTGAATAGCTATTACAGATATGTATATTATGAAAATTATGATCAAATTATTATATTCATATTTATATCATTTTTTAAATTTAAAATGCTAATTAAAAATAAAATATTCAAATTACATATTAATTATAGAAAAATTATTTATAATATTTTTATTATAAATATTTGCAAATATATTAGAAGTATAATGAATATAAAATAATATACATACACATATTTATCTGTAAAACTTATCACAGCTTACGCAAAGCATGTGTGCTTTTTTCTCTTTTCAAATGATATTGTTATGATGTTTTGTCTTGTAAGTCAGATCTCTGTATCTATTTCATTTTTTATATCGTATGCAAATTTCAGAACATCAATTTAAACAAGTAAATTAAAATATATTTACTCCATTGCAGGTTTTCTTTGATCTAATGCGAGCAATAGCTGCTCGCAAGGCACAGGAAAACCAGGGAGATGGGAGTGAACGTAAGAAGAAAACAAATTGCTGCATCTTGCTATAACAAATATAAAACAGTGTGTAGCTTTTGTTACGAAAGGTTCAACTCCTATAATTGCAAGCTAAGCATAAGAAAATTGTGTATTTATACAAAAGAAAGAGTTTTCTGACACTTTACAGTGAGTTGACACTCTTAATCTTTGCTGTTCACTGTATTACATACAGAATATATTCGAATTCTCTTAAGACACACATATACAATTTAATATATATATATATATATTTATATTATATATATATATATATATATACACACACATATTCACGAAACTTTTCCTATTTAAAATATTCAAATAACATACGTTTTTTATGAAGTTATTAAAAAATAGATTTCATTGATACATTTTTTATTTTTTTTGTCTTATATTATTATATATAATACATTCCTATAATGTATATTTGAGTTACAAGAGAAGATTTTCGTAAGATTTATTAATAGAGCACAAAATTGCGTAAATACGTGCAAGATTAGTTGCAAAATTACTTACAATTAGAGTGCTGAAACATAATGTTAATATATATGAGAAAATTGAAACTGTAAATATTTATATAATCTATAATATTTATATCTATATCTTCTAAATGAATATTATTTGTTTTGCTTTTTTAATATATTATTTGTGCAAATAATGTAATTCATGTTGAAATAAAATAATTACATTCTTAGTTGATCTCTTTGTATTATTTATGTATAACCTTCAATGTTCAGCACTCTTTCTGTTTAAAAATTATTAAATAAAAGTTATGAAAATGTATGATTAGACTTATAAATATCCTGGATATATTTCAACTTATTAATGTGGAATGAAGTTATAATATCGAATAAGATATAAAGCAGTCATAACACTGTAAAGCAACGAAAACTTATAAATTAAGTAATATTTGTTTATAAATATATATATATATATATGTGTGTTTCACAGTTTTAATATATCACTATGTTTTATTTTATAGTCATTTTCGTTATAGTCTTTTATATAATATAACAGTTTGATATCTCGAACGTGTGTGAGTGTGAATTTTGTAGTAGTCAAGTCGTAACACATTAACAATTATTTTTCTATTTTTTATACGTTATATATATAATTATTATAAAAATGATCATACTTTGTATGCAAATAACTTTGGTTTCAAATTCTGGATAAAATTTAAAAAAAATTTAATTTATAATTTCAAAGTGATGATTATTGTATGACATTACTTGACACTTGTCGACACTTATATTCGCACATCTGAAATATCAAACTATAATAAAATAAAATAAATTTTTATGTTTAACATGGTAGACTGGTGATTAGAGACTGATTGTATAATTATAAGTCGCTTATCCAAAAAAAAAAAAAAAGAAAAACTACCTCCATGAGGCGCATTTATGCAGATATATAGAATAACCAAATTTCAATACAGCTTTTTCGAAAAATGACTTGACAGCTGTTACAGAGCGATTATTATCGTATGTAAAATACATATAATAGGTTTTTTTTATGAAAGGACAGCGAAATACCTGTATATTTAATTTTGATACTTTTGTACTGTTGATATTGATTGTGCCTTTTAAGTGTTCACTGTTGATGTAATGAGAGAGGTCAATCAAATTTTAAGATTATTTAGAGGAGTTTTATGAACATTTAAATTCAGATTTTATATATACACACATACTATATGTTATTCACACCATTATATATAACTTTGCAATTCTATATGTTTAATATGCTATTTTTCATAAAATTAAAAGTCATTTTATGTAATCACAATGTACTTTAATTATTACCATATCATTTATTTACTCATTTATATCCAAATAATTTGACGATTAGCAAATCCCGAAACATTTATTAAAATCTTGATATTGATTTAAGAAGTTTTATGTATAAGATAAAATTTCTCTTTTAATACAATATATTTGAATATATGATTTTTAGTTGCATTTGAATATAAAAATTAAAAACAATTAACTATCTACATCAAATGTGTGAAAAAACAATGAAGGAAACATAATAAATGAAATAGAAATATGCAGCATTTTTATAAAAACTTCGCCATCTTAGGACACTTGAATTTATAATTTTATTTCTGTTTTGAAATAGTATCCTATAAAAATTTAAAAAAATAATACATGTTTTTTCCTTATTACATATACATTTGGACTTTCATGCACAGAAGTAAAAACAGTGTTCTGAGTGTTCTTGCTGAATTCATATCTTTATAATACATCTTAGATATGATACGCCCAGTTCACATGTATATATTATAGATGCAAATGTATAATGCAAATATACAATCAATATTTCCTATTTTCTTATATGTACATATAGTGCCCCAAAATCGATATTACATTTTGTCATATAGAAATATCTTTTTGACAAAATTCTGTAAATTTAATTCTCTATGTAGTACAATCTATTTTTACATTGTTCCTTTTTGTAACAATAGAATATAAATGTGGCATAAACAGATTTCGGTAGACTGTGAGTTTTGTAGATGATAAATTGTAAATTATACACATTTATCTTGCTTTACAATTCAATATTAAAATTACAAGATAATCTATGTGGAGCATAAAGCTGCTGTTCTGAATTACAATATATATATTCACTCATAAATGATATATACCATCCAATTCAGACAGATGGAATGATTATTGCCTTGGCTTATACTGAAATTAAACTGCACTGCAATTATAAATCAATTTTTTTCTCATTTCTCTATTGTGTAATTTATTGTCAATGTCAAAAATATATATTAATATAATAACTTATATATATGTGATTAAAGCAAGTAACATTGACAATGAATTTCAGAATAAACATTTAACAATATATTTATTATCAATATAAGTTTATCACTGCAGATTAAGGGGAACAATATGAATGATGCTGTTAAATGCATCACAGTCTTTAATAAGAAATTTTAGGTTTTTGTGTCTGCATATAGTGAAATAAGAAATTAAGGATAATTAAATATTAGTCAAATATTTCGTACAGCAAATGTGTTACGTATAACCACATATACATATCTTATGTACAACATATTAATAAGATAATAACAATTAATTATATTGAATTATATGAAATCATCTTTTTCTTGTATAAAATGTTTCTATTTCATTAAATACGTTCTATTTGTCAAAAATAATGTCGGAAATATTTTCGTACGCAAAAATGAAAATATGTGCGGGATACACGCAGACGAAAATCTATACCGAGCTTTACATTCAATAAAAATATTGCTTTAATATAAATATATATACTAATTCATACTTCATTGTGCGCTGATCACAGTTGTTTTGAACCTTCCGCTTTTTTTGCTGTCGATGGACCTGATGGAAGCGGAGGATTTTTCACCTCATCAGATTTAGTATTACTTTTTAGAACAGCAGCAGATTTCTGTTTGCCTTCCTCGATACACGGACCTGTATAGGATTTGCTGGTTTCTCTCACAGTATCATCTGCCAGTTCCTCCTTCCCAAATCCTGGTTCAACTGTTACTGGTGTAGCTGGAACTGTAGATTTATGTGTAGCTTTTATGTTATCCTGCTCCTGAGATGCCTTCATATCCTTTTCTAAAGATTTTTGCATTTGTTCTTCTACTTCTAATACTTCTTCTTTATCCATTAGCTCTATCAATTCACCCACTTGCTCCTTGCTTAATTTAACATCTTCCTTTCCTATTAATTCTATGACCTATGAAAATTGTTATTTAATTAATATAAAAAATATATTGTTAATAAATATATTAGAATTTATAAAATTGTGCAAAAAATATATACATAAGTATATTTAATCATATTTATGAGGCTATATATGCATATTTATTATAATTAATGAAAGTTTATAATTTATCTTATACCTTCAAGACATCTTCTATTTTAATTGCACCATCTTGATCGTCATCAATTTTTTCTAAAATTTCTGCTATGCGTTTTAATCGATATTTATCGGGTACATTTTGAATTTGCTTAATAGCTGCAACTAATTCGTCTATTTTAACTAATTCTTCAACATCTTTGGCATCCCGTTTTTCATCAGGACCCAATGACTTCATTCTTTGTTTAACTTTTTTCTCAGATTGTTCAAGCTCCGACAAAACGGCATCCATTTTCGAGATCATTTTGTTTACTTTATTAAATAGCCGTTTAGCACCTTTTGATATTTTAATATTCTCTATATCTTCTTGACCTTTCGCCTCTGCCTTAATTTGATACAATTCCTTAATATCTTCTTGATATTCTGCCATTTCTTCTTTAAGTTCTTTAATTTCTTCTTTTTCTACAGCCATATTTTTATTGTCCTAAAAATATACAAGACACACACAATATTTTAAAATTTTATAAAAATTAAACAGAGAAAAAATTCTCTTTTTTATATATTCATATTACTATTTTTCATATATGTATCTTTAAATTTTTACTAACCTTGCCAATTGAATCCAAAGCTTGTTCTAAAACTTTGACATCTGTAGTAGTAATTTCACCTTCTTTTACATTAGATTCCAAGACAGTAGGCTGTGGTTCAGTTTCTTTCTGTTCCTTTCTTTCTTCTTCAATCTTGCGTTCTTCCATTTTTATAATTTCAATATTTGTTTTATGATCCACTTTACCTTCTTTCTCACCAATAGCACCCTTTGTACGAGCTACAACCGTATCAGGTAAGGCCGAAATAGTTGCTTTTAGCTTGTCTGACATAGGTATTGTTTCTGGTATCATGAGAGCTCGCGATAACAGCAGTAAGGAGGGTGAAACCTTTTTATTTAAACTCAAATCTAACCACAATGATAATTGTTCCCTCAACCTACTCTCTGGCAAGCCATAAGCACGCATACCACGTGCTCTGCATGCTTGTTGCAATTCAGTTCTAGTTAAACTATCAACCCCTTCTTTTTCAATTAGCTGTCAAAAAATATTTTAAATATTTTTAGCTGTACTAATCTAAAAAATTACAAAAAAGATTACAAATATGTACCTTATCATCTGCAGTAAGACTTCTTAATCTCATTCTGAGTAAGAATCGTAAGAAATTGGTAGTTCCAAGTGTTTGCACATCTAACACACGACATAAAGCAATTAATTGTGGTCGTGATAGAGAATCCAGTGTAATTTCGTCCTCGAAAAGTTTACTAAACTTCATAATTTCTTCGTTAGTCGCAACAGCACCGGATGTTCGCACTTTATAAAAGAATTCTGCAAATTCTTTAGCTTTCTCAGATCTGTGATCTGATGATTGCACTGCCATTTCATCCAATGTTTTTTGCAAAAATTTTGCCATTTCTATCTTGACCTGTTTATGAAAAATATTTATTAACATTTTTTATTTAATTCTTGTTATACCTGCTGTTTATGTTATTTTAATTATAAATTTATATTAATATTTTCATACCTTTAAAGCCTGTTTAAGCTTATCTTCCTTTTCAGTTGCTGTTTGAAAAGTAGAGGGTAACATACCAGGGAACAATTTAATTGCTACTGGCAGTAAAAATTCCATAAATGGAACAATAATAAAAACGGAGAAAGGAATCAATCTGAACATATCTCCGGTTGTTTTTATCAACTATTGGAAGAAATAATTGTTTAATAAATCTTAGTATTGTGATGTAAGATATGATGTAACAGTTATTATGTCTTACATACCAAACGATGCTCCCTTCTAGTGAGTTCTTTTCCATGTAAAATTCGCCAGATTAACTTTGCCGAAACCTTCATGTCTAGTCCTAATAACCGAAATCCATGATAATAATGTAATATTTCTCCCTTAACTTTTTGCCACATTGTAACTTTAGCAACAGCTTTTTTTGGCTGCTCGTAACTTATTTTTGCGGCACTTTCTGCTAATTTATCTTTAAGTTCTTTTTCTTCTTTAATATTTTTCACTGTCTCTTCAACCTTAGATGATGAGTCTTGCCCCTTCCAATTAGAAGTTATATAAAATGTGCGAATATGTAGATGCGTTACATTATTAATATATGCATATGGTGACACTGTGGATTCCAGCAATAATCTTTTTGGATCCCTCAAATCTGTATAAATTAGAGCTACACTACCCATTGCATGATTGGTATTGTACCATAATTTAAATGGGGAGTATCCTGAAATAATCCATAAATTTTTTGTTACTTTATAATAATAAAATATTATTGTATAATAGCAAAAATATATAGCTCATGTATTTCAATACAAATTAAAATCTAGTTATAATAATAAACGCGAATTTGTCTGTATTACTATAATTAAAATAAAATATTTTTAAATAAATTTATTTAAAAATAAAATAACTATTAAATATTAATTATATAGTTAATAAATTTACAAAGAATTGTAAAACAGATGAATGATGAAAGAGACATTGCATATACTTTTTTCGATAAGCTCCAACTAATATTGTAAATAATATGAAACATGTGACGACATAACCTATAATATCTTTTTTCTTCTTTTACCATACAATAGAATAATGAATCGTAATAAAATATCGAAATTTGAAAGAACGTCCAAGCGATTTAAACGCGATGCAGATTTACATATTATATATATATCTCATAAATATATGTGCATACATATACATATACACATAATAAATCGCGTTATCTATAATGCAAGTATTACAAGTGTTATAAAAACATATGTCTAATATCTATAATAGGACATGAAGTAATACACACGTCGAATAACTCCACCGGGACGGCCGGTTATCATCGTCTTCGTATGAATTAGGCTATTCATAATGTATTATATATTTTTTCTAGTCGAATTTCTTGAAATCGTTATATCGTCTCGAAAATCACGGTCATCAGCATTCAGCATCACACACCGTCGTCCACTTTGAACACAGCAGAATAGCAGCTAGAGCCAAAGATCAGCTGGTACTTTGATATCACCGGCAGTATCAGATGATCACTGAAGAGAGAGATGAGATGAGAAACTCGACACTTTAATCCAAATTACGAGTCGACCAATCGAAATGAAGAAAACTCTGCTCCGTTCCTCCTGATTGGCCATTAAAAACAATTCGGCATTTTTTGCATGCTGTCAAAATTCTGACATTCATTTGGCAAATCCAAATTTATTCTTCCAACATTTAAATTCACGACAAATTCAATTTCATCTAATTAATTCATTATAGCGTCCGCACGATTTTTTCCAGTAGAGACATATTTTTTTCTTTCTTAATTTTTCAAAATTTAATTTTTTTTAATTTTCTTTTTTTATGTCAAATATGCAAATAAATTCCAGTATTTATTTTCAAAGGGAGAGTAATAATTTAATTAATAATTTTTTACTGATTTAATAATAATAATTAAAATACTAATATAATAATATTAAAAATAATAATAATAATAATAATAATATTTAATAATTTTTTTATGATTCCAAAGAAAACAGATGCTCCTCTTATTCTCCCCTTTGGTCGTCGCAATGATAATTAGTGCCAATTTTCATGAATTTTTTAATTATAGAAATATAATTGGCACGCACTGTAAACGTATGTGCTACGCATTTCGAATTATTCAATTTACATTCAAAATTTATCCTTCAACTCAGTTTTACATATTATTATTTCGCAGGTGGTTATGAAAATTAGATCGAATCGCGCGATAATGGAAACTCGCCCGTGAACGCGAGTCGGTTAACGGCCATCGGGAAACATATGACCCTGCATGTGACGCTGTTTTTGAGTGGAGCACTTTCGTTGTGACAGTTGCTTGTTTCCTTGAGGTACATACGCGTATATGCACTTTGTCGGCTCAAAGAAAGAGCGCAACGAAGAAACGTCTCGGATAGAAAATTTATTTGAAAAAAAAAAAAAAAAACAGTGTTTGACAGCATCGTCCTTTTATTACGCCGTTCGCACTTGGCTTATGTATGTTATATACGTTAGTGTCGAAATTAGTATTCGGAAGGTAACTGATCACCCCTCCAAAGAAAGCGGCCACTGACGAGTAGTGTTTCAAAATTTACAACGATGAGCGACGATCAAGCAAACGAGCAGAGTCCGACTGCAGAGGTGAGCTTTTGATTTGTCAACCTGATAATAATTGGTTAAAATTGTATAAAGGAAAGTAAATATAATGTGGTGCAAAAATATTACATGTTTTTCGTTTACATTGGAAAATTATTCAAAAGGTGACACACAATTTTGTTATTTTTTTATTTAAATTATTTCATTGTTCTATTTATCGATAGACTGTACCGAACATCTTTATTCTTCTACTCCTCTACTATTAATTCTATTTTCTTTCTTATTATTATGTATAAATACACAATGTATTTAGATAGAGATAAATATCGAATATGTAAATTATTTATATATAATTTCTAGGTATAATAACTGTATAACAAAGCAAAAAATCAATTATAAATACAGTACTATGTATTAATATAATTTTTAGTATAAACTAAGCCATAAATAGAAAGTTTTTTATAAAAATTTTGTTTGCATGAACCAGTTGTGTTTGTATAATAAATAAATCTTCATTATATTTTATTGTAGTTGTCATCGAGTGATATAGAAAAATTGGAAGAAGCAAAGCTAAAAGCAAAATTTCCAAATGCAGCTCGACCATTTGGTGGTCATTCTGCGTTTCTGCAAAAAAGACTAGCAAAAGGAGTAAATATCAATTTATTAACATTATCTAGAATTTTGATATTATAATATATTATAATAGGAATATTAATATGTTTCTTCAAAATTCTTTGCTTTATTAAGATGGTTAATGATTACATCGCTTTTAGCAAAAATATTTTGATTCTGGGGATTATCAAATGGCAAAACAAAAATCTACGGCTAAGCCAAAGCCAGCTGGTGTTCTGCCAACAGGGGATGCTATACCAACACCAGAAACGGTACCACAACGAAAAACATCTATCATACAACAAAAATTTAATACATCAACATCTTCATAAGATTGTCATTTTTTAAAACTCTACTTTGTTAATTAGTCTTATATTTGGATGCTAGAGTAATATGGTTCCTTATAAATAATTGGAGATTTAAACCTTATGTTTCACATTTTTCAAAAATATTTCTTGAATTATTTTATATAGTACCATAAAATTCTTGTGTCTTTAGTGAATCGATTATTTCTCAGCTGCGTATTCTTAAAGGAGCATTTGTAATATTATAATAAAAATGATGTTCTTTATAAATGTGCCACAGTGGTGTCTAAGTTTTATAATGTATGCGAGTAAATGAGTTACTACTTTTGTCCCTCAACTTAAAAATTTGTGATTTTTACATATTAATACATTTTGATAAATTATTCATAGATACCCTTATTTCCAGTATTTTATTTTTAATATAGTAGTAAAAAGTCAAAGATATAAAAATTAGAAGTATATTCAGATTATATTGTTAGCCAGCAATAAATATGCATCTTAGGTGCACATACATGTAAAAATTTACATTGAAAATGTGAGAAAGTAAATAAGTATAATAAGAATCAATATTTATAATAATATAAGAATTTATCTTGGTGACATATAATTATAATAACTTGTAATCCACTTGTGCACAATAAGATTGAGAGTAAGATACACAGATCTGCATTTCTAAAGCTGCTGTGATGCGCGCTTAGTAAGACTATTTTCTTATGAAAAATCTCGGGTATATTTACTATGAAAATTTGTAAAATAAATATAAAAATTTTCATGTAACTACAATTTTGCTTATTATATATATATAAACCATATTTAGTATAATATATTGCAACTAAAAAGTATTTTCTTTATTATTTATTCTTACCTTGTCATTATATAATGATTGATTTAGTACAACTAACATTTATGGCATAAAAGAATTTATTTCAAAATTTTTTATTTCAAATTTCAACATTGGCATGATTACATTGATATATGTGTATTTACTTTGAACATTGCTTTAGCATTGTTTCACTTTATTATATTTTTAATTTTTATAATTTTAATTAATATTATAGTTTAATTAAAGCTTTAATATAAATTGAAAGAAAATATAGTTTTCATATTTATTATTCAAAAAAGATTATATTCAGATATAGCATGGAAATATGTAATTTCATTCTTATTAGCAAATATTGCTAATATTACTCCTCATGCAATTACATTACATTGATATAATTATCATAAATAAGTATCATATTTAACTAAATAAAGTGCAATCGATATAATATTTGGTCAGTAAATTGTGCTAAGAAATAATTTTATTTTAAAAATTATATATATAATAATATATATATATATATATATATATATATATATATAATTTTTTAAAATACATACATATATATGTGTGCTCATAAAACTGCATTAATATTTACGATTATAATAAGAAATATATCGTAAAGAGATTACATATAATGTAAACACAAATATGTGATTCACCAAAAATAGTATTTTACAGTAATAATCTAAAATATACATAATCCCACTTATATTAAATATATCTATACATATATAAATATAACAAACTTACATTAATTCAATGTTATTTTTTTAAACTTTATTTTAATCATCCCAAGTAACAAATTGACATCAAAATGACGTACGCTTGCTACCTGGGACATCTTATTTAAAAAATTAATCACATCATATTTAAAAAATAAATTCCAAAAACGTATTATTTATATAAAATAACAAATATTTTAGATATATCAAGGCACTTGTATAAAATATATTGCTATGTTTTACGATTTATTTTGGCTTATATAGTAAAGAGTTTCTTTATTCACATTACTCATTTTTATTAAGAGTGTTGTGATATGTATTGTGTAGTATTAGAGTAAATATAGATTTTATTGATACATTTTCTCTATTAAATCAGCATACATGTTCGCAACTATATTCTTTTTAAGTTTTAATGTAGGTCCTAATTCACCAGTTGGAATTGAAAAATCATGTGGAAGAATCTCGAATTTCTGTACTTTTTGAGCATTACTTACAGCTTGCGCGTTTGCTCTTTTGATCGCTTTGTCAATTTCTCCATATATCTATAAAAGAATATGTTTTATAATATATATTATTTTCTGTATGATGACATAAATGAATTTTAATCGTTTAACAAAAATATAATAATTATACATTTTTTTATCTTATAATTTTTTATCTATTATATCTAACTTACGAGCGGATCACGAGAACTTATAACATCTGTAACTGTCTCAGCATTACTACCGATAGACTTTGCCCATTTTAATACATCGGGATTCAACGTATCTAAAGGTGCACCAGTTTCACTATTCACATTGCTCTGAAAAAATATGATATAAATATCTAATAATCTATATAAAAAGTTTGCATTTATATATTTGTATATTCATACCTTTAGTGTAACAAGAACTGTCAAATATTTCCTTTTATCCCCAACTAACATAGCATTACTTAATGCTGGTAATTCTGACAATATTGCATGCTCTATATTTGCTGGTGCTATATTTTCTCCTCCGCTTGTAATTATAAGTTCTTTTATTCTACCTGCAAATATGTATAAAAGCATATATATATATATTACTATTATGTTTGTTTATATATGTAATTATTTTTAATAGATATATCATTATATACTTAATGATGATCGATTGTTCAATTATATTAATTAACAAAAAACAAATATTTTTACCAGTAATGTGTAAAACTCCATTCGAATCTATTCTGCCAAGATCACCACTATGTAACCAGCCATTTTTATCTTTAGCTTCTTCAGTTTTCTCTGGTGCATGCAAGTAACCCATAAATACGTGTCTCCCGCCCATGCAAACTTCCCCTTCACCATTTTGATCTACATTGTCCAATCGTGTGTATACCCCAGGCAAAGGAGTTCCAACACCGTGTAGTCTAATAAAAAAGAATTTTCGAATATATTTGTCAATTTTTGAAAATATATGAATAATAGATTTTAAAAGCAAATATTTTTTACCGTAAATACAATATAAACAATGAAAGCAAATACGATTTACCTATATTCTTTATAATCGCCAATTGTATGAGCACCGCTACATTCTGACATTCCGTATGCTTCTAATATAGGTATATCCAAACTCAGAAAATATTTTTTAATATCTGTACTTAGAGGAGCTGCTGCAGTAACGGATATTCGGCATTTATCTAACCCCAGTGCTGTTTTTACTTTGTCAAAAACAAGCCATTTTGCAAACACATAGCCCCAGTGTTTATAATCCACGCCATTTATTTTATTCATGTGGTAGTAAAGCCCTTGCGCTTTTGCCCATTTAGCAATCCAGGTCTTTATCACGCCGTTACCGCGCGCCTTTTCTTGCATTTTCTCGTATATCTTTTCCCATACTCTCGGTACGGCTAATAAAAGAGTCGGTTGTGCCACAATCAAAGTTTCTACTAATGAACCTTTGAGCGCATTTTTATCCGCAAAGTGTACTGTAGTTGCTGCGATTACAGTTCCTATAATGTCAGCTAGCTGCAATTGATAAAATATATATCATTATTAATATTCTTTCCTCCATGGCGGTAAATTGTGCTAATTATATCTTGATCAATATATTTTTATTTGAAATATATAAAAATTCCAAAAATCTCACCTGTGCTGCAACATGAGATAATGGCAAATAACTAACAAGAACTTCCGACTTGTCTTTCAATTCTAAAAAGGAAAACAACACTCGCGCATCATGCAAGATATTATCATGACTCAACATCACAGCTTTCGGATTTCCAACCGTTCCTGACTAAAGAGACAATTGTAAATTATAAAAATAATATACATATAATTTTGAATATTAATTTGATTGTAATGTAATTTAACATACTGTATAAACTAAAGTGCAACACTCGTTTACTCCAATCGTCTTCAACACACACAGTAGATTATCGTCCGATTCCCTTTTACCTATTTCCAATAAATCGTTCCACTGAAAAATACAAGTATAATAATAAATCGTACATTGTAAATGAAAAAGAAAAGAATATTGTTATAATAATCGATTTACATACGCTTAAAATATCTTTTGTGGTGGGTATGCCGTCGTATTGAATAATTGCTTTCAACTGAGGCAGATTTTGTTTTATTTGTAAGATTTTCTCCAATTGTTTCGTGTCTTCAACGACTATTATATTTGCCTGACTATGTTCAGCGCAATATTGGCATGCTTCTGGAGAATTTGTAGTATAAATTCCTGTAGCAAATCCGCTAAAACATAATAATAAATTTATTTCCAAAATTGAAATGGTAAAGATACACGTTGTTCAAAATATTATATATATCGCCTTTTATTGTTATATTGCTATAAGAATAAATAATGTAAATCGTGCATTATATTTAAAAACATATAGAATGATCAGAATCTTTTACCCAGCATATATAGCTGCGATATCGGCGATGAACCATTCTGGACTATTAAATCCTAATATACAGACACTATGATATCGCTCCAAACCTAGCTTCAGAAACGCCTTAGCGACGATTCTTACAGTTTGTTCATATTCTCTGTAATAAAGATTCATGTATTATTGATCATTATATTATTTAACATATATCATATTAAATGTACAGTTACTGAACTCTATTAAATCAAATTTATATCTATAAATTAATTCGAGAAAAGAACAAGAAAGAGAAAAAATAGGCATTTATATAAATAGTTTATATCCTGTAAAATTATAATTAAAGAAGTAAAAATATTAAAGAAATAAAATAATAACGTTAATTGATAAATAACATTTGTCATATTATTCGATTTTATATTAATTTTATTACTTGATAATTTAAATAATAAAAATTAATTACAAGGTTTTTTTTACACATACCGATAAGTATACATGGTCCTCTTGCCTCTGACATCGGGTCTAGAGACCAACGCAATATGATCAGGATATAGATTTGCTGTTTTGGTTAAAACTCCAGGAATTGACATAGGCATGTATGAATTGTATCCATTCTTGTCTAATTTTATTCGAATTTTACCATCAGGTTCACACGTGGTATCTACGTCCGTAGCCAATACCTGATCAGGACCTGAAAATCAAATGTAATGCGATTGCAAAGACATGAATCTATGAAAAATCATCGAAAAAGAGGAATATATATGTTTTGTGAGTAGAAAAAATTTATAAGTGATATTATATCTATAAAGTGGAAGTAAACTGAAACTAATCCACTATTTAGCGACTTTAAATGTATTTACGTTAATAAGAGATTATGCAAGGAAGTCGATAAAAAATAAAAATATCTTGAATATATATATATATATGTATATATATATATATATATATATATATATATATATATATATATATACACATATATGTATAATAACAATATTACCATCAAGTCCAGTTTCACTAGCTGTTGCATATCTGATCGATTGATTCATTTCCTGTAATAATTTTACATAATTTATATCTTCAATATAAATATATATTAGAAGACTCCAACAACTCTATGATTCGAATTATAAAATGAGGGAAATATATATTTATTTTTCTTTCAAAATGTCGAATACAAAGACAGCATGTGGTATACTTTATACTACTTAAATGCAATAGTACATTTATATATTGCAATTGATAGTAGATTAATATAGAATATAATGAAGATTGTCTTTTCGATTCATAGATTAATTAATAATTATAAATCTCGATCTGTGAAAATCTTCATTTCCAAAAAAAGAGGAAGAATAAGAAAGAATAATTTTCGTCATCAAAATTTGAGTATTGCCATATATGTCAACCAGTTGTTTAGATAATAAAATCAAGATTACTCATAAGAAAGGGGAATAATTTCCTTTCTATTAATGTAGTTTTTCTGTTAACACAATATATACATTTATAATTGAAAAATTGCGCTACATTAGGATACTAGTTTCATATACATATATTATGAAAGATAAAACCAATATCCCTATACAAAAATTTTTATATCTGTTTTTCGTAAAATTATCGTTTTTACGTATATAGTTTTAGCATAACAAAAAGAATAAATGTATAGACGTTACGTATATGTTAAAAAAAAAAATTGTCATGTTTCTGATCATCTTTTTTCTGAAATTATATTAATTCGTGTGACAAGGTCAAAATTTCTTATAAACACATACAGATTCTTAAATTGAAACATCTGAAATGTTAAAAATACATAAATATTTCTTTTCGACTAAACTTTAAAGTGGTAAAAAAATTATAAAGGTTTAAATTTCAAAAAAGATCACAAATAGGATCCACATTTTAATGTAATGGAACTAAATAAAATGGCGATTTAATTTAAAATAACACGATAATTTAATTGTATTTAATTTTTTAATATGTGATACCTTATTATCTATTAATCCATTTATAGGGCCATGAAATTGTACAGCTGACATTTTATCTGAAATAATAACAAATAATGATAAGACATTAGCAAAAATCGTACTATAATGAAATTTTGTTTACACTTATTTACTTTTGTAATTGTTCTTTCTTTTTTTAATCAGCGGAAATTGGAAAGTTATATATTCTATCTTTTTTTTATCACACGAGCCTGTAATTCAAAAACATTTGAATTACTATTAAAAGAAAAAGATTAAAAAGTGATTAATTATAATTATACTTATTATAATTATAATTATACTTAATATTAATTATAATTAATCACTACTATATTAAATAAATAATCTTTTTCTCAAAAAATTTATCTATTATACATATTGAAATATGCTTACATATGCATTAGTGAATAATGTGGAAAAATAAAATGTACGTATAATTTGATACTAATAAAAAAGGAAAACACGCATAAATAGATAGCATATAGATAAAGCAAAAACATGCATGTTATATTCATATTAATACGAAGAGAAAAACTGATGATATAATCCCAGCAAACACAATATATAAATGTTATATACTTAAGCATGTTACATGTAACGTATATGTTAGTTGTAATTTCCCACTCATAGATGTAACATTTTTAATATTACATATATTACATTGTAGTTATATTGTCATTATATCCCAAGATAGCACTGACTTATCAATACATCAATGTGCTATTTGGTATATAATTACAATATAACTACAATGTAATATATGTTATATTAAAATGCTACATCTATGAGTGGGAAATTACAACTAACATGGATGTTACATGTAACGTACACGTTATATTACCTGTTATATTCCATTTTATTATAGCAATGTAACAATTATATATCGGTGTTTGCTGGGATTTTATTACGTAAATTTAAATTAAAGGATTAATAAATATTGATATGTTATATCGTATGATATGTATGATGAAGAAAGGATATATTAGATATGTATAAAATTTTATACTATAATTATGTATACATTTAGAGTTATTAGTTAAATTAAGATATTGTTATTAGATTTAATTTTCATCTTTTAAAATGATAAATAGTTTTTGACATCAGAAGATTATTTCAATCATAATTTTAATCATTGAGAATATTTGTGTATATTTGAAAGTAAATGGAGAAAAAGAGAGAAGAACTCAATATTTTTCAAGCAAAAATATCACATATTTTATAGTTATAAACAAATAAAATTATATCAGAAATGTTTTAATCAGCTTCTCATTGTTAGTTCATAAAAAGAAAATAAGAGTATGTAAACAGAAGAGGAAATTATACTGCAGCTTTACAATACTTTTACAGTAAAGAACATTAAAATAAAAAGAGTTTAATTATATGAGAAAATAAATCAAGAAATGTATATTCAAATAAGTATATGTGCATATAATTGATTTTGCAAAATATTTGAAATAACAACTGATTACAAGTATAAAAAAACATTCTAGAAGCAATGCGCAACACGTATTTTCGAGTTGCCTTTTAAAAAGATATTTAATTAAATATTGCAAGCGTTGTCGACAAAATTAATAAAACATGAAAAGTAGGCCAAATATACGAGCCGAAATGATTTAGATGTAAGAATAATTAAAAATTATTTATTCATAATATAAATGTACTGATTAACTGTTCGTTCACCGAAAGAAAGATGTATGAAATTAAAATTAAAAGGATGGTTCCTAAATGGAAAATTCATACGACGCATTGTAAGGCCCCAGCGTATGTTAAAACAATAAAAATACAAATCAACGCTCGTGTAAAATTTAAAATTAATAAAACATGAAAAGTAGGCCAAATACGTATAGTTGTCGATAATTTTTTTAATAAATTTATATGTCAATATGTGGAGTAAAATCCAAGATTTTGTAAAAGATCGTTGACCGGCGATCATGGTTTACAATGAACTTTATTTACATCAACGTAAGCATAAGTCACGCGATAGATGGCCAAAGTGCATTCGCAAGATATTAGCATTTATTGAAGACATGTTGTATTACGTAAACTCATAAATCCTGTTTAATCGGAAGACTGACGCAAGAAACAATGTCACAAAAAAATACAATCTCGCGTGCAGAATGCACCGGACGTGATTTTGCTCCAAAGGGATCAATTTTTTTCTTACTGTATAGATCTAAACATGAAAAAGCACAAAATGCGTGTTATAACACTCTTAAATTGCATTAAGAGATAGTATGGATAATAAACACAATACGAAGTTTGCAACACGTGTGTCTATTTACAATGCTAATTATAAATTGTATATTTTAAACTCGTATAATTATTATATTAAGCATTAATTATCATTATATACAAAAATATATTTATTCATATTCATACATCTTTTTATCTTTATCTGAAATATAGCAAAATATATGAATTATTTAGACGTTTTAGCGTTATAAATAGACGCAATATAATATTGTTCATTTAAAGAAAATTCAAATAAAAATAAATGTAAATAAAAAATAATGTAGATATATAATCTTGATGTATAAAATTGATGTATAAATTAAAATATGAATAAAATATATTTATTTATATCTATTGATATATATTTCTCATATAATATTTTTGTTTGAATATCGATAAAGCAATCAACGCTCAAACAATCGATTCTTTTTATTATAAAATAACGATTTTTTATTACAAATTATAATAACATACTTTATTCTTTTTTATCATTTTAAAAATTAAAAAAATTTATTTTTAAAAAAATAGTGTTTTTTAAAAATTTTAAATATTAGTTAAGAGTTTTGCTATGTATTAGAGGTTTGCCATAGTATTATCTTACTTCATGTATTTTATCAGGGTTGACCGCTGACATCGAAAGAGCGACATTTCTTTAAAAATTGTAACAAATAAGAAAGAAGAAAATTTGTAACCGTTAAAATATAGATTATTTTTTAAAGATATGGATTACAACAAAATATAAGTTTGCAATAATAAATTTTCATGCAATTATTTGAAAAATCATGTATATACATCTCTATTTAAACCTATTATCAAATTTTAGTAATCAACAAAGTTTAATTAACAAAAGATAAAGGAAATTGTATGACATGTACATATTATCATAAATATTAACTTCTTGTAAAAATTTAATTTTCTTACTGCACAGTATTTACAATGTATTATCAGAGAAATTCTCTCTGGTATGATTAAAGTCTGTTAAGCATTTTCAATGAAGCATTCTTCATTTATAATTCTTCATATATATATATATATATATATATATATATATATATATATATATGCGTATTCAATGTGACATACAAATTTTTCGACGCAAAGAATGAAATCGTTTGAATAGCACACTGTTTGGTTACAACTCAACATTAAGATACATTAAGTTTCTTTTTATATCTCATTCCACAAATTTCTTAATATAATTCACATTTTAGATTTCGCGATCTTATTCAAACAGGTTTTACAATAAACAGGTTCTCATTTCTCATTAGCTTCTTAAATTATTTTCTTCATACGCATATAATGTTATACTGTTTATTATTATATAAATATATATATATATATATATATATATATATATAAATTCTATTAAAAATATATGATAATCATATTAATTCTAATATGCATATTTTTATTTTCTTCGATCTTCTTTTTACATATTTTTATTTGTATATTATCGCTTATAATTCAATCCACTTCTTTGTTGCTTCTTATAATTTGTAAATCGCTTATTTCAAAAAATAATAAAGTTAACAACTAAAAAAAATTTTTTTTTAATTTATATTTTTCCGTTTTTTTATCAATTCCTCACTGATATATTTTTGTGTATTTTATTTTTCTATGATTCACATATTATAAGACAAGTCAACATTTTAGTTATAATGTTAATTTTTCAAAGTGAATTCACAAGCTGTTTTTTCATCATTACATGACATTTAAAAATTGGACGTCGCATACTTGTTATATGATTGCATAAGGAATGCAAAACATTTATTAATTGTGTATGACTTGTAACTTCCAATCATAATAACTGCAGATTAAAATAATAAACAGCAATGTCGTCGAAATACGCACGTTGCTTAAAAAACAACTTTTAAATACTACATTATCATTTAAATACGTACATATCCGTAAAATAAACATTGCACAAAATGTTAAAATGTATCCATTAGCATTTCTTCAAAAAACTTTCCATAAAAGAATTCATTAAAAATTGAACAAAAAGTGGTCATTTTAAAAATAAAGCATATTTGAAAATTACAAATATATCTATATATTTAACATTTAAATTAATTCGAAATAAACAGGCTATATAAACCGGCGCGAATATTTGTGCGTTAAGACACATTTAACATTTAAGTTATCAAGTTATAACAGATTGATCAAAGGCGTATGTCTATAATAAAGGATATAATACCTCTATATGTATATAATATATATATATATATATATATATATATATATATATAAAAGTATTGTTTTGATTTAAAGAACTATCAATTTTTATTACAATTATTACGGTTAAACGATTCTATTTGTGCAATCCAAAGATTCACGATTATTATGCAACATACCGAATTATCTCATATGTATTGACTTTGATAAAAAAAAATTAGTTTTGATATACTACTTGTAGATACAACTGTAGATACTTCATACAATTGTAGATATACAACTGTAGATATTTCATTACATATTTTCTTGAACAAATACGAAACATGTATGTACAATATTAATTACGAGTCCAAAAATTAAGATTAAAGAAGCAGAGAGAGAAAAAAAGAAAGGAGAATAGTCTTTTGTTCTCTTTGCAAAACTATTGCATATTTAAAAATATAAAATATTTAAAATTTTTTATGTAATCAATTGTTTTTATAAATAAAAGTTTAATATAGATTTTTATTTCCTGTTTTATATTAATATAATAGTTTTTTTAATTTCCCAGTCTTATATAATTTATAAGTTATATAATTATGATAAATATGATATCAATATAGCTGAAAAAGAAAGATTTCCTTTATCTCTGGCTCATAACGTGAGTTTTAAAGTTTGTGGTAAATTAAGATAATGATATAAATTTGATAATACAGTTCAACAAAATCATATCACAACACATAATTCATGATATTTTATTTTATATGTTATACGTTTTATGTATAACATAAAGATTAATAATTATCACACACATTAATATGCTTCGATATATTTTTAAACTTATATTAGACTCTAATCTAATCTACAGATTAGAGAGAGCCCTTTGGGCTATAATCTTGCATACTTTAAATAACTTTCAGAATACAAATAATTTAACATATTTTACATAGCAATATCGTATTCACGCGAACGTTTTATTTCTCTCTATTAATATAATATTACAAAACTGAAATCGTAGAAACAAATATTGCGCGTATATTTTTGTTTTATATTTATGCGTTTATAATTTATATATTTTTTATTTTGTGTTTAATATTATAAAATATACCGGGTGTTTAAAAAGCGTTTAATGACAAATATATCAATAAAAATATACATAAAAAACAATATTTTAAGCAAAATTATAGGAGATCACAGAGTTTGAATACATTTAAATTTAAAATATTTAAATATCCAAAAAATATCCAATATTTAAATATCCAAAAGCATTAATATCAAACGTAATACGTAAGTTGACAATTGTTAACAGTCATTATATACCTTGTCGTTCAGTTACCTGAAAATTGATCGTAACCATTCAATGTTACTTGAAAGCTTTAAGTTAATTGCCATGAAATTGGCTGAATAAAATATTAATGTAAAAGCATGCGTCATTGCAACGGTAAAAATGCGAGCATTTTCAAAGCATGTATATAGAAAATATTTTAAAGAAATTAAAATACGCAATCGTTTATACATTACACCTTACAAAGTAGAACTTACAGAGAAGAATAAACATTATTAATTATTCATTCTGCGTAAGCATTGCTGAACCTAGTTGCGTAGAATTAACTTAAAAAACTTAACACATTCATGTATAGAACTAATTAATCTACACAGAAAAAACAATATCCTTGAAAGAATGCAAATATGCTTTAATCTCAAGTATATTTTATCCTTAGCGCATAATCTTGAATAAAAGATAATTTATCTTTAAAATAAATTGCAAAATATTCTTTGGTTGAAGCTGAAATTTACTTATAAATAGTGTAAGGACAAGTGAGCATCGAATATAAGCGGTACTTTCAAGTATATAATTCTAGTTCAAATGTGAATAAGTTTATTTTTACCATATAACGATTTTTATAACAAGACAAGATTATTATATCTCTAAGGATAAATTATATTTTACACAAACTTATTTATTATTAATACAAATGAAGATTTGTGATTACAAAGCGCATTTTTAACACTTAAATGAATCAAAAGCGTTCAAGAATAAAAATATACTTGAATCAAGGACTCCTTTTTTTCTATGTAATATTGATATAAAAAATAATTTGACATAAAAACTGTCATTAAAATTTACATAGTGCAAAGTTCATAATCCATTCATAGTATATTTGCGTACAATGCAGTAAGATTTTAAGTTTTAAATAGTTAAAAAAGAGTACACGCGCACATTTAATTAAAAATTTTAACGTAATCTTCATTCTTTTTTACATGCATATGTGTGTATTGTATTTTTTACATAATTATTTTTACGCAATTAGATCTAATAATAATAATAATAATAATAATAATAATATATATATATATATATATATATATATATATATATATCACGCAAAATAAAAGAGTTAATAATATTCATCAATGATCATATTTATAATATATATAATAACTTGGTTATATTTTTGCTATTTTTTTCCACGAACTACTTATAATTTTCGACGTTAAACAGTAAGTTGTAAATATTTTATATTAAAATTTGGAAATCGTTTATTGGAAATTATTAGTCGGTTATTTTTAATAATTTGCAGTAAGTTCAATATTCTTCCACAAAAAAGAGAAGAGGATATTTCGAAGATTATAGAACATTTTAATTTTTTCTAACAAGACTTTTAAGATCAAATAGTAAGTTGCATCTCTCCATTTTTTAATAAACAAAAAGTCTCTACCTAATATCTCTATACATAAAAAGGAGTATGCAAACAATTTCTTATTTAATACATACACACATTATATTTTTCTTTTTAAAATATCTCAATTATTATAATTTTTATTTTATTATAAGTTAAATATCTCTCCAGAGATAGGTATATATATCTACATACACTCTATATCGTACTTACTCTGTCGCCCTCGTTTTTTAATCACTCGCTAAATAAACAGTCTCCACGTGCACTATTATGAATAAAGAGTTGGATTACTCCGAACTGTATGGAAGCTCTTGCAATACTGACTTTTCAGACAGAACTCAGGGTCTGCCTATGTCGATCACGCCACATGTGAGTTACGACGTCTAGTGTGTTATATATGGCGGGGGCATGTTATTAAATTCCTATGTTGCAATTCCTAATCATAGAATTGGAAGAATGAATGAAATCGAAATTGATCGATAGACTCACGTTGACTAAGTCCTTCACTTATTTTCCTCATTGTCAGCCAACAATAGACAACCTATTGTTTGTCTATGTTTTTAATTGAGAAAGATCTAACAAAGATCAAAACTATTATATAGTTTTACAAAGACAGAAAAATAGTAAGAGAATCTATTTGCTATTATATTATATATACTATATTATTTTTACTACTTATTATTATCTATACTTTTTGTATGTGTATTAATATCCGAAAATTCATGCGTTTACCTATCATATTATTACGCTGAAAAAAGTTGTTAATTGAATCAAATAAATACTATTTTGTTAATTAAACATATAGAAATATTTAAATTAAATATAACATATTAAATTTAACAAAACGTTTATTTAATTGAAATACTAATATATGTTCAATTAACAAAATAATAATTTTATTAAATGGTTTAGTTAGCAATTTTTTTCAATGTACTTGAATATATTTCATAGGTAAATAAATTTAGGTCTATTATCATTATCTATCCTACGAAATATACGCAGGTATAATATAATTTACTGCTTTCGATCAAATTTTCTATACGAGTTTTCCTAAACGCTTATCGCTTTTTAGAACAGATTAGTCATTCCCGAGATTATCAGGGTTAAAGTTTGCTGCCAATCGTACAAACCTTGAATTAAAAGTTGATCATACCGTTGTAATAAGTAAACATCCGCATAGTGACTTTTTGTTTCGAATTTTGGTTCCCTATCTAAGAGAAAGATAATTTTTCTTCATTCTAATTTGTTTTAATAAATTAAACTAATAAATTATGAAAAAATTATTAAAAATGCAAAAAATACAATTATTTATTTCTTGCTATTAACAAAATAATTATTGAATCTTTTCTCAAACAATATCTGCATCAAATATGCCTATAAAATATTATAGGTATTTACGTAATATATGAAAATTATAAAATTATATTTAGTTAATAAAATTACGAACGCGATGTTTATGTATTCTTAATTTGATTATCTCGATTCATAATGTATTAATTCCATACCGGTTTTTCCTGGTGATTTTCATTTATAATTATGATGTAAGTACAAAAACAAGTTACTAATAATAAGCAGTAAATACCGGCAATTATTCTCGCAACATCAAATATAATGCATCGCGCTTGGTATTTGTTATTATTTAAATATTTATATACAGTGAAATATTACACCAGGTAATATTCTCTTCCACTTGAACGCACACATAAGTTAATAAACTGATTAACATATTGTTAATTATCATAATTCAATCTATCTTAATTATTCTGGACATTTCCTTCTCTAGATCTAGCCAAAAAATTAAATTTTAGTTTAACACATAACAAATTAAAAATATTCTCACTGAATTTGACTGTTCTAACTATATATATAAATTAAAAATTGTGACATATAACAAGTAATAACAAAAAAGCATTGTTATACTTGAAAAAACTTACTTCATAAGGCTGTTATCGAAATTGAGTATCACAATAATAATATATATTGTAATATTATTTTTTTGATAATATAATTCTTATGAAATTTACTTTAGATGATTTACAATTTACAAAATTCAAGAAACAAAATTCTATTTATAATTTTTATTATGCAAGTACAGAAAGTATTTTGAAGAAAATATATACATAAAATACACATCAGAATACATTCATTAGGATATGCATACACATAAAATTATACATAGAGTTATCTTGAATTTTGTTGCATTGCACTATACATTATCCAAAGTAAACATAAGATAAAAAATAAATAAATATATTGTGTGTATATATATATATATATATATATATATATATATGTAAAATCTTTACATTTTTTGATATTGCTTATACAGACGAGATATTAAATGTATAATATAGATTCTCTTCATTTTTTTTTTCTTTTTATTAAAAAAGTTAATGTTGTGCGATACTGAATATGAACAACTTTTGAATATGATAATCAATGAATGACAGAATCAATGATCCCCCCTTATGATTTAGATATGTCAGTTAACTGCATATAAGAAATAAAAATTTACAGCAATTTTCTATCATAAATGAAAATCTTTATTATCTATATATTATCTATATGATTGTGTTCATATTAACAAAAATAATTTGATGGAAGTTTCTTATGAAATCAGTTAATTAGGATATATGAATTAGGTAATATATACATTACTGAGATCCTGTTGATAATAATGCCAAGACTGCACTAGTAACTCCTACAGAAAGTATGTAATTTACTGCAGGTGTGAACGTTTTCAGAATGTAAAATGACGATACAATAACAAATGCCAAGAAAAGGGCATTATTGTAAAAAATTGAAAATGTTGTTGCTTCGTAATCTGCCACTTCGTTCTTCTTCCACAGAATTCTAAATTTTTAAATATAATGTAAATTAATATACATGTTGCAGAGAATATGAAAAATAATCTTAGAATAATATCATGTGTTTAAATTGACACACCAATGATTACTCAGAAGATACTGGTTCAAAATATTGATGACTACTTGTGTTTCAGAAAAATTTAAAGGAAAATATGAAAAGAATATAATACCTTTCATCCTTTTCCTTCTTGCTCATCTTCTTATCTTCTGCAAGTTTGCGGCTTATTTCCTTTGTTACTGCATCTTCTCTTTTTACAGCAATCTGTATATATATATATATATACAAAATTATTCCCATTATTATATAGTTATACATTTTCATCATTATTTTTAAAAAGATGTATATTATATTATATGTAAGTATATATATATGTATACTTATATGTACCTTATGCTTGAGGATGAATTTTGTATTTTTATATGCCAAAGCAAGAGCGTATGTACTAGCTAATGTAACTAATACAAAAGAGATTAGATTGGAATATAGATCAATTAAGTGTATTCTCCAAAACAACCCTGTAAACATATAATAATATATTAAACACATATTAATAAAAATGAAAAATCTTAAATAAATCACATAAAATTTGACTTCTGTATAACAATGATTAATTTCTAAGGCACGACAGTCTAATTAACTGTAGTTTTAAATCAGATAATATAAAATCGATGTAAAATTTTGTGATAAGAGTTTTAGTGCATGTGGAAAAAGCAAAAAAAAGAATATAATTAAAAAATAATTAAATCTCTACTCACAGATGGGTATCGCCGAAACGATAAAAGCATTGCCGTAGAATAACGCCGAGGATTTCGTCGAGACATTTCTAGAGAAATCCTGTAGCAATAGCTCCTCTTCCTTTGTAAATGCCTTAGACTTTCCTGACATTTTTAATAATTTATTGGCAAGTGATCGAATAACCAAACAACCGTTCACTACAAGAATCGAGATGCGACAGCCAGAAACAAATGGCGCGCATGCGTAGAAAAAGCCGATGTTGCAGACGTTGGACGACGTGTCCGGCGAAACGTCATTGCTATCGAATCGATTGCGAGTACCGCCTCTATAGGCCGTCCAGACTAAGCTTTAATTAAAAATGTATTATCGATCGCAACTACATAATTTAATTAGTTCATCGATTTCATTAATTTTTCTTCTTTCTCTATCATTTTCGATGATAAACGTTTTCTGATAAGAATTGAAAAATACCAGAGAAGAATATTTTAATAAGTTCTTTGTCAAATTTAAAAAATATTGAAACTATATATGTACATATATATACTTAAAAATATATAATTATACGAATAAAATTTCAAAGATATTTTTATTTCTCTTCCTTGATGTTTACCATTTTCGATATTATTCATTATCATGTCGTCATTCATGATAATAGGATACCTTGGCCGGCTTACTTCACTTATTCGAAATGTACACATACGCAAATATGACAATATGTATATTATATTATATTATAATTATATTAGGATAAGTTGAAGTTGGCCGGCGTCTATATTTCAATACGTATTTAAATAACGCGCGCATTTAAATTTCGATAAAGGCAAATTGGAAACAAAACTTGCGGAAAGAGATGTGTGTGTGCAAAATTCGTGACATATCGATATTGATTATTTATTTCGCGAAGATGCATTATAAAGAAATGCATTATTGTTCGAAAACAGATATAATATATAGCAATAGGACCGTCATACGTACAGTTAAAATATAACACGGAATGTCACGTTGTCGCTACATGAGAGGCTAGGGGGACGAATCAATACACTGTCTCTTGCTTACAAGTCGTAATATTGTTTTGATCAAAGTATTCTGTGCTTTATCATTGCGTTTCATATGGCTCAATGCGTTTAATGTCACCGCACAATACTGCTTTATAATTAAAAAATTTTTCGTACAATACCTAATTGGTGAAAGAGAGAGCGAGCGTGTTTTGATGCGTGCGACTTTGAATCGACTTTGTCCTTCAGGTGGCGCTGGTATGCGGCGCGTCACGTGTCACGTGACTGGCGCGGAGTGGGGGAACAGCTGCGCACGCCAGTCTCCCCACCACCGTCCACCGCTACGCACACGGTAAAGCGAGAGAGAAGGATCTCTCTCTCTCTCTCTCTCTCTCTCTTCTCTCTGAAATGTTTTCGAAAAATCGTTTTCTTATCAAGAATATGTGTGTCACAGTGTGTCATCTACATGTGTGCGTGTGAAAATATTTCAATAATAAGATACATATATACATATTTATAAATTAAACAAAAAATCATGCGCAACTGAGCAGTGATTTTATCGATAGTCGGAAAAAAGATGTCATTTTAGTTTGCGAAATGGACGTGTGGTGACTTGACTAAACTTTAAATCCGTGGATGTGATGTAAGGTCTCTGGTGTACACGTCAGAACGTCATAGTCAACAGTGTGTGTCATTTTGTTTTGGTGTCATTCTTGACAGATTAGCAGGCGGTCTCCGGTTAACTTTTAGATTTCTAAGGATTCCCTTTAACTAAATTATCAGTGTTATGGCACGCATCCTCTGATACATAGGGTGTACAAGAAGTTCGCGTAAAGCTCGAATAAAGTATGGATGCCAAGAACGAAGAGGCGCAATCCACGACGGACGCGTCAACGCCGAGCGAAAATCGTAATCGTAACAAAGTCCGCAGGAGGAATGTGCCAACGAATTGGCGAGCTTCGCGGATGACAGTTTCAGTTTCAAGGGGGACAATTCGTGCGATCGCGTGCCACTCATGATTCTCCCCGACTCCACGAAAGCATGGTACGACGGGATACCCGATGTCATCGACGCGGCCACGTCAAGTAAACAGCTGAACGGAGTAGTGCTGACTCACGAGGATGAGAATCGCGACAACACTTTGACGGATTCCCTCACCAGTCGCGAGAGGATGAAGATGAGCGTTATCCGCGGTAGCATCGCCAATCCGGATCTCACTCTAGGAGAGTTAAGACTACTTGGGGTCAGCAGCGAAGGCTTCGTTAATGGTACTTTGTCAGGTGACAATACATTATGATCAACAAGGAACTTTACGATGATTTTGTTATCAAGCTTTGTCAAAAGAATTTTCAAAGAATCCTGGAGCTTTCATTTTCTATGCAATTGTTAATATAGTTTGTGAATATGGATAGTATCTATAGATCAATAGATCGTTCAAGCTATGTCTTGTATAACGTTGTTTAAAATTGGTTCCTTTTTGAGAATAATCTTATTTTTTGTAAGCCAAATCTTGAAATCATAAAGTTGATCTGTAGATGATATACGAAGGGTACTATGGCCAAAGCTTTTGAGATTAGTACAAGAAGAGTTTGCACCTGTTAATGGATTAGAAACTGTACATACTTGCATACCAAATGAGGTGTACCAACAGATATTGAAGGATGTGGCACGTAGCGGCAGCCATATTTCACAGTCTGCAACAGAAAAGGAGACAGAAAGTTTTCAAGAACAATTAACACAGCTTATGTGTTGGGTGCTTCATAGGCATTCCAAATTAAAGTTAGTAATTTTAAGAGCACAAATAATACTTTTTTATATACAAATAATATAATTTGTCGTATTGTAATATAAAATAAAATAATGCGTACCTAGTTACTACCAGGGATACAATGACGTAGCAGCAACAGTATTACTTGTGATGGGGTTACAAACAGGCTTGTATGTGCTTGAAAGTATATCGGTAGAGTTTCTGGAAAGATTTATGGAAAAAACTATGGAAAAAGTTAATCAAGAGTTATTCTATATATTTGCATTATTGGAACGAGTGCATCCAACGCTTCTGGAACATTTAGAAAAGTTAGTTTATATATTGAAATGTGTAACATTTAAAATTTTTTTATATATATAGTAACTAATAGCAGAACTTTTTTTTATCTTAGTGTAGAACTGTTTCCGCACTTTGCTTTGGCTGAATACACTACATGGTACGCGCATAAATATGCAGAAAACAGGACATTATTACATAGATTATTTGATTATTTTTTGGGCAGTCCTCCACTCATGCCTCTCTATCTAAGTACAGTAATTGTTGCGCATAGAGCTACCGAAATTTTCAATACTACACCTGACATGGGACACACACATAAAATATTATGTACGGTAAGTGTAATCAAAAAGAAATTTGACAATAAAAAAAGGAAAACAATATAATTATAGAAGTTTATATTTTCACAGTTACCTGATGATTTGCCATTTGAGAAGCTTTTAATAGAAGCAAAGGATTTATATCGACAATATCCTCCAGAATCTATCACTAATGATGTTAGAGATTATGATCATAAGAGAAAAATTAAAGAGCAAGAGTGGAAAGCAAAGGCAGAAGCAAGCCGTCAAGAGAGAGAAAGACAACGAAAATTAAAAATTGTCCAATCAACACCAAGGATATCTTATCGTATTAGAAGTTATAAAACTATCACTGTTGTGACAATTTTAGCTTTGGGAATATATGCCTTCATAAGATCTTCGACAGGGCTTAACTGACATTAAGAGATATTATCTGTTATAAAAAAATTAAATTTTTACACATTTTTTAAAGCAGAAAATTTTTTTCTCTACTTCTGATGTCATCAAATAAAGATTTAGAGAAAAAATATTAAGATTGGGTAAAAACAAATTTCATCAAATAGCAAAAAATATTGCTAGGAAAATAATTATAAAAGGTTTGAGTGTCAATGTTTGTGGCAAATCTGTTCTAGAATACATGAATCAGAATTTTATGCATTCCTATGCTGCCTTTATGCTGTGTTCTTTGGAGATTGACCTAAACGTTTCGCATATATATGTTAAAAAAGAATCAGAATACATAAACACTTGTAGAGGAAAAAAAAACAGAAAAAATTTCAAATATTTAAAATTATCAAAAGTACGAATATAAAATATGTAAAATCAGACATTTAGATAAACTTTAAATAAGATGTGTATAAAAGTTTCGTATATGTATATATAGATTGTAATTACGTTATTACAGTCTGTAAAGAAATTTTATGCATTTAGTTAAATTATATAAAGAAAAATTATATGATTATAAAATCAATAAATCTTATTTTTCAAAAACATTTATTATCATCATTTGTAATAAGTATTAATAATGTATAACATTTATCTTATAAATGCACGATTAGTATTATACATTATCAGAATGAATTTAATATCAATAGTACCAAAGATAATAAAATCAATGCCTAGAAATTTTACACGGATTATCTATCTTTTATTATTTTGAACATAAATGTAATTTTGTAGAAATATTTCTAATGTGCTGTAATAAATGTTTGTTGCGTGTTCATATATATATATTCGCAAATTTATACTAAAAATATATATATATATATAAATTGCACATATGGATAAAATATCAAGATAAAATTTTGAAATTATACCCTAGTAAACAATCTTACAAAATTTGTGTATTTGTTGATTTTTCCTACAAGAATATTTTACATCATGATTTCTTGATTTTTAAATATAATTCTACACTATTAACGTTTGTAACTAAAGATGTAAATACATCGATATATATTTAAAATACAATGGGTTTAAAACTTGTAAAATTGAGATTTTATTGTTATTCTAATTATGTTATGTATCAGCTACTACATACATTATTGTGTATATGGAGATTTTATAATTACTATATATCACTAGTCATGTTAACTGTATTTTTGTTTCATGTGAGATCATAGGACTAGTACAATGTAAAAATTGATAAAACATATATATAATATATATATATACTGAGTATAAAAATATTTATGTATACGGAGGAAATATAGTATTATATTTATGGCATAAGAGCTCTCTAGAAAGATAATGAGCGGAAGTATTGATATTTACAAAATTTTTTTTGTAATTGCACTACTTTATAATATATTCTGATTAAATTGGTGGTATGTTATGTAATGATATATTTTAATGACCAAGATAGTTAATAAAAATATATTTTTAATTGTGATGTCTTATTTTTCTTAATCACTGAATTATTCAATTTTATTTTTTTTAATCACTGAATTATTCAATTTTAATTTTATATATAAAGTTGTTTCGTTAGTTTAATAAAATCTCTAATTTGATACAATTTCAATTTGTTTCCAATTTCCCAATATTTTCATATTTAGTGTCACTTTTGTATTGAATTTTGAATGTTAATTTATATTAAAGATTAAATTTAAAAAATGTTAAAGAATAATGATATTACGTAACTTGTTGTATTCTTTTGTGTCTAACTAATAAAAATCAGTTTTTGAACATCTTATACTTTTAAAACTGTCTTGATATATGCCAACATATCACTACTTCTTAAGATGTTAGTATGATCTACTCCAGAAAAACCTTGATAATAAATTTTTTGTTTTTGTGATTTCTGCCAATGTATACATGCTTCCAAACTTCTTATATTTACAGTTCCATCTCCATCTCCAAATAGTAATTGAGGATAGCCATCTATAGCTGTACCTGGCTTATAATACAACCTATAAAAAATGCATGTAAATTTTAAAGGCTCTTACCTCTTATAAAAATCCTTAATATCTCATTTAAATCATTTAAACTTTCTATATAGTAAAAATAGTATACTTTTCCACAGTTTGCACTTTACTGCCATATAAACAATGTACTTCTACACCTGGTGCTGTAAAATCTAATTGATATTTCTCATTGTCTTTTCTGAATTCCCAAGCATTAGGAACACCTATATCTCTAAAAATATAAAAATATTTTTAAAAATACTTCTATAAACGAGATACAGATAAATATAATGATTAAATAATCGACCGTACATAAAATATTGTTGTAAATTATTTAAAGTGTAATTCTTTAAATCTGATTGTATCAAAATTTCTGTTTCTTTCCAAAATAATTTTGAAGGTAGTAACCATCCCAAACTCGGACTTGTTATCTGTTCATCTCTTAACACACTTTCACGAAGAAAATATGCACCTAAATCGTCTCCTATAAATTCAAAATGTTTAAAATAATTTAATATATTTTACTACATTTTAATACATTTTATAATAAAGTAATATTTATAATAAATATTTTTGTTTTGCATATTATTTTAAATTAAGATATATATAATAAAACTGAATTAATTAATATTAATAATTAATTATTGATGATTATAAACAATTTTATGCATAAAGCAGAATTGCTTACCAATGGCAAATACTTTGATAGCTTTGACAGATCCTCCCCATACAGCGCTAAGAGTGATGAAAGAATTTATAAACTTATCCTTCCATTTCTGACTCTGACGTTGTAACATTATAAGAGTCATAGGTCCACCCATGCTGTGAGCCAATAGTGTTACTGGTGTATTATTATTCATTGCATATGTTTCTTCAATCAGAATTTTCAACTTAACAAAGAATTCTTCACTTTCGCCTGAAATGTAAAGTCTGTATCTCGGTAAATTTGCAATACAACTGAATAAAATATATGTTGCAAAATGTCAAAGCATATAACGCCTGTTAAAAATATTAATTAATTTCATATTTTGTACATACTAGGTCCTTTTCTGAAATCATAAGGCGCACCACGTAATGATAAATTCCTAACATATTTCAAATCATTCACCAACATATTTCCAATATCTTTGAAATATGAACCTGGTGAGGCTCTACTGGGATCTATATACTCCACTACAAATGAATTGCCCCATCCTGGTACTCTTATATCGACTCCAGGCTGATTGCTTGTAGTCCTCGTCACATTGTCATAATTAAGCTTTAAATTATCAATCTGCAATAAAATAGATTTAAAAAATACAATTCCAGATTATTAAAAAAAAGATGAATAGAAACATGTGTAATATAAATAATTAATAAGCATACAAAGCAATCAATCACAACAGGAACAAGCAATTCCATATTTAGCCATAGACTGAAATAATCATTGGATATTTTTTCGCAAATATAATGCACCACTGATGACTTGTTAATCTTTGCTTCAATTTGGCTGCCACCATCACCTGGAACTATATTATTTTTGTTCGTAAACACTCTTCATATTATCTCGATAAGTCGTTATCTCAAAAATTCTACATATTCTTTAATACTATAATGAAAACAATATAGAAAGAGACGAGTTCATCTAATACATCAGATAATCAGCATGATAAGACGCACTTATCGAGCATTACTTTTCTTTTTAACATTGATATGCGAATTCAAATACTTACCTAAAATAACGGGTGATATTTGTTTCGTTTCAACTTGTTTCGCCGCTTGCATAAAGAGTGAAAGAACGATTATCGTGTTTAGGAGAATCGCCAGGCGCATTGTTTGTCACAATCAAAAATCTCAAAATCAAAAACAGATTCCAATTGTTGTATGTAACACTTCGTAGAGATAAACTTGCAAGGACAAGTAAAAGAAATATTCAAATATTTCTTTTCGTTCAAAATCAAATGGCACTCGTCTGACAGCTTAACGCTGTTTGTACGCAGTCGGCCTAATCAGCTGATATCATGCACATGCGTTGAAACTTTCAAGGGGGGGAAGCGAGAAATATTGACGATAGCCAATCGGAAAGAGAAACGGAAAGTGTCAGAATAAAATAATACTATTTCATTGATACATGACACATCAAACCCAGTTGAATACATTAATAAATATTACATTACATCATTTGCATATTTCAAAAACATGTTACTATTCAACGGATTGAGAAATATGAACATATAGTCAGCATTTTCTTTTTTTATGTGCATATATATGAGATTGTATGAAATCAATTTTTCTTCTGTTACATTCTTGTTTTTTTTTAAGTTTTTTAAGTCTATAAATATATAATTAACGTGTAATTTATTTTGAGAAATAAAATAAAAAAATCCAAACATAATATATATGCAGACAAACTGTATATACATATATATAATTTATCTATGTTTTTATTCCGTTCTCGAAGATAATTAATTCGTGCGCAAAACAATTGTAGCGCGATGATTAATTTTTATCAATCGTATTTTGATATATGATATCATATTATTGATATGTTTCTAACATCTCGAATTACGAAAGTAAAGGGTTTATAGATCACGTGTCTTGTTTTGTAGTATATTGCATTTTATCATTTTTTGATAATATATTTACGTCAATCTTTTCATTTTTATCGTGTCATATAAAATATATATATATGCATTATTGGTTGTATATTTAAAATTCTGACGTTTGATCACATACATATATACATGATTTTTCTACGTAATAAATAAATAATATATATAGATTGTGTATAAATAATGAATAATAGACAAATATATCTGAAAATTCAATTTCTTCACTTTATATTGATGTTTCTCTCTCTCTATCTTTCGATATGAAAATACCCTGGTTTAATATATACATATACATTATAGTTGTTGGATCAATCAACGGTGCTTAGCACCATCCGTCACCGAAAGTCACCGCGAAAGATGGAGACATCGCGTCGCATGCGCCCGCTCGTGGGATCCATTACGACGTAGACGTCTCGAATAAGTCGTTCGATCTCCGTTCGGGCAAAACCTCGAGGATGGCCGATATTAAGCAGGATCACAAGAACGAGGATGTGGACAGCTACGGGATGAGTAATAGTGCCGATCCAAAGAACATGCAAGAGTTGACGCAATACGTGAGTCGCTTACTTTGTACACAAAATAATGTTGATGACGATGACGATGCATCCAGACACATGTCGCTGACTGTATGTTGACTCTTTTGCAGGTGCAAACGCTGCTGCAGAATATGCAAGACAAATTTCAGACGATGTCCGATCAGATCATCGGAAGAAATATCCTTTTTCTGCAGTTAACCTAAAAGAAAAAAATATATGCATGAAAATGTCAGATTTATACTGAAATAATATTTGGAAAAATTTGTAAATATCTCGTGTACATTCTGTAGAATTTAGTGTAATTAATAGTGTATATTAATGTGCATGTCAGTGTTTTGTGCGTCTCATTTGATTAATAAGATGTCATATACATATTCATTTTAATTGATATCACATTGTTATAAAAAATCCTTAATAAGAAACACTAGACGAGATGGGAAACAGAATAGACGATCTGGAAAAGAATATTGCAGACCTAATGACACAAGCAGGAGTTGAAGGTGGTGATAAATAAGTTCATTCCTTCAAGTGCACTAATCTATAAGTAATCATTCATCCAAAGCACCTGAGATAGCCATAATTTTGTGTAAAAAACCATGTATGCAAGACAATGTGAGATATCCATCCTTTTGTTATAATACAAAAATAAACTTACACTTTTTTATAAATTTTATATAATTTTTATTTTCGTATTATATCAAATAATATTTATCATATGATTAACTGAGCTATCAAGTAGCTATATATATATGTAATTAGATTTTACACAATTATATGTGATTAGGTTTTACACAATTTTAATGGAACACAACTTATATCAATTCTTTATTCTGCCCTTACCTTATGAAAGTGATTGTATATAACATTCTCTTTTCTATAAAAATCATTATTTAATACAAATCTTATCTGTATTCAAAATAAGTTTGTGTATTTATAGACATTTAAATTGTGATGTAAAGTATAAAATAATTCAATATTTTTTAAAGATAAATGTATGTAATAAGATTTACTTTGTCTTATTCATTTTAGAAGGTATACGGTACATTATAGACGATATTAAAGACTTCTGACAAGAAGGAATTGGTGGAACAGGTTTGAGAATGAAGCGTTTCTTTACTTTACATCCGGAATGTCTTGATACTTTTCTCTAGAAAGATAGAAGGACAAAGTTAAAAGTGTAATTGTAATTACATGGATTTATGCCTAGTCCTCACAGGCTTCTCCCGAATTGATTCTGATTCTGTTTCCTCCGTGCTGTCTGGATACTCTTCAATTTGAACCGATTCAGAAGAATTTGTGAATCCAGTTCGTACAGAATCCTGCAATTTTTTATTAAATATTAAAATTTAAATATAAAATGATAATAGCATAAAGAGCAATAAATATTCAAGTTCTGCACTTACAGCAGATTCAGCTTCTCGATTACTCGATTTCTGCGATGTCACGGGAGAGGATGCGAATCGGCTGGCTAAATTCGTCAGTGAATAAGCTTGTCGAAATGAAGTTCTATTTACTGTGTCTAATCTTGCGACTGATTCGGGGACACGCATTGTCTCTCTAAATTCCTAAATAATGATATAATTGCATGTTTTATTGGAACCATGATTGATATAATATTGCATAATATTGAACATTTAATAATAATAAATTATTAATATTTAATAATATATTATTAAATTATTAATAATAGATTATTGTGTAAAATAATTAAATCGTGATAATGCAGATATCAATTTCAAGCAATTTTACCCCATTCATTTCTCCTCTCGCGATTTGAAAGTCCTGCATGTGAAAGTATAACTATTGACTACACTTTTACAAATATTGCTATAATTAAAGTATAGTACTTGTAAATAAATTTAAAAATTTGTAAATTTGAAAATACTTTTCCTTTTTTTAATTTTGCGAAAGAACACTTTGACAAAATTTAAATTAAATTTTACATCTTACCTCGAGATCTTTTATCTCGTCTATAGACGCGACGTCTTGATATGCTTTGGTCAGAAGCTCGAGGGCCTTTGTGTGAAAGCTCAATTCAATGGTGATAAAGTCTAAAAGCATGGATTTTAAATCATGCAATTTTCGTCGTTCGAACGAATCGATTTGTTCTTCCAATCCTTTTACTACTCGGGATACTTCCACGGATGCTTTCATCAGCTCGGACTTGGCTTGCGACTAATATTCTTTTTTAGTCAAAGATTTTATAATAAGAAATAAAATTTATAGAGAATACTAAATTAATATTAAATTAATTAAGAGAATACTAAATTAATTAATCAAATTTTAATTATACAACTTTACCAATATCTATCAGTTTTTTAATTATAATTTGATTTTTTGTTTCATTATTTTTGTAAAGTTATAAAAGACAAAAATCAGTTATATTATAGCTAAAATTAATTAATGCTACTGAAGTGAATTTTTTAAGGATACTATCATTTGGTGATTTCTAGGATTTCTTTCTCGGACTTTGTCTAAGTGTCTTCGTCTTGTAAGTTCTCTGTCTCGTGCTGCAAAAGTGTTTTTAACATCATCACGAGCATGTTTGCAAATTGTCGCGTACTGTGAAAGAGGTGCGATTATTTTGGCATCTAATCTTTGTACCTCTGCATCTCTAAAATAAATCAATAATTTTTTAAATATTAACGTGAAAGAATAGAATGTCTAATTAAAATATAAAGTAGAAGGGAAGAAAATAAATTAAAAACGAGAAAGAAAAGCACGTTTCTTCTCCTTTTCTGTTCATTTATCGAGAAATAAAACATGATTATTTAATATAGAAAGATAAAGAATATAAATATTTGATAAAATATTTTTGTTTATGCAAGTAAAAATATTCACTTATACGTGGTGACATTAAACGTAAGAATTATTTGCAATAAGAAATAAATTAACATAATTCTTTTTTTCTTATACATTGCAAAGAAAATATCAGAAATGAAAAAATTTTACCTATAATCGCCAATGACTGATAATGTTACGGAAAAATTTGCCAGTCCGGTGCTCAAGGATCGATTTATAATCTCTGAATCGGCGTAGGTTTGTATTATTTTAGCCAATTCGTCACTTTTATCGCGCAACCTGGAAAAAAAGATTAAGGAAAAAATGCGGTGCGAAACAATAGGGGATAAAAGGTTTATGCGTATCGCTGAGGAAAAATAATCGATATATAATTTCATGGAGGAGCACCTGGCCGCTTTTCTGGTAAACGCTGCAAATATCGTGCACAGCTCGGCAAAATGTTTTTCCACGCCTGTTATACGATCTTGCACGAATTTCGCTTCCTGCTCACTAATAAACAAAAAAAATTTTTTTATAATTCGCTTTTATATATAAATCTGTCAAACAAAATAAATGTCAAATTCGCTCAACTTACTACACGCTACTTTGAGAGCGTGCTCGAAGCATTTCTTTTTCTCTGTAAAATATATATATATATGATAAACTTTTTTTTGTGCGATTAATTTTTTTATTGCACGATAAAGCTTTTGTAAAACGAAAAGCACAATTTCGGCCGTTTCCTTCCTGCACGCGACCGATGACAATTGCCTACTGACAGGTGGTGAATTGCCGCAGGTGAAGTTACGCGCCGTGCATTTTCTATACTCCCTTCAGGCTAACAATACAGGGGGTCGATCAAATGGGGGTCTTAGACAAATTATTAATTTATATGTATAATTTTAATATATTAAAGAAAAAATTAATTTAAAAAGACTGAAAATTTAAATGATTATTTTATATATCCAGGATACAAACAAAAAATTTTGCATTATTAATAATACTTGATTTCTTATCATCGCCTTATATTGTATGATGTTCCCATATTTACAAAAATATTTTATTTATGCTTATAATAATAATTGTAATATTATTAAAGAATAAATTTTTTTGTAATATATTAATATTGCGACTAGGTAATATCTTTTATCACAGCAAATGAGTGGCCTGTGCCAGCACCAATAAGGACACCAACAGAATGGGGTGAAATTGAAAGAAATTCTGGCTTTAAAACGTTTTCAGTGTTTCCATTACCACAGTTTCCATGCTCATTCCAACCCCAACATAGTATCGCGCCATTATCTGTAAAATTAAATTATTATAAATGACTAAGAAAATGTTCCTTTCAATATTTAATTATATTTAATATTTTTTGGAGTTTAACACAAGAATTATATTTCTTGCTTAATAAAAGAAAAAAATTAGAGATAACTGGAAATAGAAAATATCCAGTTCAAATTACAACTGAATTATAATTATTTGATGTATATTATTATCTTCTAGATTTTAATACAATTCCAAATGCATTTGCATTTATATTTATCATGCAACAATGTACCAGTCAAAGCAACATTATGTTCTGATCCAACTGAAAGTTGAACGATTTTAGGAATACGTTCAATATGTTGAAGCTCCTTTTCTATGAAAATTGCATTTTGTGAATTTGTTAACAAATGGCCCAATTGACCATAATCATTTCTTCCCCATGAAAAAACAACGCCATCTAAAATCGTATAATTTAATTTTACATAAATATAATTTAATTATGATAATAAGAAGTAAATTCAATTTAGTTACCACTTAAGATATTTATGTGACTCCATCCAGCATGAATCTGAATTGATGTATCGAGTTGTGCACCAGAAAGTGGGATACATAAAGGTTGCCATAATCGTGTCTTTGAAAATGAAGATTCAGGATAGAATCCCAATTGTCCATGCTTGTTATCACCAAAAACGTATATATTGTACATGTCTTTTTGATCTTTTGTTAAAACAACAGTATGATACTGACCACAAGCAACATCTTCTATACTTCCCTGCATTATCAATCCTGAAACTGTTTATCTGTGTTTTAATTAAATGTAATAACATTTTCGTTTTTCTATTACACAATATTTACAGGATATTTATTAACTATTTAAGTTATATGTGATTAAAAATAATAAATGATATAAGCAAGCATGAAACTGATAAGTAAATATAGAGCTATAATTAATAACAAATATAAAAATATACATAAATAATAATAAAAATATATAATTAAAAATATGTAAAAAGTGAGAATTTTAAAAAAGATAAGTAATACTTCAATATTTTATCAATTCCCTAATTTACTCATTTTTTTTATAAAGCAAGATATATTCAATGCAGAAAAATTGTCATACCTTTAGTAAATTTATTTAGAAGATTGTAAGGCTTCATAGTTTTTGGATTAATCAATCCCAATTGTCCTCTATTATTTGCTCCACAAGCATAGACTTCATAATTTTCTGTCACGATAACGGTATGTCGCAGACCCATCGAAACACATCTGATTCTTTCACCGATCAACATTTTGCGGGGTTGTGATATTGCAGAAAAAACTGAATGATCCAAACCCAATTGTCCATAACGATTGGAGCCCCATACATATAATTCGCCGTCTCTTGTTAATGCTGCGGAACTATTCCATCCGCAACATACATCAATTACCATTTCATGCTCAAGACTGTATATTTTCTGAAACGTTAAAACGTTTCTCTGTTCGATATTTCCGATTCCAGTTTGTCCCTTGTCGTTTAATCCGCAAGAATATATCTGACCATCTTCATCTAAAATCAGAGTGTGTCCGGCACCGCCAACAATTTTCCTTATAACTTCCAGTCTCAAGGAACATTCAGATAAATCCACATTTTGAGGTAAAATACATTCATCGGATAATATACCTTGTCCTAATTGACCATGGGAATTTGCACCCTGTAAAATAAATTCATCATATTTTACTAAATTTTTAGATAATTTGTTACAGATTTATCTTAAAGAAATATATATATTCTGTGTTCTAAATTTTCTATTATTTTTATTATGTTTAAAAAAAAATTGAAATAAAAAATATGACTTCAATTATATACATAGTATGATTTTTCATCTTTCAACTTTATCTCTGAAAAAGATAGTTCATTTTGGATTATGATACAACACATGCATTTTATATTTTTATTAAAAAGATACGTAAGGTTTCAAATTCTCTCAAATCAAATTTTTAAACTATTATACTTTAAAATATTTAAAAATCTTTGTCCATTTTTAAAAACCAAAGTAAAATCTATATGGTTTAGAATTATATTTTTATGATTAGAATCAAGAACTTGTACTCTTCGTAGAAGGAAATATGAATGAATGACAATATTTAGATATTAAGTTAAAAGAGAATTTGAAAAAAATACATATAAAATTGAAAAAATATAGATCTAACTTTTATCAAGTATTTTATTTGGTTAATTTGACTATCACATAACTATTACAGGGAACAATAAATGTTTTAAATGTCAAGTCTGAATATTTTATATACGACAATCTTACCCATGAAATCAAACGATATGTAGGCATCATTGGACAATATTTTCTCTATTCGATAGATTTTCTCTGTTCGATAGATTTTCATTCTTGTGATTCATAGAAGAGGTTCTATGATTTTTCTGCATTCACATATACAAGTGACGAGCACGCACACCTACTCATGATACCCTATGCATGTAAATAACTTTGTGTGAATCAGCCTTTAGCTTCACATGTGTACATGTTATTATATGATATGTAATATTGTATAAACAAAGAATGATGCCGATACGATGAATAAAATGTGCAGAAAAATATAGATTAATTAAATATATCGCTTACTTCTGGATAGACGTTATATTAAATGCTTATTGTTCTAGTGAATGACGTATGATATAGAAAAATAAAATAGTGGCAAAATGCAGGAATCCGTGAAGTTCAATCTTAAAGAAGTTAAATCGGATCTTCTTCACGCAATAAGCGAATGTTCTCAGCGTGGTTTATTGCATACTACTAAATGGTTTCTTTCTAAATTAATATATCACTGTTCTTTTATGTATTTACACATACGTATTTATATACATGGTGTTTGTATTTTATAGGTTAGCGGAATTAAATTACTCCTTGAAAAATGTGAAATTAGATGCCCACGATTTGACTGCGAATATATCGGAAACGTGTCAAGAAGAGGATATTTATACTTTAGCCAAGACATATTTTGACTTGAAAGAATATGATAGGGCAGCATACTTCACAAAAGACTGTACGAGTCCAAAAGTTAGATTTTTACATCTGTACTCACGTTACTTGTCAGGAGAGAAGAAGAAAGTGGATGATATGACAGATGTGCCGCCAGATCCTATGAAGAATGATAACTTGAAGTTGCTTTGCACCGATCTAAGAAAAGATCATATGGCTTCGAAATTGGATGGTTACGGCTTATATCTTTTCGGTGTGACTTTAAAGAAGTTACAGCTCACTAGAGAAGCAACAGATGTTCTAGTGGAGTCTATACATAAAGAACCTATGCATTGGGGTACATGGTTAGAATTGGCTGCATTAATCACAGATAGGGAGAAATTGGAGAGTTTATGCTTACCTAAACATTGGATGAAATACTTCTTTATGGCACATATGTATTTAGAATTGCAGCTTATAGATGAAGGTTTAGCATTATATTGTCAATTGCAATCGATGGGTTTTCAGAAAAATGGTTATGTACTAGCTCAAACTGCGATTGCGGTGCATTATAGAAGAGGTGAGTTAATAAATTGTTATATCTGGAATAGACAATATAAAGCTTGCAATCTTTAAAAACTTCATAATTATTTTATTAAATCTCTTTTATGTACCATCACAATTTAAATATTTTTTTAATAAAATAAAATATAAATAATAAAGTATATTATGAAATATAAATAATAAAGTATGAAATGTAATAAAATATCATCTTTTATTCTAGATGTTGATAATGCAATAGAAACTTTTAAAAGAATAATAGAAGAAGATCCTTATTGCCTTGATAATATGGATACATATTCCAATTTGCTTTATGTAAAAGAAATGAAAGTTGAATTAGCCTATTTAGCACATAGAGCTACTGAAATAGATAAATATAGATTGGAAACTTGTTGTATAGTAGGCAAGTATTAATTAAATGTTTGTAAGAAGGTACATCAATTTCATATTTAAAGAGAACATTTTGAGATAAAAATTAAATTACCTTTTTAGGAAATTATTACAGTTTAAGAGCCGATCATCAAAAGGCAGTAATGTATTTCCATAGAGCATTGAAAATGAATCCGCAATATTTGTCTGCTTGGACATTGTTAGGTCATGAATTTATGGAAATGAAAAGCACTAATGGTGCAATCCATAGTTATAGGCAGGCAATTGGTAAAATCCTAGAACATTTTCTACTTGTCAATAAACTATATATATAATTTTTTATTTATGTGTTATTTTATCACAGAGGTAAATAGACGAGATTATAGAGCATGGTATGGCTTAGGTCAAACATACGAAATCTTAAAAATGCCATTTTACGGACTCTATTATTACAAACAAGCTCAGCTCTTAAGACCCCATGATAGTCGAATGGTTTTAGCCTTGGGCGAAGCATATGAGAAGCAAGATAAAATTCAAGATGCTCTTAAATGTTATTACAAGGCATGCAATGTGGGCGATATAGAGGGAATGGCACTTCTAAAGTTAGCAACGTATGTATTCAATATATATTGCACTAAAAAAAAAAAAAGTAATTACATATATTTTTACTAAATTTTTTTTATAGGTTGTATGAGAAATTAGGAGAACATGAACATGCAGCAGCAGCTTATGCAGATTTTGTACTAGATGAATTCAGAAGCGTCGATAGAACGGAATTGAGTCATGCATATAAATATCTTACACAGTATCACTTAAAGAGGGAACAATTAGATCTCGCAAATCATTTTGCACAGAAATGTCTTCAGTTTGATGAAACAAAGGAAGAAGCTAAAGCGCTATTAAGAACTATTGCTGAGAAGCGAGCAGAAAGAATAGGAGAAACTTCTATGGTGGTAAGTAAAAATATTTTTTTTATAGTAGTTGGCAAATTAAATTCGATTTCATAATTTGTTCCAGGTGGATGATATGAATGAAACGGATCCTGTGATTGAGCAAAGATCGCGAACAGATGCAACACCTGGGAGTCAATTGTCACCGATGAATCTTTCATTCACTCCTACACCGTAAACAAAATACTTCCTACATATGATATACAATTTTGTAATTTATAATTATGTATATAAATATAAGATATTTAAATAATTTTGTATTATATATTTCTGTAGTAAATTATTTTTCCTGAAAGTGTAATATTTTCAGATATTTATTTGTATTAAATACATATAAGATTAGAAATTATTAAATAGCAAGTGTATTTTTTAGATAAAGATCAATTCATAAAACTTCAGTTTAATTACAATTTCGATCTGATTAAAAGAAAAAAATTAACAATTACTTTAAGGAATAATTTTCAGTTGGAGTAATATTAATATAAAAGTTGACATTTATTATAAGAATTGATTAGAATCAACAGTTAATTTTTTATTGATATGTGTATATAGATATATATTAATATTAAATTATATTAATAAGTTTTTTTCTATAAAACATAAGATGCAGATCTGTAAAACAAATCTAAATCTAAGAATGCATATTTGATGCTGTTTTCATTTTAAAGTGAAAATAGTATCTAGCAGAATGCATTTTAGATCTGTAAAATAGTCTGTTTTCTGTCAATTCTTTAATTATATTTATGTTTATTACATCATGTCATTGTATCAAAAATATTATTACTCACAATAAACTTAATAATTAATATTTATCGCAATTAATTACTATCATAAGTATAAAATAGATTACCAGTTGTGGAAGTGTCTAATTTGCGTTTGGCCATTGCTTTTTCGGTGTGTTATTATTGACCAACGTTGTTTCCTATAAATGTATAATACATTTTAATATTTATATTATATTTGCTTATGTTAGTAATTTTTTACTCATTTTTTAGAAATATATATATATATATATTAATATTTCCAAATAAAGCAACATTTATATTTACTTCATCATCAGAGCTTTCATGGTTATTCTTGTCTCTCAACCTCCTAATAATTCGATCATGAGGTGAAGTTTGGACGAAGTGTCGTGGGTAATGGTAATCTTTTCTTGCAGGTGTTAAACCTTAAAAAGAGATGTTAAAAAATGTATAAAAGTTATTAAAGTTAAGTTACCATTAAATAAACTCATCAGAACTTACCTGTTGGTGTATCGCGTTGTAAATCTTCAAAGAAGAATTTCCCAATTCTTTCTTGTATTGAAGTCAATTTCGTAGTCGTCTCGTTATTCCAATCAAATGAAATTTCACTTTGCTTTTTAATTTCATCGTTTAATTCTATGTATACTTGTAGGTTTTTCTTTTCTTTTTCTTTTACAAGTTTTATGTGATTATCATGTCCTTGCATTAGTATATCATGGATATTCTGTAAAATTAGTAAGATCAAATATGTATGTTTTGTAAAATAATAATTTTAATACATAAGTAACAAAAATTTACCTCAATGCATCCAATAGAAGAAGAATTATCTTCTATGAATTTTTGTTGCATTTGTTTCATATTATCTTCAACACGTAATTTGTTCTGTGTTAATACATTGCAATGGTTGTTTATATTAGTTTGAAATTGGTCAGTTAAATTATGGCCTTCTACTGCAATCTGTTCTGCTATAGCTTGATTCTAATAAAATGCAAGAATTAACATATTATTCAGTTATTTTCACAGGTGTTAATAATTTAAATAAAAATGTTGTAAGATGTAATAAAAGTATAAAATGATACCTTTATCATATTATGATCAATATCACTTTTAAGTATGTCTATATTGCTCTGAATTTTCTCTTGCAGAGACTTATTGTCTCCAACAGTTTTGTGGTAATTATCGAGAATAACGATATCCGTGCTGTCGCATAGTTCATTAACACAAGTTACAGTAGCGCATGCATTAGAATAATTTTCAGTCACATTTTTATTCAACTTATTAAATTGTAGCCATAGATTTTCAAATGACTGTAAAAAATTTATATGTAAATAAAATTATTAAATTTGTTGAAAAAATGTTATCAACAAAATATCATAAAATATTTAAAATTAATATTAAATTATGATCATACCTTCTTAAAACTTTCTTGTTCCTCCATAATTTTACCATTACCTTCATGAATAGCTTGTACATTTTGTCTTATCTCGTTTATACTTTTATGTAAATTGTCACGTTCCTGTATTTTATGATTACAAAGTTGTTTCATTGATTCATTTGTATATGCCAATAATTTATCAAATTTCTGAGATACGTCATCATTTAAATGGCGTAAATTATTTGCAACTTGTAAACTATTAATTTGTATCAAATCATTAATTTTTGATGTTAATTTTAAGGATGTATCATTTAAAAATTCTTGTTCGTTTTGAGCTGTGTCAGATGAATATTTCATTTCTGTGTCCAACCATTGTTGATAGTATCCATACTAAAATAGAAAAAATTATGTTATACATATTCTTTGGTTACATTATTGATTTTGTTTTGCATATGTGTAAATAACTTACCGAATTATTTACATTTTTTGTGAATTCATCCACTGCTAATTGTTCTTTATTAACAATATCATTTGACATATGATGGATTAACAAATCTATATCCTTTTTGAATTGTTTTACTTGTGAATCTATAAAAATAATTTTATGTATATTCCATGATATCCATTTCTATATTAAGAGTACAAATTAATAAGTTTCAGTTACCTATTTTATTTTTCACAGAAGTACAAAATTGTAGAAAATTTTGTGAATGAACTGTAACATTATTTTCCATGTCTTGAAACTGTTTTGCAATGCTATTTCGGAATTGATGACCGAGATGTTCGTTTGTCTGTTCTAATTGCCTATATGTGTGTATAGAAGTATATAGAAATATATATATTCAATATAATTTAAAATAATTATAGTAGTGATATCAATATTATAAAGTCATTACTGGTGTCTTTTACCTACATTAAAATATTAAAATAATGATATAATTACCTCTTATAAGAAATTTTATCCTGAAGCTTATTTACATCAGTTGTAGCCATATCAGCAACATTCAAAAGTGTTTGTGCCTGTAATAAAAGTTCTTTCTCTGTAGACGCATGTTTTTCTACTAAATAATGTTGTTCTTCTTTCTCACGTTCTGTCATTTCTAAAAGTGCAGCAGTCGATTTTAAAGCATGTGTGGTAGTTTCTAATTGTTCCCTGGTTTCATGTAGATGATAAGTTTGCTCATCATGTTTTGCTTTTAAATCATTGAATATTTGCTAAATAAAAATAAAATATAAGTAATAAGTATAACAGCAAAAATTACTATAATAAAGTATTAATCATTATGCATTATCTTTACCTCTTTAAGTTCCATAGTTTCCTTCATCACTTTCATGTGAGTTATTTTTTCTTCAATTTCCTTACCCTGATTTTCAATTAATGATTGCATTTCGTTATAATTTTCATGTGCCAAATATACACCACTTCGTTCACGTGCTGCTAATAAATCTCTTCTAAGTCTTTCAATTTCTTCTGTATATTCTTTAAGCAATGCTTTTTAGACAATTTCTGATTAATCTCAGGACGATTTGTGATATTTTTGGCACGATGAGCATAATCTAATGTTGACAATGTTTCCTCAATATTTATGCTTGCTGGGGATACTGTTGCAATAATTGATGTTTTTGTACGTCCGCCTAATGATTCTTGCAAAAGTCTCGTTAATTTTGACTCTCTATATGGTATGTGAGGCGCTCTTTCAACAAGTGCTGTTATAACTCGACCAAGAGTCAATAATGATTGATTAATATTTCCTGCTTCTCTTGCTCTCCTATCAACTGCACCAGATCTTCCAACATTCTCACTCCCAGCTAAATCTACCAAATTTAATTTTCCAGTTTTCAAAAGCTCCTCCCCATCTACATTATTCTCTTTTATATGAATAGTAATAGAAAATACTGTATGGGAACGACTAAAAATATATCAAAAATATTATTACAAGCACAAAATATAGTGATTTATAAAAATGAATGAAAAATAATAACCTTGAATGAGCATTCATTAAAGTTGCAGCTGTTTGTCTTTTTTCAGACCCCTTCTCTAGGATTTTATAAACCTCATTTTTATTATGTACAGTTACTTCCTCTAATCCATGAATAATTACTGACCCTTTTCTTGTTGCATCTTCATAAAGCCTATATAAGATTACAAATATGATGGTAATTATATATCTATTCTTCATATTTGATTATTATAAAAATACATTTTAATATTACCTTATTTTAGATGCATCATCGTTAGGTGATAGCAGATCAAATAATTCTTCATTATATAATTCAAGAAAACTAACTCGTACTGTGTATTCTTGTGCTTCCAACAAACGTAATTCATCAAACAAGTGACTCAATGCACGAGGTATAATTCCAGCAGTTGTATCCTATGTGTATATAAATTTATTTTATATAAGCATGTTTATGTTTGATATCACATTATTATAACTTATGCATTGAGACAAGTTGCTAAATTTGATCTAATAAAGTTTTTGTTTTTATAAATATAATTACAATATAAGCAGTTAGATATAGATAAATATAATTATTTTTCTAATATCTTTTGCATCTCAAATTTAGTTACAACTCAATATTCAGGAAACTTTGATTATTCTTAATATATTAATTGATATTAAAAATATTATGTTAAGCTAATTGTACATATTGAAATTTGCACATGTTACATTTACTATATTTTATATAAAATATAACTGACACTTTGCCAATGTAATGTTGGATCATTGCTAACACCTTCCATAGTAAATGTTTTTCCAGTTCCAGTTTGACCATAGGCAAACACTGTGCAATTATATCCTGCTAGTACCTCTTCAAGCAATGGATTAACAACTGCATTATATACATCTATCTATAAATTTCAAACAATATTATTTTTCTTCCAAAAGTATAAGCGCTTCTTAAAATATTCAATACAAAAATTTTAATTGGTTATAAAATAAAGAAATATTTCTTTACTTGTTTTGAGGAAGGTCCAAATACTTTGTCAAATGTAAATTTTTTGGAGTGAGTTCCCTGTGACCTTTCATGCACTACTACTTCTTTGTTAGATGGTAATTCCACTGCTAAGAATGATTTCCCAATTTTCTCAGAATTATTTATTGGCCTATTAAAAAAATGACACATTATTTCATGAAGACAACAATTTAATAGTGTAAAGATGTCGACTTCAGTGTAAAAATAAAAATTCTTATTGTGTGTATACATATATATAATTAGTTATTTAATTCATATTTACAAATAAATAATTGAGATTAAATAAAATAGAAACTTTCGGGATTGTATAAAAAACATTACGTTTTTCAATATGTACAGGATTCAGTCTCTTTGGAAAATAGCAAAACACCAACTTTTTCAATTCAATTTTGCTTACCTAACACGCACGAAAACCTGTATATGCTGATTTTTATCCTTCTTCATGTTACGTGTATCATTCATTTTGGATAACTTTTTGTGCCTCAAATATTTCTCGTTATAACACAGCTGATACGATTTCACTTTTCTTCCGATACGTTTTATTTCGTATGTATTTACTGTTTGTAAACGCTCACACGCCAGAAGTCAGGCAAGCATCCGTTGGAGAATTCGAATCGAGATATTTTACGCAATCGCCGCTAGGCGATGGTGTCTGACTACCACTACTACCAACTGTTAGTCCAAAAAATTGTACAAAAAGCTAGATAACAAATCTGATTGGTCCAGCTATATTTCATGCACAGATTATCTGTGTTTCATGTAATTAGCAAATAAAAAATAGAAAACATGTACAAAAATATATAGAGAAAAAAATAGAATATATATTCTAATAGAATAAATATATATATATATATATATATGTATAATCAAAAGATAATATATCAGCATTAATATTATCAAAATATATAAGCACATAATCTATACATATTATAAAAAGAAGATTAATGAAACAAGATTTATATATATATTTCATTATGCTTTTATTATGCTTGATAAGAAATAATTCTTGATTCAAATATATTTACAATTCACCAATTCATAAACACTTTAAATATTTATAAATTAGTCATATTGCTACACTGATTCATTATTAAATAATTTTTGCTTTAAAACATAAAAATATTAAAAAATTTATTTTAATGATGAAGATTTAAATAATTTAAAAAAATGTAAAAAATAATTATTATGCAGTTTCTTTTAAATATAAAAAATTACTATCACTTTTAAGTTCAAATATATATTTTTGATAATGAGCAAGTTCCTTAATGCTTTCTTTTATATCATCTAAAGCCCTATGATTAAGTTCTTTTTTTGGTACAGATTTATATACACTTGGATTCCACCTTCTAAAAATTACAGATTTCCTCATATAACTATATAGTTTTATATCATTATTTTAAATATTTAGTGTATGATAAATTGCTCTTATAGTCTCATTTATATTACACAAGAAAAGAATAAACATTATAGTTTGTAGTAAAATAAAAGATTTGTTATACCTGACAATTTCCTTGATTGTGCTAACATCAATAATCCTGTAGTGCAAATAATCATTAACTAACGGCATGTATTTGTATAAAAAGAAACGATCCATGTAGACTGAATTGCCAGCTAATGGACATACACCTTTAGGAATATATTCTTGTAAAAAGTTAAGCACCATCTTTTCAGCATCTTTTAATGAGATTGTACTTAAATAGGACTTTTCTGTCAATCCACTCTAAAATTCATATACAATATACAAATTTTAAAATTCAAATTTATCAATTTGTAAATATGAAGAAAATCATTCATATAAGATAAAAACTTACTATTTTGTGCTGTTTCTTAGACCATGCATTCATGTTATCTAAAATTGTACTTGATTGATGTATTATAATATTTAATTCTTCGCTTATAACTTTCAATGTCTTATCTGTTACAATGCAGGCAATTTCTAATATATGATCCTTTTCTATATCAAGTCCAGTCATCTGTAATAATATAATACAATTAATCTACATTTCTGTATTTTTTAGTTGCTTATTATTATTTCAAATTATATGAATGTCATTTCTATTTAATTATACCTCCATATCAATCCAAACAATATGATCAGCATTGTTGGATATTTCCCTTCTGTCTGTAACATTACAAAATTATGTATATCAGACAATTCAAAGCAAAATTTAAACATAGAAAAAAATAAAAGTATATTGGTTATTTGAGAATAAAAAAAATTTTTTTAAATTGGTGATATTATTTTAGCACATATTCAGTTTTATATAAATTGCTTACATTGACACTAATTCCAAATTTTGCACGAATATGAGAAATTTATTATTATATTTGTTTAATTAATGCATATATCTGTTTATATATATATATATGTATATATAAATGTATTAACAGACATGCATTCTCATTTATAATAAAGTAAAATTGATACAATAATTGATTGATACAATAATAAATTTAAAAAGTTTGACCTTTTTATATATTCTAGACATATTTTCTTATATAACTGTATAATTGTATATATAATAAAACTATAAGAAACTTCAAAGAAAGATAACCTCTAATTGTAAATAAATTTTAGTTTCTAAGTGTTATAATCTTGCTTGGAAATAAAAAACATATATATGCAGCAGAAGTAAAACTTACCAGACATAATGTTCTAAAAATAATTAATGTTTTACACACAATAATTGTCTTTTCGTTAAAATAAAATAGCGTCAGTAACGTTAAAAATGGTCCGTGTCGATGACAGCGTCAAAACACTATCGCTATAGCTTTCACGAATTCTTGCTTGACATGCGCCTTTGACATATATGCATGTATATATGTACATATACGAATAAAATCCAATTATAATAAAATATAATATTCATGTAATGTTCAAAATTTCATAAGATAAAAACTTTCATAAAAAAGTTGATCCAGTTTGGTCAAAACAATTTGCAAGTTTGTTGAACAATTTTGATAAAAAAAAATAATAGTAAGTTTTTAATTCTAATTATTAAATAATTTTATATATATATATATAATCGTTATATATATTGGACAATATCACGAGCAATTCGGAGATAAAAATTTTCTCAGAATTTCAATAAGTCGATTCTGCGAATTTTTAAAATCTTTATAATGCAATTTTCTTCTCTTTTTTTTATTATTCGGTTCAATGTTCTTAGCGAATCTGTTTTTTTTGCTGATCGCTAGACTATGGACAAGCGTAATTCATCGAGGAGCGTCGACCGCTGACGATCGCAGCAGAACATCAAAAAGCGTTTGCCGTTCAACGCAGCTCTTATATACAGGCAGGCGACACTAACGGTGCACCAATCATGTGCGCGAAACGACCAATCGCCACGCCATTGGCCGCTCGAAGGTCCCGCAGTCTGGTATAAATAGCTCGGCGAAGCAAGCGTGCTTCACAGAACACATTGGAGCATCGTGCGCATCGCATCGCATCGATAAAGAATCCCTCGTTCGATAACCGCAAATCTTCTATTCGTCATGTCTGGCCGTGGAAAAGGCGGAAAGGCTAAGGGAAAGGCGAAGTCGCGATCCACTCGTGCTGGATTGCAATTTCCCGTTGGACGTATCCACAGACTTCTGCGTAAAGGAAATTACGCCGAACGCGTCGGCGCTGGTGCCCCGGTCTACCTTGCCGCGATGATGGAATACCTCGCTGCGGAAGTGTTGGAGTTGGCGGGAAATGCAGCACGCGATAACAAGAAGACCAGGATCATCCCGAGGCACTTGCAGTTAGCCATCCGTAATGATGAGGAATTGAATAAATTACTCTCTGGAGTTACCATCGCTCAGGGCGGTGTATTGCCGAACATTCAAGCGGTCTTGCTGCCAAAGAAGACCGAGAAGAAAGCTTAACTACGGATTGGCGATAATTAATAAACGGCCCTTTTTAGGGCCACCAATTCCTGACGTTGGACGTCTCTCGTATCGTGTTCGCAATTTTTTTTTTTTGTACAATTTTTTTATTGTTTTCTAGACATTTATATCAAAAATATTTTTATTAATTGCTTTTTATCATTGCATTTTATATTATTATCATATTTTAAGAATATGCGTAGACAATTGAATTCTACTATTTAAAATTTAAAACAAACTATCTTAAAACTAATTATTCAAAAAATACTTAGTGATCTATATATATAAATATATAGATTTCAATTAACAAATACATTTAATTATATAGTTCAAAAAAATCATCATGTAGCTAATTATTATATTATTTCAAAATGTACACACAAATTTTTGAGTTTCTTATTTCATCATTCGTCTATAATCATATATCCGTATACATATATATTGTTTCTTACACACAAAAATATGTGATAAGATATATTGCGGAAATTTGAGTAGGAAGTAGCGACGATCCTAAATGCGATAAAATTGGATGATATCGCGTGACTTTGTCGGGACCATCTTTTCTCATGCAACATTATTCTGTAAAAATCGCCAAGTGAGGCAATCTTTCGGAGCATCAACTCTCTACCTAGTAATAATCATTTCTGTAAAGAGATATAGATTCCATATATAGAGCATATACAGAAGAAATGATTCTTTAGCAATGATAATTCTCAATTACAAAAATTACAAACACGCGATAATAAAATAATCACATTTGAGCAAACTCGGCGATTCAAATTTATTTGAAATTATAATTCGTCTGCAGCGGAAAAGAAAAAAATATAAGCTAAAATATACGTTTTATTATTCATAAAATTAATTATGAAAATCGCTAATTATAAAAATCGAGAATTTGTAATAACTTTTTTATTTTTACAATATATGCGAGCGATTTGTATATTTCTTGTAAAATTTAAACATTTCCTTGTTATTTGAAAAAAAATTGCACAAGATATACAAATTGCATATTTTTATTAATTATTTTTCCGATTAAACAAAACAAACGTGAAAATACTGCTAGATTTTCGTCTTGTCTTTTTCATGCTTCACAACCGGGATGGACGTGAAGCAGGGTAGAACCTGGTGGAACCTTAACGATTATAGAACTCTGTTGTAACGCACGCAAGCATGCATGCACGCGACGAACGCGCACGCACGCACGCACGCACGCGGCCGTACACATAGCACACACAGTTGGATTCTATACGCACGCGAGCACGCACGTCAGCAAGCACGCACGCATGCACACTCAGCATTCGCCTTAATGTAAGTCTACCGTGCCGTGGTAACAACTTTGTCTTTCGATCCAACATAGAGTTCGCGTTATTTTCTTATGAAATAACAAAATGTTTCCTAGACGAGCATAAAATCGACGTGTAACATAATAGGGTATATATATTCGTGAATTGACAATTGTTCGAATTTTGCTAATTCTGGGAAAATTCTTGAATTTTTAATTAATTTTAAAAATATGTAAATGTAACGTAAATTAAATATTTTGGGGATTTTATTAGTATAATTCACCCTGTCGTCTCTTGCTTCTTTTTTTAATTTGATTTAATACTGCATATAAATTGCAGATACTAATGACATATTTATTTTATTTTTACTGCAAAGTAAAAATATACAAAAAACTACTCTATAAAGACAAATAGACTTATTCTAATAAAACTTATTTTCCATATAGAATTCAATTTATTCTAACAATATTTTCAAAGTGTGTGTAAACAAATACGGGATCTCATGGAACATCGAATGTCCTCTGTCATAAAATGCTGATATTACGCGCAATTTTATTCTATTGCAAGACGTAGCGATTTCGTGGCGGAATGCGAGTTCGAAGCGCCGCGTCATTCGAATTTGGCGCGCGGACGGGAACCAATAGCGTGGATGGTCATGCTGCTCGGCCGTGGTGTTCTCACGATTTGTGCGTGCCTGGCACGACTGCTGTCCCACTGTCGCGTTCGCCATCCCCGTCGTCGCGTGAGAGGGTCCCGCGGACACCACGGTGCGATAGCGTCCGCGACACACCGTCCGACATCGGCCGCGATATGTCAAGTCAAATATGTCTAAAGTGGAACAGTTTCCTCAGCAATATCGCGACCAGCTTCGAGAGCCTGTGGGAGGAAGAGGGCCTGGTGGACGTGACCCTCGCGAGTGACGGACAGTGTCTCACGGCGCACAAGGTGATACTCTCGGCCAGCAGTCCCTTCTTCAAGAAGGTCTTCCAGGTGAGCCTCTCATCTTTGCTATTTCGAATTTGCGTGAGCATTCTCAAGGTTCTTCTTAGTCTCGAGGTCTGTCATCTCGTTTCGCGGTTGCACCGAAACGCATGTTGTCATTTGTCATGCCTCGGAGAAGCGATACGACAACAAAGCTGTTTGACAGCTGTCACGTAGCCTTCGAGGCATTCTCGAGGTTAGAGATGATTGTCGCGATCATCTTTGAAGTAAACTGTGTACGATTATTGACAATGACACAGTTTTGTCAATTATAATTCGTTTACTCTTACTCCAAGCTGTTAATTGTGATGATTTTTATACTTATTTCGAGTTTTAGTGACAAATAATCATGTGTTTCTATATGTTTTTCTGAACAAGATGATAAATCGTTTTATATGACATAGCTATATCTCGAATAGTCGATTTAAATCTGTTTTATTACATATACTTTTATAAATTATATATTCATATATGTATACATGAATTTTATTTATATTTTATTTTAGTTCTGTTATGATCTTTATTGTGCATTTTATGAATTGAATTTTAATTTATCATTACTACAACAATATTAATTATTTCTGAAATAGTGTATTTGTAGACATTGAAAACATCTTTTATAATAGATTTTATATAACATCAAAAAAATATATATAAAAGAAAAAATTGTATGATAATTAAAAAACCTACATAAATATAATTGATAATATGAATAGTAATATAATGTGAATATATTTCGACAATATTTTATTTCTTCATTTTTTAGACAAATCCATGCCAACATCCTGTCATAATACTTCAGGATGTACATTTTAGTGAATTGGAGGCACTACTTATATTTATATATAAAGGAGAGGTAAATATTGAGCAGAAGAATTTACCAGCACTCTTAAAAGCAGCAGAAACATTGCAAATTCGGGGGTTGTCTGGTGGAGATATCTTTGCGAAAGAGTCCTATAAACGATTAGCTGAATTGGAGCAGGCTGTGGCCGAAGATGTACCACTGACTAAAGAAGAGACACCTAAGAAAAAGCAAAAAATTAACAAACAACAGAATAATTCTATATTGGAGAAAGCACTAACACCTAGAATACCGCAATCAGAGAATACAAATGAATCCGCAACCAGTGATCAAAGTGGGAAGGATGGAGAGTATATGTTGTCTGAAACATTACCAAATCCAGTATATCATCGTTTAGAAATGAAAGTTAGTTTAGAAAATAGAAAATGTGATAGTAATATGATATTATCATTGCATGTATGATTATAAACATATAATACATTCTCATTCTAAATGCATTTCAGATTGAACCATTGGAAATGGCAGTAGATGATCTTCAAAAGCCATCTCCATTAGATAAGGATCCAGCAGAAAGGCTAGACACAGGACAAGCAGATGGGAATCAAGGTTAGTATCAAAAAACATTTATGAGATATTTTTGATACCATAATTCAGTATGCTATACTACAGATATATAATTAAACATATAGATTATATTTTGTGTGTTTGTGTGCTGGAAAACATGTGTATTATATTAAGTGCAACATTGAATCTTTTTTGCATTTTCACTGCCATATTATTGCTGATGTGTTTTTTAAATTTTATAATTAAATACAAATTTAGTAAATTAGCAATTTAAAGATATTATTTTATACAAGCATATATATATATAGAATATTTGAATAGTACTATATATTTTCTATAATTTTTCTAAAGATATTTGAAACTAATTCTTTTCTTTTTTATTGATAATTTAATCAAGCATCATTATTTGTTATACTATATTTTTGCACAGTTAATGTTAAGAACTTTGTTAAAAAATCACATTGCAATATTTGTATAACATAAAAAAGTTTCTCTTATACTAAATTTGTAAATCATTAATAGTGCATTTATTATATATATTCATATATATATTCATCAGCAATATGTGTTATTATCATATCAATTTATGTGCAAAATTTTCATTTGAAATAAGTAGTCTAATGCGAGGGTAATATAATATTTTGCTTTTTCGAGATTTGAATACAAATTATATTTAACATGCATTGCTCCTTATAATCTATTGTTTTTATTATCGTATATACAATTCATATTATCACATGTGCTCTCTGCAATACAATCGTGTCCATTGATTCATTCTTTGCGTATGTTTTGGCGGCTACTGTAGTATCAAAGCTTTTTCTTTGATACGGTAACTTGTAGCTTTTTCGAATCTTCAGTTCGCTTTCGTCGCATATATTTTGTTCTGCTCGTTTTTTTTGGCGCGCCACGTTTTCTTTATTTGCTGTGCTATATCGTGAGAGAGGTAGAGACAAAGATTGCGTGCACGAGTGAAGAGTACTTTATTGAAAAGACAATGAGAGCGACATAATTGGAATAATAAATGCATAAACATCTTCATGATTTGTTGCATTGCAGCAAAATTTTCATGGTACATTCGATAGTATATCGTTGATCTAAAAACGCGATTAATTTGTAATAATTGTAACTCGTGCAGTAAAAAACTGGACAGTAGTCTTCTCTTTTATTTCTGTCAAAGTTTATGGAAACAAAATCTGTTTTTTTTTGGCGTCACGCCTCGATCGACGGTGCATATAGCGTCATATAAGCGTGCATGCGTGAGCAGTGCATACGTGAGATGGGAAGATGCGTGATCGGTCCTTCATTATAGTCTTTAACGTACTTGAACTCGCTCGCATTTTCTTTATTGTGTGCGCGTAATTCACGTGTGTGTGTCGGGGCCAGCCCGTGCTAAGTCTAAAGCGCGCTGTGCTGATGTGTGTGGCAGGGTCTGGGAACAGTCCTGCCGAAGACATTTCTGGTTTATCTGGCTTGTCCGGGCTAAGTGGATTCTCGGACGTGAAGCCGCTGCTTTACTCGTATCAGCACCTACCTTACGCCGATCTCCTGCCGAGCCCGGACATAATCTCAACCTGGGCGTCGTCCCGACCGATGGATCACCTGGCTTGCGATCTCATGAAGATCCTCTTCACGCCGGAAGAGAGGATCCTCTGTAACGTCAACGGCAAAATGGGCAAACAGCAGTTCGACAGCAACAAGATACATTTAATTCGGGAGGTTTTGTTGCACTTCAGCGGTATTGCGCCTAACAGCATCGAATGGGAGGAGGCGTGGAAGAATTGCGTAACCAAAATCGACACTAGCAATAGGGGCCTGAAAAGGTATTTGTTTCAAAGGCGCTCAGTTTACACCCAATGACTAGGGCGTTTCAGGTCAGGGGTCAAACGGAAACGTTTCCACTGGCTGGAATAGGAATCGTTCTTGTAAACCCGTCGCCCCGTTCGTCGTTCTTACGCGAATGTCGCGGGGCTCGTCCCTCGCTTGTTCCTCTTCGATGTGAAGCTTTCGCGTAGCTTTACATTTAGGGCAAGTTGTAAAAAATTGATGTAAGTAGATAATAAGGTTCGTGTAGCCGTTTATAGGGGAAAAAGAGACGGACGGTCAGCCGGCGTGATTAAAAATCGTGAAATTAATACACGTGTAATAGGATCGTAGTGCGAGCGGTCTCCGATCCGCGATTGATGATTCTAGGCTGTAGATTTCGGGGTGACAGGGTGATTAGACAAGAGCATCGTAGACGCGATCGAGTTATTTATATACGCTTCAGGTTCGCCACTCCGACGTGACGAACGATCGAATAATTCTAAGCCTTCCTCTTTCGTACTTTCGTTATAATTTTCATCTTATCAATGAGTATTCCCTCAAGATATTTTGTTGGATCTCTCTCCTTGTCCCCCCTTTGCACATCATGTATTTAAAAGAAATTGTTGACGTTTCTCACGACGCGCTCATGAGCGAGGTCAATCATCCAGTTGTCTGTGTATCTGTTTATTTTTTCGATAACATCTTGAATACCGTAACATTCCTTCGTTTATTTGCGGTATATTTATGCGAGAATTCACTTTGACAGTAGAGTTTACTTTGACAGTAAAATATTGCGATATCAATTGTAAAAAGTTGGCGTATCAGGGAGACACGCGAGTCTCCCTTTCTCTCTTTCTCGCACTTGAATATGCACACACACACACACACACACACACACACACACACACACACACACACACACACACACACACACACATACACAAACAAACATCACGTACTCGCTCATACGCATTATTGATACACGGACAGGATGTGCGTGTATATAAGCATTCGTTACGCGTCCATGTGTGCGATATATACACATATATATGCACACGACTCACTTAGAAGTATATGTATATACATATGAAGATACGTGTCGGTCACACACATATATTGGTCACGCGCGTGCGTAACGTAACGCTGCATGACCGCGGCAGCTCTATGTACACTTAAAGGAAGAGAAACCGTAGGCTCTTACGACAGGAATAGTGATTTAAGACATGCTTGTAGAGTATTTAAATCGCAGCAAAAGGATCACTTATACACACGTACAGAATGTGCGTTATACGAACTATTAGGATATATACGTTGCGAATCAATGTGCGATACTTCTCATCGCGTGCGTCCTTTTCTCAGGATTCGCACGAAAGTGTTCTTTGATCTCCGTTTATTTGTAAAATAAAATCGTTTTTATTGGTTGCGCGCGCGATATCAGGCGTTGGATCAGTGGAATATATTATATCTCGACAGCTTCGAGCCGACTTATTATTTAAATCGATATTATTGTAGACAAAACAAATGACTGGTCGCAAATAAACCTATTTTACATTTTTAATTGTCCCTTTATTTCGGACGTACCTATCATCTTCTTTATTGCGTATCTATGTAAACAATAAATAAATGCTGCTCTTTACTATGTTTAGAAGACAGAACTAGATAGGTAATTTTTTCGAGACTTTTTACGGAAAAATATAAATATTTTTCATACATTTTTCGTTATAAACATTACTTAAAATTGGAGCAAAATTGAAAATCGTGCAATTTTTATCTATTTTCATCTATATATAAAATGAGAATTCAAATGATAGATTGAAATTGTTTACAGGATCATTAAAGCCGATTGTGACAGTGATAGCCGAAGCTCGCAATACTTCTCCAGATCCGCAAACGTACAGCAGAGATCCGTTCGCAGTTGAACAAGAGACTTCGTTGTGGAATGTCACGAAAAAATTGGACGACCCACCATCTAACTCATCGAATCGTCTTCGTGTCGAACATGCATTAGATCAACCGAAATCCTCGTCGAATCTCTTTCTAAAATACAATCCTGAAGCTTTGCAACCCGAGAGTTACTCCGCATTCGCCAAATCCTACGGTACAGATTTGCCGGACGAGGCTATAAGAGGATCAGCATATCCACCTTTTCCCTGTCCCTTCTGCGACAGGGCATACACGAGTTGGGGCTTTCGCAGAAGACACATAAAAGCCGTTCACACCATCTCTCCATCCCTTAATTGCAAATGGTGTTTACAAGTAAGTTTTCCAATTTACTGCAGGATACAATAATAAGCGAATCGAATTATTATATTTAACATTTTATTTTCATCATTGTCAGATTCTACCGACACACGCGGCTTGGAGACGGCATGTGATATCGGCGCATAATCTATCGGCCAGTGACGCACACAACGGTCTCTTAATCCTAGAAGAAGCGCATATGGTTCTTCAAATAGCGCATCCTACTAGATTGGATACATTGGTTAACATTATTAAGCAGAGTTCCCAACAAAACTGTAGTCATGATAATACACACACTCAATCGGATAAAGATTAGGTAATTGCTATCAGTCAGTATTTACACTATTTTTGTATTGAAGACTTGTTACTATTTTAATTTTGTTCTAATTATTGACATTGTCGATGAATCCATTAATGAATAATGGCAATGAATATATAGTTTATATAAATATCAAACTGTGTGTGTTCAAGTAAATACAAATTTATATTCTTAAAATAAATATAAATTATATTTTTATTATATACATATATATATATATTATATAAGATATTTTAGTATATTTTTGTTCATGATTATGAACAAGGATATACATTATTTTTTTATTATGCTGTTCTCGGCAAGTCTGTCAAAAACAGAAATTTAAGATATTGTTTAATATCTTAAATTGCATAATATTAAATGCATAGAAATATGACAAAATAATATGTTTTTATATATATGTATATGAACTACTGTGATATATGTATAGGCAAATTATTATCAATATTTATATATATTTTTTTCATATATAAACATCATAATATACCTAGGTATACTTTGAATAGTTCATAATGAGTTGAATATTCGAGTTATTGATAATGAAATATTTTGAAATAAGTATCAATATATAGAGAAATGACATTCTCTTATAAATAAGTCATCGCCATACTAATAATCACGTTACATATTCATGCCTATTAATCATTGATATATTTAACCAGTAATTTCGCAAAACATTTTTGAATGAATTCTGAATGAATATGAGATGAGAGAATAAGTATTATTTACTATTTATGCTTTGTTACAATGTTGCGATATCAGTAAACGGCAATTTTCAAGCTTCAAGCTATCAATATTAAAACATATATTTTAATATTGATAGGACAGAGTTTGAAGTTAAAAAGGAATCAGGTGTATTGATAATTTCCATTAAACTTTAGCGATCCTTTTTCCTTTCCAAATCATAACTTCAGCTATGTTAAGTACATGGAGAGAATTTTTTATTATATTTTGCCGCAAAATTTACTACAAATTTTATCATGTTTTATAATAAGCCGAAAATTACTACGCTGCATGTTTAAATTATCATGACTGATTAAGCTGGATTGAAAATATGGTACACTATAAAATTTATATAAAATAGATAATAATCCTTAAGGTTCGCCAGTAATAATTAATAAAAATCTTTCCTCAATGGTAAAAGTCGACCAAACTGGCAATCATTTATTATAAATAATTAGTTAAAATACAACGTTTCGGCTGTCATTGCAGCCCTTTTCAAGTAAATCTATAAAAAGTTACATAAAAATAATTATAATTTTAATACATTTCATCGCAACAAATAATTATAAATTCATGTACAAAAATATGTTACATACCAAATGTAAATGCATAATAAATTAATACAATAAATCAAATTCACTGCATACCACCGACAATATTCACCATTGTTTTAATGAACAATACATTTTTGTATATGAATTTATAATTATTTGTTGCGATGAAATGTATTAAAATTATAATTATTTTTATGTAACTTTTTATAGATTTACTTGTGAAAAGGCTGCAATGACAGCCGAAACGTTGTATTTTAACTAATTATTTATAATAAATGATTGCCAGTTTGGTCGACTTTTACCATTGAGGAAAGATTTTTATATAAAATATTTATCACTTTTGGCATCTACTCTATTTAAAACACTTAAAGAATTATAAGTTTTTTTTAATAATTTTAAAATTATTGAAATTTTATTATATATTTTAATAAAATTAATCAAATATATTTTATATCTTATTGTGATAGATATTAATATTTTTTATTGTATATATTAATCAGAGAAACTCTTATAAAGTTCTTTCAATAACGCATTGTCCTACGATTACCACGATGAAATTTCAAGATACATTCTAAAGGAAAATTCTCCCTGTGTATAGAAAGAAAGAGCATAGTTTGATACTAAATACATATAACATGCTGATATTGCAACCGATGTTCTCTGTTCGATGCTTCATAGCTCAGCCACGTGGCCTTTGACGACAATGCCTGGTGCAATCTCCGCAGTAACACTGTCACTATCATTGGCGCAATTTTCGTTCCATGCGTCTTGTTTCGCGTATTTCTCTGACATGAGAATCATCTCGTTTGGACTCCATTCTGGCGAATCTTGACTATCGCTACTCTTGTGGGCGACATTCGAGTTGCATAAATTTTCGTTACTGCGGCGATAAAATTCTGGTTTTGACGGTGATGAGCTCTCATATACAGAATTGCGTTTCATCGAAGCACGCTGATGAGGAGTTTTCCGCAGCATCGCCTAAAATAACAATATCTTTTAAGAAGATATACATATATTTGTTTGATAGTCTTTTTTGAAGTTTGTGCTATACTAATTATTTTATTTTCTTATTAATATTTTAATCATACAATATCTTAATAATTTGAGTTACGAAAGGGAGAAGTTTTATATATATAATCAATATGATATATCAAATTGATCAAAAAATAATGAATTAATACATCTAAATATTTAGATAGTGAAATTTTTAACAAAGAAAAAAATATCGATTTTTATATATTATTTTTTATATATTCTTAAACATTACAGTTATAAGTAACACAGTATAAATATTGGTTTCTGGAAATAAATTATATTGTTTTTAAATAATGATAATCTCTGTAAATTTTTAATAGAGACTCGAGCAATTCTATTGCAGAATATATTGCATTCTAATAATGATTATAACAATATTTGTATGTACATATAACTGTATGAAAAGAATGAAATGAGTAAACTAATATATTTTACCTGGAAGTTAAAGGGAGGTGCATCATCGTTTTCATCGTTGTTTCTCTGTCCAATCATTTTCAATTCCTTGATGGGATTTACACTGTAATAAAAAAAAAAAGATTATGCTACAAAGAAAATTTTTATTAACTAAAAATATTATTAAAAATTTTAATTTATCTCAGCAATGATTATACCAAACATTATTATTGATATTGCGATTAAATCCATCCTCAAACTTCCAGTCTGTGTCACCTATCTTTTTGTTCCGAACATCTGACTCATAATTGTTAAAATTTCGCATTGCTGAGGGTTGCATTTGATTATATAATGGTACTTTCTGATTGCGGCATCCACTATTATCGGTATTGTTCTATAAAGATAAGATCTCTGTATATAAAATATATCTTATAAGAATCATAATCATATTTTTTAATCTAAATTTTTTATATATATTTTCTAAAGCATTGTGTGGAATATATTTTTTTTCTAATATATGGTTATATCAATTTTTAATCTAAATTTTTGATGTATATTTTTTAAAGCATTGTGCGGAATATATTTTTTTTCTAATATGGTTATTAATGAAGGAAATTGAGTTAAAAGTTTTATAAACAATTGCATGTTAATAAATCTGATCAATATTAAGTATTTGGCATATATTATAAATTAATTTATCATTTGATAATGTATTTCATAAATTTGCTTCAACAAAAATATTTTATTTATTTAATGTTGAAGATTAAAGAAATAATGAAAAAAAATCACTAAAAAGAAATCTATGTTTTTTATAGAAAAGTTTTTAATGGCTGTATAATAATTATAAGAATGTGTGTGTGTGTGTGTGTGTAATATAAAATGCAATCATATAATAGTTATATTTGCAAACTTACAGAGTAAGATATATAAGAGGATTGTATGGTATCACGTTTATTTGCAGTTTGAAAGCCACAAATTCCACTGTTGTGGCGAGTTGGATTCTCTGGTGGACATTGAATCGGAACATTAGGATCCCTGATGAATGGAGTGTTGATCAAACTTTGTTCCCCACCGACTGACGAATGATGAAGGAGCACGCGATGTGGTGAGTTTGTTGTTTGAACTTCGACATCTAAAAAATATATCATATTAAAAGAGAATTTTGCTTTCCACGTCTGTAATCGCTATTAAATTTGCTTTGTTTTTGTATTAAAAAAACGTACTCTCTCTCAGCCCACTATTTTTATAATTTTTCATATGAATTGCATATTACATGATATTTAAAGTTATAATTATATTTTTATTAATTAAAAATATAGCGTCAAAATTCACGAATAATACAAATGAGAAGAGTATCGATATATAAAAAAAAGCAAATTTATACATAAAAAATTTATACATATTTTGAATTGTTTTAAGTTCTTAGAATTTTACAATTTTTTTATCGAATATTTTGTACGTACTTCTAGTGCTAACATTATTGTTAGCCCAAGGAACAGTTTGCCTACGTAACGGTGTATCCCAAGACTCGCATTCGTCATCGCTCATGGATGTTATAGATCTGTGAAAAATGTTTTTGAATTGACGTTAAATTATTATTTACATTTGCTATTGTGTGTTTTTAAGAGATTTTTAATTCGCGATGTACATATATATATACGAAAAGATCAGTTTCGATATAATTATCGAAATTTTACGTGTATTTTGGGATCAGCATTTAGATTGATATTATAGATAAAAGATATTTCAAAATTTGAAAGATATTTTAGACGATTTACCCTGCACGTTTAATGTTTATATTTGAAGGATCATTCATATAACTTGTGTCGAAGTATAATAGTTCTTGTTGCATATTGAAGGGTAGTTTGTGAACTTGAGGTAGTTTTATTTCACGGTAGGCATCTACTTTGGCACTTGGATCGATTTTATCAAGAGATACAGATTTGTTCGTCTCCTCGAAAATTGCCATTATTGATTGATTATATAGATGAACCTGTCGATATATGAAACAATATGTAAATGTTATTAATTTATTGAATAGTTGATATTCATTTATATATTTTAGTATTATTGAAAGTTTGTGTCATACTATGGGAAAAATCATATAGGAAAAAGTTTATATAACAAAACGTAAAATGCGCTAAATTTGATTAATTAAACACGTTATTATTAAGCGTTTTCCCGTAAAAATAGTTTAAAGTTCCCACTTCTTGATAAAGCAATTTTGTCATAATACCTGCTGCGAAAATTGCACAAGATCCTGATAACGGGCTGCACGATATCGTAAGAGAACTTGGAATATACTCTTCGATCTCCACTTGCTGCAATAGAATTTAATAAAATCTTTTGTTTCTTGGTCCATTTCTCCCTTCAAGAAAGGCTCCATTTCCTTTCTCACCTTATGTCCTCTAAATGCTAGTGGTATATAATAATGTATATATAAGAAAAAAGAAGAGAGGAAAGAGGTTTCTAAATAATTTTCGATAAGTTTTTAAACATTTTATAAATGTGATTAAAACGTCAGAATATTAGGATTTATTTATCGAACACATTTAATATATTGTAATAGTAGAGGTGGTAGAATGATAGGTAAAATAATACGAAAATATCACATTCTTCAAGATTTAGAATTAATATTATTTTCTTAATCACCTTTCTGTATCATCACTGCCGCTTCATCTTCCGTAAGTGACTCTGTTTTCTTAATTGACGTTTTCCTCACTGAAATAATACACGTTACAATTGATCGAAATATACATTAAAATATAAATAATTGGTAAATCGCATTTTACTATGATTCCTTTAAAATAAATTTATATACTTGCCAATCTCCTTCTTGATGTTACTCATCTTTGAAATAATATTTTTGCGCGCTAAAAAGGCGCGCATCATACACTGCACTTTTATGATCTTTTTTACTTGTGTCTCGTATAAGCGTGACAGATATTCTTCATTGTAATATTTCAAAAAGACTTTGGTTTTGCCGATGATCCAACCTTCCATCTTTAATCTGACCAGAAGTAATCTACAATTATCCTTCGTCATCTCGACTGTTTCGTTAAAATCGAAAGCCAAGAATTTATATCTGTAATTAGAAATCGTTTTTGCATTCACATGTAACAAAAAGAATTCTTTAAATATTTAGCTGATAATGAGAAAATATATTTTTCTGTGCATCGCTGTATTCGATTTCAGAATGCTATTTTTATAATTAAATTACCTGCGAAGAAATTCTTGGAAAGGTATTCTATATGGATAGCCGCGTTGTCTGGCTTTTGCTGTGTCTAGAACTGCTAACGCTCTCATTTGCTGTCTGACAACTTCTCGATAAAAACCGCAAGGAACATCCTCGAGGTCGGAGCGTATGCATCTAACAAAATGCATGCCACTTCCTGTGACTGTCGCAAGATTTCTCAGAATTTCGAGACTCGTCGATCTGAATGTCGACAGGCACGTCCGCATTTTGCGAGTCTGCGAGTATTGTCCTTTAGACGCGGTATTGTATTTCTATTGAATTAAAATCATAAATAAGATTTCGCTACCTTGCAAGCTAGAGAAGCTTAGTTTTTGCTGAAAAGTTCATCTCCAAATTTTTCTGATGCGTTTCAATTAAAATGCAAATATGTTTTGAAACATATACATAGAATTATTGACTTTAAATTGATAAAATATTCTGTATTAAAATTAAAATTATTATAAGATAATAGATACATTTGTTTATCCTTTTTCTTACGCGAAAATTGGAAGATTCCTGCATAAGAGCACTCCATTTGCTTTTCGATGTTTTTTCTCTCGCGAGACAAGGTTCGTGGACGATTGTCAAACTGCCCGACTTTGTCAGCTTGTTGGTGAACATTTGCTTGACTGTATCGTATGAAGAGTATCTCATCGTATCGATCATCTCTGGTGGTACAAAATCTCGATTTTTCGCTGCGATTTCGCTAGCATCGTATATTAATTTGCCGGTGTAATGCGCGATTGTAAACTCGTGCGAACTCATCGGTTTCACATGAGTACCGTATTTATGCTCTTTGATCCTCTCGAAAATATACTGAGCATCTTGCAATTGTCGCGAAGCATCATCGATAATCCGCAGGAGGCCATCCTGCTTGCTCATCAGCTGATCGACAGTTTCTTTATTATCATAAAAACGTAATTTTTGTATGGGTATATCTTCTTCATCTTGTTCTTGCTGAAATCACAGTAAAAATACACAAGTAGTACAGATTTTTATTCATTTTTTTAGTATATAATTGATTTTATTAGTATATAATCGTTATTTGATTCGTAAAGATATCAAAGATTAATTTACTTTATTTTTATGAATTTGCTATAAAAAATGTTTTAATAAATTAGAGCCATTTATTAATTGACAAAGAAATTTACCATTTCCCAAGCGAATATTCTTTGATTATAATAATATTGCATTTGCTCGTTCATTGTATTCACTTGCAATTGCTCTAATCGATTCACCGAGAAACATTCAAATCCAAAGTAATCGAGGATGCTGATAGAATATTTGTCGCCACTGCAAATTAAAGTATAAATGATATAATAGTATCTGTAATAACTATTATTGTGCAGAAAAAATGGAGAGAGAGAAAAGAGTTTTATCGTTTTTTGATCTATCATATACTTTCACGTGTGAAATTTTTGCGTAACTTACTAAAGACTACGAGTCAATGAGAGTTTATAATTAATGATATTGATTATCCAGTCTACTAAACGTTGATAAAGAGTATTCGCCATGACATCCCGTGCTTCTTTCGCCTCTTCGCAAGTGTGTTTTCTACGCATCGCCGATCCCTTCACGATCAAACAATAATTAATGAGAGCCCAAGTAAATTTCTTCGCGTCTAAGCCAAGAAGTTCGGCTACTGTAATTTGAAATAGCTAATCAGACTTTGCGTCTAGATAGATAAATATTTTATTACGATTTAATATGAATTAATGTATCAAAGTAAATTTCTTAGAACTGTCAATTGTGGATTTAATCTTCGAATTTAATTTTTTACCTTTGTTAGCGGCTTCATTGTTGTCCAATTCAGCCTCTCCGTTATTGCCTTCGACAAATCGGATCTCCCCGAACATCAGAATAGCTGTGAGAATTTTGCAAATAGTCTCGCAGTGCTCTTCCAGATCCATAAACTTAACATTTTCTATAAATTCCTTAAACTTAACCGCGTTGTGCTGCGGATCGTTTCTCACTTTGAACGCTCGTTTCTTCTCTGTATCCTTGTCAATTATTCGAAGATATCGAAGTCTTCTTCCACTTGGTAGGCCATAGTCATTTAATTTTTCCGACGCATCAAGACCGTCGTATAAATAATAAAAGATATGAAAATTTGATTGATTTCTGAAAAAGTATTTTCCTGCTGTATTAATATTTTTATAAGATATTATTTTCAAAAATGTATTAATGTTGTATTAATATTTTTATAAGATATTATTTCCAAAAATTAGAATTTTTTACTATTTTTTATTTTATAAGATTTAAATACATTAGAATTTATTTCATTATTTTTATTGTTTTATAAATAATAGTATATAAATATAAATAATAGCGTCAATTACATTATTACCGCGTATTTTCTTGTAAGGAATAAAGTATCAAAAATTTTTGTCGGTTTATGCGCCTGCAATGACGACCCGTTATACATAGAAATATAAAATACGGTCTAATTCTTTAATGCTCCATACTTTGATAAAATCTAAAGATTATCTCGAAATAATAAGAGACTTTTAATTAAGAAACTAAAAGTTTGTGTAAAAAATATAATAAAAATTATTTTTTTGAAGAATAAGCTACCTGTCGCGAATGGAAACGCGCCACTTTTCCAATTGATATAGCCAAAATATCGCGCCTGATGCTTTGCCAGTTGAACCGAAAGTAGTTTGTATTTGCAATATGCATCTAGTGGAATTAGCATTAAGCTGTGTTGCTGCATTAGTGAGAGCATGAATAATTTCTATAGCTCGTAGCACTTTCAATCCAGTGTCTTGCAAACCCTAAAAAGCATCATCACATTATTCGTAATTCTATTTATATACCGAATTTATTCGCGTTTAACTCACTTTTCCGAGAAACATCAGATGTTTTACTAGATGCAGCATGTTCGTCGTTTTTCCAGAGTTGCTCTCACCGGCTAACAAAATGTGTTGCGGTTCTTCATTATGCACAACATCTTGAAACGCGCTATCCGCCACGGAATAAATGTGAGGTGCGTTATCAGATCGCGATTTGCATTGATATTTCATGTGATGCTGTAAATAAAATTGCGCGTCCAGATTTATGATACAAAATTATTGCAATTTCGTTATTGAACACATTGGATAGCATTTTGAAATGTTTTTTTTATATCTAATAGCGATATTTGATTCGCTAATGAGATTTTCATCTAAATTTGTAGAAAATTCTTTATCAAAAGCGCAGAATGCAATTGATGATCCAATATAAGACTTACGTAAGAATCGTAAATATCGCGTTCCTCGTTCGGATTGAGTATCAGCAGAACGTCGCCGATAAATGTGTGATATTCACCCCGCTCTAATCTTTCGCGAAGTTGATGTAAGATCACGTCCTCGGTTAACTTCTCCAATGCCGCTAAATCTTCCATGAGCATCTGTTCCGCTGGTTCATCCTTATGATTCTGTCGAGAAAATTATAGTTTTTTATTTGATATTGTAAATTGATTTATCTCGTGATTTATGCAAGTCGGTACCTTCACAAAACCATTACGAACTATCGATTCTGTTTTTCTTTCTTCTCTACCCTTCTCAGAGACATCCATCACCAATGATTTTATTTCTTGCGTCAGCTAAAAATCCATCCATTGCACATTACATTTTTGATCACTGCAGGAAATTATGTTGACTAGTAAAATTATTCGTAGACTTTAATACAAAAGTTACATCGAGGCTCTCTAAAGTGTTATTAAAATACAAAATCAAGAAAATTTCGAAAGATGTATTTTATAATTCTTATATTCTTTATAAACAATAAATCTTTTTGTTCAATATTATAATTAATATTATTTTTAAAGTGATCAATTAATCTTAAAGAATATAGAAGAAAGACATTGCATGTTTTTACATGTTCGGAGATTGTGAATTTATTATTCAATATCCACGTGTTGTAATCTATCTTTGCTAATTCGTAGCCTGTATCGCATGGAAATATCTTATTATACCGTGTAATCATTCTCAGGTAGCTCCGACAGGAAGGGATGTTCAATGATCTCCACTATATATGGTCTGTTCTCGGGATTCTTCTCAAGGCATCTGGAACAAACATATATCAGACGTGATTCTCGCGCAAGGTTTCATTCGCAACGTTCGTAATAAAGAGATTTTCATATCTGATTGATCACGTACTCCGAGATGAAGTCATTGAGATTCTCCGACCAGTTGGCGGGTCGGTAGACGGTCGGCGGTGGATTACGGACTATCTGGAAGAGAGCGCGCGTCGGATGCATGTCCTCGAAGGGTGCCTTGCCATCGGCCAGCTCAATCGCTGTGATGCCGATCGCCCATACGTCGATCCGGTTATCATATCCGTTATCAGCCCCGTTGCTGCCTTTGACAATTTCCGGCGCCATCCAGGACGGCGAGCCTATGCAAGTATGTCGTTTATCGAGTTTGTTCTTCAACATCCTGGAGAGCCCAAAGTCGACCAATTTCACTTCGCCTTCCTTCGTTAGGACGATGTTGTTGCCACGGATGTCTCTGTGGATTACATTGTGCTCGTGCAAGTGGATTAAAGCCTGAAATAAAGACAAAAGTATGATATGTAATATTTTATTTTAGTAATTATAGTTGTACACACGTGATATTTTATTTTTACGAAAACGCGAAATTATATCATTGATAAGTATTTGAAAGATCATGTAGAGATGAATGAATGTTACAACGATTGAATTACATTCTTATGGGAAAAATATTATTATCATATATATATTATTAATTTAGCTATAAGAGAATATTTGTTTTGGAGTTAATTTTAAAATTGATGAAACCACGAATGCTATACTATATTACATAATAAATCGCGCATTAATCTGACATCGCAGATTGAAATGGCTCCAAGAATAACATGCATGTAATTATCTTTGAAGTATGACAATGCGGAAGGGAAGTTGGCAACTCGGCACCTTCAATGTCTTGCAAGAATCGTTTTTATAGATTTACTGCAAATTGAACGATCTATAATTTGCAGCCGGTCGTGCTCGCAGCGCGTAACAAGCGCGAGTCAATGAGCAGTTTCAACGTGGCGTGGGCATGAAATCATTAATACCAGGCTCATCAGCAAGCTGCTTCAAAGGGCATTCTACTCCGAAGCTAAAGGTGAGCTATTGCAAAGTTGCTTACAATAATAAACACTAAAATTTTCGTTCGTCTCTGCGAATCTTTAATTCATTTTTGATAAACTCACGTGTTTGAGACGTGTTTATCGATCAGATAAAATATAATATTAAATATTAAATTTAATTTATTTGTAAAATATTATTTTCTCTATTAAGTGCAGATTAATGGATTCACTTAACAAATCTTTTTACTAAATTTACACTGATTTGTAATATTTTAAAAATAAGATAGACAATCACGCGCATTCTTCATCGTTTGTTGGCCGAATGATATACAAGAAATAGTTAGAAGAGTAAAGGGAAAACTCGAGGGACGAACGAATTGTTAATTGGCGGATAAAGATTAAACAGGACATAACGATCGTACAGAAGAAGCATAGTAGTCTCCATTCGTCTCTCGTTCTTTATCCATTTTCTCTTTATGTTTCTGTTTGTAGCACTGCGCACTGCTCTTCGCGGGCATTTATTTCGCGTGTAATTTGCCGGCATTAAACGTCAACGTGGTCTGATTTACCGCACGAGTGACCGTGGACGAATCGCTACCGAGCCCATGGAACACGTATCCGCGAGGAAAGAGAAGGAGAACGGGTGGAGGAAAAAGAAGGAGAGAGACGGGGTGTTGCGTGCAGTTTTCAAGGTAGAAAAGGAACGACATGGGCTCGACATAAGTCGGGAGATGAGGAGGATACGGCGGGCACCGCTGGTCCCCAGTGGCGAAGGGCATCGGATTGTGCGTGCATACCCGAAAGGTACGGATCTACATAATGATTTAGTGACAAACTACCTGGATCGTAAATATTATCGCTGTGAAGTCCACCATGAGAGTCATTCGCGAGAGAAAGAATGCCGAGCTCCATTAAGCGTTCTTTGTGCCCTTTCAATGAACCTATGATGCGAGATGTTGATTTCAGGGAAAATTTGACAGAGAAAATGTTTGTCAGAGATGTTGCGAGACTCTTTTAATAAATTATTAATTTTAGAATAGTTATCCGCATTCCTTCTCTTCAACTGACTTTTATAACTAAATAATAAGATTATATATATTAAGACTTTATAATAACGGAACTATCTTGAAGAAGATAAAGACGATGCTGTAATGTACTCATCGATTCTGTCTTACTGCCCGCTTATCTTGTACCAGTACAGAAGAGATGACAGTAATGATATATTTTAACGCTTACCATTTAACAGCTCATGATGCTTATACCGTACTAGTCTATAGTTATGACGATAGCAATCAAATAGCGATTAGAATAGAATCTACATAGAACATCAATGAAATAAATCTGTGCTAGTATATAAGATAAGAGTTGCAGTACGACAAAGATACAAAAACGAATTATTTTTTTGAATAATCTTTTATTATCCAATGATCCATTTTTGAAAGATTTCTCTTCTGGTGATTTTTTTACTATCAAAATGCAAAAAAAAACGAAAGAAATTATATAAATTAGTTGTCGTTTAAATAATCTATAAATAATATAATAATATAGTCATAGAATTTTATCTATTGACTTAATTATTTTGTTTTTCGTGTGATTGTAATTAAAATACTGACTTTGTTATAGTTAGTATTGATGCTGCTTCATGCGCATAACAAATAAAGAAATAAACAATTAGATATAGAAGCAAGGAAAACTCAGTGACACACGAATCAAAGCGGAAGCAGTCACTTAAGTTTCATCCTGCTGCGTGTCTCAGTGTCATTCGTTTTTTTCTTTAATTCTCGTCTCTATTTTTCCTTTAATACGCACATGGCTTCTTAAGTCCGTTGAGAAATGAGCACGATATCCTCGCCAATTATCCGACCTCCTAAGAGAGACCGGAATCATGGAAGGCGGTATTATTGTAAATAAGCGAATCCGTCATGCCGTGATCATTAACTATTAAGCAAAATCATGACAGAAGGGTGTTTAGCTTTTCGTTCCTCGACGACCCTTTCTCCCTTCTCGCTTTTCCTGTATTTACGGTCTTTCTTGCTCGATCATTTGTCTCAGTTTGTATTTAATTCGTGTTTCCGAACGGAAACACTTCGTGTTTTATCATCTACTCTATCTCGGGTCTTACTTTTTTCATTCTCCAAACTCTCGTGGAAAAATTAACGGCATGGCTTACGTTTTACGATTGTCGTAAACAAGGGTAATATTCAATTAATGCAGCGGCTTAAATTTATTGTGACGTTCACTGCATTGCCCATTAATGTTAATAATGATCAAAGCAAAAAAAAAATCAATATTTTACTGCATACACAAACTTTACGAATTCGTTAGCCTATTGCCTTGTTATGGTAAAGATACAGTTATCTCATTTTTATTAAATTTCTTCATTTACATTTTGTATATATATTTTAATAAAATATCAAAACTGGCTATTTGAGCCTTGCATACAGAAGTAAGATAAAGATAAATTAATTTCGAGATTTGTAAAAGCAAAATTAAGTATTTTTTTGTATTATTTATGTCGAGAGAAATATATACATACACATGATTCAAAAGTACAGTTGTAATGTCTGACATACAAATTGCTCTTACTACATAAAATTGCTAGAATGAAGATATAAGTGTAAGCGCGAGAGAAGAAGACGAGGTAGAAGTCTTTGTGCTTGATTTTGAGTAGATGCTGAGATAGTTGTATAAGGGAGAGAATCATCAAGAGGGAACTCTCATTTGTGTGCGGAAGTTAATTAGCGAACCAGCTCACTTGTCTTATTTGTAATTTCTATGTACGGCATCTCCGTTGGTCTTAGGAATCTTCACGTACTATTTATAATTTCAGGTCTATTTGCTTCTGTTTATAAATTAGAAACGTGTAAAATGAAAGTTTCTAATGAGCTTGAATATTGACGTTATTTTTGATAAATTTTATCAAATCACAAGAAATTTAATCTTTCTAATTTATTGACACTTTCGATGTACTTTATCATATTATTATAGATATTTTGTATTTAGATATTTTACATTTTATAATATATTACAATTTTTTTTACATTTTTGAACGAATAAAAATACCTAGATATATGATTCAAGAATTACAGATTTAGATTTTTATTTAAAAAGTTATAAAAATGTATGAACATAGCTTTTTATATAAACATGAAATAATAGTCATTTGTATATACATAAGTATATATATTGTATATAAAACGTTTACGCAAATTTGAAGTGTTATATTTTAAGAAAAAATAAAAAACTATATTTATATATATTTAATTTATATTTATAATTATATTTATATATTTTTTTATTTTCTCTTAAAAATATTACACTTTAAATTTGCATAAATATTTCCCACATGTGTACAGTAGTTTGTATATAATCGATTATCACTTCGATATCGAGAGAGCGATTATCGATATTGTAAAAAGACATTTCACTTCAAACGCTACAAATGCTTCGAAACGTTCAGATTAATAAGATAAGAAAAGAAGCATAAAAAAAGCAAAATTTTCTCTTTTTTGATTGGTCAATCAAATGCTTTTACTGTTTTCATTCGTAATATCAAGTGTATAGTGCACCCTCTATATAATTATTTATCGATGCCACTAGTTGGCGCCAACGAGTTTCCCGCGTAAACTTGGCGCGAACGAGTTTCCCGCGTAAACGCGGCGGCATTATCGCAAAACGCGCGCGGTGAAATGTACCCTCGGTCCTTCGGTGCCTTTAATCGCGTATCGTACGGGCGTGTGTGTGCAATTAAATCGGTGCCAATGCGTTTTCTATGTAATCAGCGGGATAATCTGTCGTGGGATAAAAGCATCGCGCCGAGATATACCGTCGAGCACATAATTGTATCGTAATAATAACGCGAGTCCGTCGCCGTAACCTACTATTATCATTTCTGTCGGTGCTCACCGGTGTTCACTTGACTCTTATCCAGGTAACATATTTTTATTTTATTTATTACGCTCTCTATTTTTCGAGGGAGAAAAGGGGAAAGAAAGAAAACGGAATGACGAAGGGTAGCGAGAGATATGGTTATAGATTGCGATACAATTTTTGGGCCGGACATTCCGCGGACATCTCGAGCAAAAACTAATTATCTTAGTCGAGCTTGCTTTCGGTCAGTCGGACTTTTTCTCGTGTTATAATAGCAGTGATTTATTATTAATCGCCTTACGCGAGACGTGCCTCTTACTTAAAGTATCTTGGGTCTGCGCGTCGTATCTTCGTTAATTAATTTTAATTTTTATATTATGTTTTTTTTAAGTCTATATTTCGGTGACGGTAATTAGTTTTTGCTCAAGTTGCTTTAATTTTCACATCATCGTTTCGGCTATATATTCTCCCTTACGGTGACAATATTTTATGTAAGTTTACTTCACATAAGTAAATTAATATTTTTTGTCATATATTTTTTATAATTACAAATATCACATTTCTATATTTAAAATCATTTTTTAATTTGTTTCATAATAGATATTAAAAGATATAAAAATATATAAAAAATAAATAAATAAAAACTATATTAAAAAATAGTGTGATATAAAATATTCGCATATATAATATATAGCAAAAAATATATAAATTGATATTATATATAGGAATCTTACCTTGATTACTTCCTTTAGGATGAAAGCAATATGCTCTTCTTGCATTCTTTTGCCATTTGCACTCATTCCGCGAATGAGATCCGAAACTGTTCCTCCCTCGCAGAACTGTAACATGTAATGACATTTAGTTAATTACAATTATATAAATTCATAAATATAAGTTGCTTAAAAAAAATAAATAGCAAAATTGTGTCCAATCTACGCATAAATATTTAAATTTATTGTGAATAACGCGGGGACTTTCATGCTTATACAAAATTTTATGTAATAATTATCAACTTTTCATCTACATGAATGTTAATTGAAATGTCATTTTAATTGCGGAAATAATTTGGATTATTATATGTGAGATTAGAAATTATATTCAATTAGAAATTATATTTGTATGTATTTGCAAATATCCGTTAATTTTTTTAGAATTTTTAAAATTCTTTTTTAAAAAATATTTTGCTTAAACTTACATAATATTTTTATTACGGATACTTAATAATTTTTAAATTTTTGTTACGTCTTACAAACAAAAGTTAATTCAGTCAGAGGGGGATTCTCATAGAGTTGATATTTGCTGGAATTAAGTCTGGAGAACTTATATTCAAAGTGTAATAAACTTCTTACGTCTGCAATTACATGAAACGTGCGGTAATCTTGAGCAAACGTGATCCAGCGATCTTCGTCCACGTGTTATCCCAGAATACGGTTTCGTGTGAACCGCGGATCGTAACACAGATGCTACCTTTCTTTCGTGATTTTAACGCGTGCTTTTTCAAATCTCACGTTTTCTTGTCAGCAGATCAAAAAATTATATTTACAAGATTATTTTTTCATATTAAACTGCATTTATATAAAATATCTCGGAATTTTATTAACTCTCGTCAGATGATTCATAGGTGTGTTTTTAATTTGGATCTCTTTTGCTAGAATAAATTGTGAACAACTTTTTTTCGGACGCAATGCAACGGATCCGATGCACTCGTGTCTTATTGTTAGTATAGGTGAGCTTCTCATCGCGGTCCATTGATTACCAATGATTCTACTCATGTCTCACATATATGCACCCTTAAAACTGGCTCGATATGAAATACCACCGGTGATCAATTCTCTCTTGTTTTTTCTTTTTCTTTCTCTCTCTCTCTTATCTTCTCGATATCTTGGCGCTCGTTTCTGCCTGAGCCGATTGACTTTCAAAATTGCTATTTGGTCCACGATGCACCGGCACGACGCGAGATGCTCTCCGCGAGATGCGTCTCCTTTCAACCTTCGTGGCACCGCGGTCTGTTGCGCCTTTATTGCGTGTAATCTCCGGCAACGAGCAATCAGCGGGCTTAACGTAGCGACCGGCGACTCATTACGTTTCTTCCTTGCGGATACTTAGTCCGTTTCTGAGCCTCGCACGCGAGTTCAAAGTGGATCGTGAGATCCAGACGGATTTCTTGTTGTTTTTTGGCGCGTTCACGCATTGCTCTTGAATCTAGAGCGAAACTCGAGGGGAGACTATATTGTAATAAAAGCTCTGATGAACGAGTCGAACAAGTGTCATATTTTATCATTAGTCGAGATTAATTAAATCACAGATTGATCAAATACGTGTTTTTTTTTAATTTCAGAATATGCTCTTGTGTCTAAATATATATTGTTTAGAAATGTTTATGAATTAAATTATTCGCATCGATTTTTAAAATGAAAATACTAATAACTAATATACTTATTATTTTAGATCAAAAAATTAGATTAGTAGAGAATAAAAAATAAATTTTAAAAATAATATATATATAATTTCATATTTCTTTATGACAGTATAATTTGCAAAGTTAATGTAAAATCATATTTCGCAGTATAAAAAGTCACGTAAATTTTGTAGAAAGTTTATGAAATTCAATATACCTTTCCTTCAAGAAATATTCTGTGCATCGAACGATAAAGGCGTGGTTGAAAAGGCGCCGATTCTCAAGATAACTCGACCGATTTTCGAGCACACGTATTACGTCAACTATCGTCGCTTTACCCGAGATAAATAATAATGTTTCGGGCACACACATCGTGGAGGTCCGTCCGTAAATTAGGGCCGCGACGTGCCGGGCCTCACCTGCGTACACGAACGAGTTTAATGATTGTTTAATGGGAGCGCGCGTGTCATAAATTATCCATGTATTCGACGCTCAAATGCTTGAAATTGCCTCTGGGTCCTGAGTATGGATATACACGGCAACCCTCACTTCTGGCCTCGCTTTCTCTCCTTCTCCTTCAGCCCTGTCTCCTTCATGTTTCGTTCTGCATCCTTATTTTTTCTCTTTCTTTCTCTTTCCTTCGCTTTCTTTTTTTATCGGAGAATTATGACGTTAAAAGAAACTCATTACAGATATATCGCACAATGTCGATGGGAACTTTGTTGAGATTTCGACCTTCGGTGTAATAAGATAATAATACATTTTCGATTCAATCGAGTTGTAGTCTATACAGACTAGTACTTAAGCCGTCTTTTTATGTCATCGAGTATATATAAATTTTTTTATGAAGAAATAGATTGTTATATGAAGATGATAAATTTTAAGAAAGAGTTAAAGAGAGAATTAGATAGATATATTAATTTTTTATTTTTATATCAATAATCTTTATGAGTTTTGTGTAGCAAAAGTGAAATGTAAGTATACTAAAAAGAATTTATTGAATTCGAATAAATATTGATTTCAATACTGCCTTACAAATTATTTATTTGAAACTAATAATATTGATTTATTTTAAGAAATGATATTTGATATAAGAAAATTATTTTCAAAACGGATTTTTATTTGTTTCAAATAAATGATTTATAAAGCAGTATTGAAATAAATATTAATTTAATCATTTTTTTTCAATGTAATATAGATTTAAAAATAGACAAGTCAATTGTGTATAAAAAATAAAAACCTGTATTGTGTATAAATTTAAATCTATTAAATTTGAAATAATCAATTATTTTAATCTACTGCTTACTTCCATGATGAACCATATCTCGTCGTATTCGGATTTTTTCGCGGATCGTTTGCGATATATTCCGTAGAAATCCGGGAGATTTGGATGACCAGCGAAATCGCGAAGAACACGATATTCCTCCACAATCAGAGATTGCGTTTCCGGCGTGAGCTTTTGAATTTTAATAGCGACCTTTTTATTTCCTGAAACACAATTGATATATATCGCGCAATTATTTTTTGTTGCTATAGATAGTAATTTTTCTATACTTTTATATATTTGTATTTCGACTTATATTGACAATAATATCTTTTTATTGCATACCAGCTTGTTGATCGATTCCCTCAAACACTTCGCCGAATATGCCGACCCCGATGCGATCCTTTAGCGCGTATCTTTTTCCCGGATCCTGAATGCTATCCATTCGTTTAAGAGTCCCAAGTCTTGCGTCTTGATTTCTACCCCGATTTTCCATTTCCATTTGTTCATCTCGATCGTTATTTATTCTCCGTTTCCCGTAACCAAAATCGTTCATCTTGATAGATAGCGTTTGAAATGTGCGGAATTTGAAGCCGAAATCCTATACAGATTCTCTGAAAAAATAGACGAAGTATCATAAAATATAATTAAATATATTGTAATTTACTTTATAATTCAAAACTAGCGATATGTTATTTTCGAAACTATAATACAGCACATCTACTATTTTCTCTTTTTCAGATACTTGTGAAAGTGAACATGAAAAATATTCGACGCCCTTTTCGCATCTTTGAAAAATAATCATCAGCGCCTCTATCTTGTGATCGAGCTGCGGAATTGAAGACATGACTCCGAACATTCTTCGAATATTTTAAGAGACGTCAGGATCTGTCGGCCGATGTTTTAGCAGCGTTTCGGTGAGTGCTAATTATATTCTCTCTCCCCGTGAACGAGGGGTAATCGTTAATTAGTAGCTTGCTTCCTGAAAGCTTCGGCAGGCGTTGCCGAAGAAGGATGCAGCAAAAAAAAGGATTGAGAAAGTAAGTAATGTCGGTTATGAACCCGACTTGCATCTCTTCCTCTGCCTATTTATCGGTCGTACATTTAATCGAATTATATTAAGCTTGCATCTTGATTTAATCAAATTCTTTCTATTTCAACAATTAAATACAGCATCAGTTTGCAAATTTCATTTATATGCTCCAGCAACTTAGTGTTGCATAAAACACAGGAAATAATTAAAATTTTCATAATGTAGCACTAATTTATCATCTCCGCGTCAATAAATTACGGTAAATTGGTATAAAATGTTCTCTGGAATGTATCATAACATTTTATTATAATTTTATCAAAGTACATAAATTTTACTTTATTTTACCGCCAATATAAATATTTGTTTTCTAGCTTTTTTGCAAGTATTAATATTTATTAATTTTATTTACTATTACACATAATTATCAAAAATCGAGTTTATATATACATTGATTAAGACTTGTAGGCTTTATACATATATGTATTCCAAGATATTTTATTATCGCTTTAACTCAATTCTATGATTTGCCTTATTCGTAATGGCAAATTAACACTTCCGAATGCTTGCAAGAAAATTAATCTGCCGTTTCCTCGACACGTATAGGTATTCTCGCATCTCCGCGAACTCTTATAAATCCCTATACGCAGATCGGCGAGGAAACGTGTTGCCCGATACGTAGGGCGAGAACAGAGAGAAATCACACGTCGTTAGCCAATTCATTTATTCCCGGTCGGCGCCCGTCCGGCATAATCCGTCGATTTGTCGGCGCGGCGTGTCCCGTGTAATGCCGCTTCTTGCCGCTTGTAATCGAGTCCGAGAGAAGGAGAGCGACTCGAGCGAGAGGATGGCGCGTCACTGACTATATGTGAACGGCCGTAAGAAAAGCGACTCGCGATCCGGAGGACGTTCACTGTATTCTGTCCTTCAGCTCCTTCCCTTGCTTCTGTTAAATCTTCGGCGCCCTCCGGGATCTTCCTGCCTCTGTCTCTCCCTTTTGCACCCTCGCACACCTCGTTGTCTTTCTCCTCCAGCTTTGTACCAGTGTCGGTTTATTGATACGGCAGGCGCTAAATTATTGATGCTTGACTGCACGTCGCGAAACAGCGCAGAAGAAGACGAGGAACATGAGAAGGACGAGAACAGATCCCGTGATTCCGAAAAAAAGCTTTCCACGTCACTCGATCTGTCATTCAGTCTTCCTGCGGTCCTCTTCGCTTCGACCTCTTCTGCGTATTAAACGTGTCTCAGGTGGACTCGAGCACCTCTTTAAAAGGAAGGAAGACGTCTGCAGGACGATGAAATGCGCGTTTGATGAGAAAGTTTCGCGAGATATTTACAAGGAACCATCTGTGAAGAATCTGTTAATAGGAGCGTGTCTGATATTCTTCTCAGGTTTTATTTCTTTCTGAGAAATTCATCAGTTTGTTCCTCGTTTACGTTCCTTCATGTTGAACCGATTAATAAAGAATGCGTACATCGCGAGTTTGAATAATCGTGATTCTGTTGGATAGATATTGTTTTAATGCCTTGTTTTATTATCACTACACGCAGAGAGAATTTATGCTTAGAATTTACTGGAAGAATTTTATGAGTTTCTCTGATTAAATATTTATCACAATAAAAAATATTAAATATCTACCATAATAAGATATAAAATATATTCGATCAATTTTACTATGTATATATTAATATTTTTTATTCTGGTAAATATTTAATCAGAAAATATTTCTATAGATTCTTCCAGTACCATATTGGTCCATGATTACCATGATTTTCAGGGTAAATCTAACAATAAGAGAAAATTCTCTCTGTGTATAAAAAAATTATATTATTTCTCAAAATAATATAAAATTGATAGAATAGTTATTATTTTCAATAATATTTTGAAAGTATTATCAAAATTAAATTTAATTGTGCGATAATTGAGTAGATAATAATTGTAAAAGATGCTAATTATTACAAGATAACCATTGTTTTAATTTCAACTTTTAATATCTTTTATGCGATTAATTATTGCCATCAAAATAGAGATCAATAGGTTTCGGCATTTCATCCGCGAAATCGTAAAAGAGAGAAAATCCACGAACGCTTCTCAATTAAAGCTACTGTGAGAAAGTTGATATTTATTGGAGGAAACCAACAATGAGTGGTACAAATATAATAGGACTCGGGAGTCGACTCCTCCCGTCGGAAAATATTACGGTAAACTACTGATAAGTGATTAACTCGCGTCTTTCCTCTTCCGTGCTTATGTAAGAACCGTGCATTTGTATTGTCATTAATCATTTATGTTTTGATTATTTATTGATTAAAATGTTTAGAAAGCTTTCGATTAATTTATACAAAATTGAGTCTTGGATATATGATAACTATAACAATTTTTCTGATTATGAAAAAAATGCGAGCATTTAAATCGCCGAGAAAACGATATAGCTTTACTAAATTATTTTTTAATTATTTCAGTGATCAAACTATCATTCAAATAATGTAAATATTTTTAAATAATCTATTAATATTAGTATTTATATAATATTAATATTATAGTGTTTATTATATTTATATTAATAGCATTTATTTAATTTTTTAATTATTTTCTAAATATTCTCTCTTCTTCGTTTCTTCTTCTCCAAAATTGTTTCTTTGTTATTCTGAATCTATATCGTTTTCTCGCAAGCACTTGTAAGGAAGCTGCACACGGGTCAAGTCTTTCCCTATACTGGTTCGAACTACTCGCAGCGTAAAAGCGCGCATGTCTCGAAGGCGGGACGCCTTACGCAGTCCTTTCTTGCTTAGTATCTTGTCCCTTTTATAGATACTCAGCGATCGATGCTTTCGGCAGATAAAGCTCGTCACAGCCTTTCGTTTGTAGATTCTGAGCTCGATGTGTCGTTCTCGCGTTTTCATTACGAAAAATCGCGTCGATTGTACGTTATCTTCGTCATTAATTGATACCAAGAACCTGATCGCACGATCTTTTCTTCGTTGAAACTCATGCAACATTTAACTTCTCGGTATACTTTCTTGGACTCGCTTTTCTTTTATTATTCATCGATATGTCGGAAATGCTAATATGAGCATAACTACAGTGAATAATTATTTATGTTTAACTATACGGAGAGAATTTTCTCTTAGAATTTATCTTTAAAATATTGGTAATCGAGGGACAATATGATATTGGAAGAGTTTTATGAGTTTCTCTGATCTCTGATCTTTTATATCCTGTTATGAGATATTAATATTTCTTATCGTGGTAAATATTAATCAGAGAAACTCTTATAAAATTCTCTCAACAGCATATTGTCCCACGATTATACCTATCATGATTTTCAGGATAAATTGTAAGAGAAAATGCTCTCTGTGTATAGATGTTTCTTGTGTCACTCCAGTAAAAAAAGAAAAAGATTATGTACGTCACATGTAATTAACTTGATTAAGCTGCTAAATCTCCACATACTTCCATTGGTAAACAAATATTACACTTCGAGCATATTATTCTTTGAGCAATATGTACATTTGCCATTCTTCGACTTTATTTTATTTTTTTCGCACGGTTCTCACATTCGCGATATAGTGCGATGACGAGAGGACAGCTTCGCGGAGTAAATTGCACTTACCTACGTAAGGGAACGCCGCTCTCTCAAGTAGTTCAGCGCACAACGAAACTCACCTCTAATTAAAACACGTTTGACAGGTCGTCATGCCCCGCGGCCTGAACTAAGTGTACTACGACGCATTCGTGTAGGGTGGCCGGTCGCGATTTACGCAGCGAGGGATGTGAGCGCAATCCGCTTGGCTTCCATGATCCAATAATGCCGACTTAATTAGCTAACTGCGAACAAGCCTGTTAGCTCATTGATTTCATTCGACAGTCTGCCGTTTGTTCCGCTACTCTGCTCTCTATCTTTCCCCACTCGGGAAGATCCATATTCTCTTTTATTCATCGTTAATAGAATCGAGTTTTAAGTCTTATCAAGAATTCTCCGCGTCACACGAATTGGCCCCTCTCATTCGAGCTTTTCAGATTGCTTACCCAAATCGAGATTTTCTTAATAAGTTTGCTCTGCGAGCGATGTGAGCGCTTTTCAGAGCTTTCTCTTATCGATAGACATTTTAATTTTATTCATGTTCGCGCCTATGAAAGGGAGGAAAAGAGTTACTTATAACACTTTTATGGAATTTTCATTACTTTTTTTTATCCTCATAATTTTATATCCTCGTCAAATTCAAACAAGTACTCTAATCTGCAATTATTCATTTGTTAGTAATGAAAGACCAAATATACATATATTAAACATTTATATCTATTATTGCATCATATTATTGCATAAAAAACTCTTACATTATTTTTTTATTAATAGCTACACTAAAAAAATAATTATTAAATTAATAAATATTTATTTCAATATTGCCTAATAAATCATTTAATTAAAACAAATAAATATTTCTCTCAGTGTACATTAATACCTATTTAATATATATTCATTTTTTATTTCCTTCTATTATAATAATAAAAAAGACATGCTCTATGAAATATATTTAATCATATATTTTATAAAATAAAAGATTCAATTATATATTCCTTAGCCAAAAACTTCACTTAAAAAAAAGAAAAAAAATAATAATTATATTACATTTTCTGCCTTGCGTTAATTTTGATGAGACAGCATTTTCTTGCGCGCACTGTGCGTGCGTAGCGGAAATGTATAATCATTATATGCATGTCCGGCATCCAATGAAGTAAATGGAAAGAGTAAATAAATAAAATAAGTGAATAAGAGGGGAAAAAACGATGCGCACGCTTGCTTCTAGTCTCGTTTTTTGGATCGATGCGCCTCGGAAAGATGAAATCTCCTGGGGGGCGGCGCGCGCGCGATAAATTAATGCGCTTTATCGCGGCTTCTTCAGGATCGTCCCGGCCGTTGTCGTCGTCAAAGGAAGCCGCGTTCGCCGTTCACGGGGAACCGTACAGAGTTAATGCGGATGCGCGTCTCTTACCGCTCCTTCTTGTGTCTCGCGAGTGCTTCCCTTCGGATTTCGTCCTCTTACCGCGACCGCGTATCCTGCCCACTTTGTTGCACATTTCTCCGCGTCATCAATTTAACAGTCTGTTACGCGCGAATATCCTCGGGAGCACATAAAAAAGTAATTAGCTCTCTTTCGCTTGGTGAGGTTAAAAATAATCTTCTGCAGTTTGTGGCAAACGATAATGTTTGTACGTCGTATGGGTTGCAACGGGACCGCGAGTTCGCATCGTAAAAATGATTCTGATGCATTGGGCTGACTCGAAGAGGATATGTATATATAACGAGTTCTTTTTTACAAATAAATTAAAATATAGAAAAAAGAAACGTGGTGAAAAAGAGAGAAATTGAAATAAAACTAAGTAATTGGAATATATTATTATATATAATATAACAATATATAAAAGATTAAAATTACGTGTTATATATAAATTATAATTATACTGTATGAGGTACATTGTGTGGAAATTTGATCATTAGAACTTATCTCTGATGAACTATCTTGCTGTTCATTTCATACAAAATCAATAAGCTTGCTCTTGCTTTTTCTTTTTTTTTTTTTTTATTTACCTTGCCTTCGGTCGTCATGTACCTTTCCTTTTTTTATTCAAACTGTTTCCACTGTTTCTTCGTCTCTTTCACGCTTTTTTTCACAATTGTCAGAGAAAAAGAATTGTCAATCGTACAATACGTGAAACTTGTATCGGTCACACTTCAGATTATTGACGACTCATATTAAAGAACGACATTCATACGGTATCGGTATCATAACGTAATAATTACATATTGATATATATGTAATTTTTTAATGATGGTACGTAAATATTATGAAGACGATTTCTTAATATTTTTTTTACACACATTTACCTAATTCGAAAAATTTAATTTCATATTTTTACATGATCTTTAAGCCTGGCATTTATTAATCGATATTATGCGCAGCGTTATCGGTAGCAGTAGTAGCGCAAATGTATTGCTAGACCAGACAGAAGTCACGCGCGCGAGTAAGATAATTAACGTTGATTGCTAGAAACTCCGCGGCTCGATTCAAATGCGCTTTTTTTTTCTCGGTAAAGATAGGATTAGCATAGATCTTTCCAAGGTCTTAATGCGCAGTAATTCATGACGATGATCGCTAGAAAAGGGGATCGCTAATATACTTCTCTGATTCGAGCGAGATATTCAAAATGAAATTCTAAAAATATCTTTGAGAATATAAAAAGTTGATCGAATTAATACTTATATTATAATATAATATTTACAAAACGCCTGACAATGAAATACGATGGAGATATAATTTGAAGGAACTCTTTTTATTGTACGCGCGCATTGTTAAGTTGTATAACAATCATGTCCGTCGAACACGCGTCTTGTCTAATAATACTGTGTTGGAGGTGTTACAGTTCACGTAGGTAAAATTAAATATCAATTAAATAGATAGCGTCATTAGATATATAAATAAATTATAGGTTCGCTTAACCTACGAATTATTTTATATTATTTACGCCGCATTACGGAGTAATATATAATATATATTACTTGCGCAAATTCTCTTATATATAATGCGATTAGATCTCTGCGATCGACATTTCTTCGATACGCTTACAATTAGTAAAATTCGCAGATGATTGACGATATATATTAAAGTATAATTTCCGTAATGGGCGTTAAGTAGAGTACAATTTCTGTCAGTCAGTTTCTTGTTACATCAAAAAACACTAATGCGAAATTTGAGTTTAGACTCTTCGATAACATACAAAATCTGCGCCATTCTATTTCGGCAATGAGAATTAAGACGAAAGGCTGCGTAATTTCAAACGACGACGAATGAAGTCGAAGATCGAATTACTATCGCATTCAAAGGTTTTCCATCTCTCCCCTAGAAATTGGATTTAATTTTACTAATAAAGATTATTACCTTTCTAATACGTTCACGGAGATCCAAAGGTAGCAGGGAGATATCTGCTCCTACATTACGATTGCCCAGGAGAAACTTGTGCCTGTTAATCCCGATTTCAATAAGAACCCTATATTATTGAATCCTCTCTCGACTTAAATACGTCCCTCGATCGATTCTTGGGACGACGAGAAAATCCCCGGAGTTAATTTCTTCTCCTATAATCATTCTCGAACTGTGCGAGACGTTGACCATCTTCGCGGAAACGAAAAGAGGAAGAAAAATCTGTATCAGTCTTTGACTGTCGCTTGCTCCTCTCGCGTCCTATTTGCAAACCGTGATCCATTCCTCCACCGTGCAGTTCTGACACTGGACGAAGCAGCACCAGTGAAACTTGCACTTGCATCGCTCCGTTCGCCGTTGCCGTACGACGTTGTAGCCCCTGCCGCAGCACAAATTCGCGCATCCGTCACCGCCGGCGCTGGTCTTGTTGCACCTGCGACCGGCGGTGCCGGCGATGTCGGCCGTCGGGTCCCGTTCGCAAAAGTTGGGCGACTTCTGATAGTAGAAGAGCTGCTTGCCGAGGTCCCGGGGTTTTCTCTTGCGGCCGGAACCGCCGTGATCGCGATGCTTCCTCTGCCTGTGCCGGCCATCGGGCCGCCTTCGACGCGATCCTCGAGCTCTGACAGACGGCGTCACGCTGCCCAGATTGCTCTGCGTCACCAGCACGGCGTTCCGGTAGCGATCCTTCAGGGCCTTCCCGACCATCCGGAAGTCCGGCGTGACCCTCCAGCAGGTCTTTAGCTCGCACGAACCGGACATCCCGTGGCACTTGCAGCGTACCTGCATGTTGTTCGCCACTGCCTGCAATTGTGGCGCAATGTTCGTCGGGATTAATCGAAATATTAATATTTGTGATCGCGCGAGATACTTTATTTACGTCGAACGTCGAATGCAAATCGAATATAAAGATTAACGCTGAAAAAAATTTGTTCATTTGTTTAGACAATTTATTTAATGTCTTCACCTTTTAATTATTTTGATATATAACAAAATAATGTTTAGTTGAAAGGCTTAGGCCTTTCAACTAAACATTATTTTGTTATATATCAAAATAATTAAAAGGTGAAGACATTAAATAAGCTAAATTATATTAATTAAAATTATTATAATTATTTCCGTATATTTTTTATATTAATTAAATTCATATAAGATCTACGAAAATACGTGTTGAAAAATATAAGATTTGAAGAAGGGACTTAGAAGGGTCGCTCGTTGTGTAGAAAAATTTCATACTTCGGTCGAGTGAAATTTAAATGAAAATTGATATAAGAATTCACAAAACAATCCATGTACAAAAGAAGGCGCGATCAGACATGCCTTGGTGGCCCCGAGTGACAAAGTAGCGCAAAGAAGCCGCTTCCACGTCGATTGACTTTGTACAAAACGGTCTGTCGTCTTTTTCATTTACGTCTGCCGCGATTTCTTTTTCGTTCAGGGAGGGCAGAATCGAATCCTTCCTCTTCAGATTGCGTTATTCGCGATGCCTGTACCGTCTTACGACATCGTCTGAAAAACTCCGGTTCTAACACGCTGTACAAACAGGTACGAGTCGCACGGATGCGCAGGGTGGTCAAGAGGAAGGGAGAAAAGAGGGAAGAAGGGAGAGAGGAGGGCTTAGTTTCTTTTAAACAAAGAGGTGTCGCGTACAAAACAGTTAATGAGTCTACGGCTGGGTGGTCCAGCCCGAGGCTTCGTCTTAATAACGTCGAGGCGAGAGAGCGAGCGTGGAGAGATCTATGGAGGAGAGAGGAGGAGCCTTTCTCTCTCTCTCTCTCTCTCTCTCTGTTGTTCTCCCTTACTTTCTTCCTCCCCCTCTCTTCTCCCATATACCTTTCTCCATTCCTCTTTCTCCCTCTTGTTTTTTTTTTTTTTTTTTTTTTTTCCGTTCTTTTATCACGGAGGAGGAAAGGAAGAGAAGGACCGCTAAAAAGTAAAAGCCGGCGAAAAGGGAGGTAGAAAGGAGAACGAGGAGAGGAGAATCGCGCGCAGGATAATTCGGAGATCTCTCACGGACCCACGCAAGACGGCGTGCGAGCTACATTATTCGCAGACGGACCCGGCACGCGATTGCGAATTCGCTTCCTCTCCACTCGGCCCTTTAACGGTACATTTCTTGCGCGCGCGTCTGCTTCAAGATTTAAGATGGCGTATATTAAATTTATCGTGGGATACTGCGCGTATGTACCAAGCTTGTTATAAAAAGACGAGAGTTTGCAATCTTTATTTTTAAAAAATGCAGTTCGGCTTTTTTTATCGATACGTTCGCTCGATGTTTGCCTGCGTAGAATCCGGAGCAAAATTGATATATTAAGCGGAGCATAAAGCTAGAAGAAACTTTACGCGAAAGATATGAGTATAGGGTTGAAGCGAGGTACTTTGATTAATTTAATCAGCATTTTTTTTTTTTAATTTAAATACACGAGCTATGTCAGAAGAGATGCGTTTACATATGCGTATATAATGCATTTTTTAAACTTATATATATATATATGAATTACATATTACGAGGGTTTATATCAAATTAAAAAAAATTATCTATTATATAAATTTTTAAAGATTACATTAGGAAATATTAATTCATATTTCTAAAAAAAAAATAAAATAAAATATATTTCTCATTTTTGAAAATATAAATATAATAATATAGGAGGCACGTAATATTTCTTCCTTCTCTATTCGTTAATGAATACGCTCATAATAAGGGAATTGAGCGACGTCAGGGATTACGAGGGTAGCACTTACCAAACGACCGGCTTGATTATTGTGTAGATTCACCGTAGACTGTATGTCGCCGCTTTTCTCCCGCGTGTCTAGGAACTGTCTCGAGAACTCCATGCCGTAGTCGAGATTGTGAGAGCAGCCACCCCACTTCCATTGAACGCCTCTGGCATTCACCGGAGTTTTACCCTTGTAATTCGAAGAATCGCAGCCGCAGGAAAGTAGGCGACCCATGCTGCAGGCACGAGCCACGTTATGAGCCACGCCAGCGGCCGAGATCGCGTACGCAAATGCAGTTTCCCTGTAACCTGTAACAGGTCGACGATCGGTTCACCATTGACCTTTCATTCGTGTTTCGACGGGAGTGTCAAAAGGCGAATCAACCCTCTTTCTCAATTTCTCGATTCTAACATAATAAAATTATATGTATAAAGTATGTTCTCTTGCGCAATTCTCTCTATTTTTTTTTTTAGAAATAAATATCGGGATGTCAACAAATGATTGTAAATTTTCTCAAATTGAGTTCCAGGGTGTCTAGCGGTCAGGGAAATCTGGAAAATTGGGCATTGTCAGGGAATTTGATAAATCTGGAATTGTTAGGGAAAAAGTCAGGAAATTTTACTATTCTTCTGGATTTTTTCACATTATTCTACATTTGTCTTAATAATTTGAAATTTTTTATTACAATAAATATAAACTTTTCCTTGACTCCCAGCACCTTAATCTTCTGTATTAAAAATTGATTCATCTACAGCGTGTTCGTTAATTTATATTTTCATCGTCGTGTTGTTTTATTTCAATGTGTTTGATAGAGACAAAACTAAAAAATTTGATATAATATAAATAAAAAAGGTGATTATTTAAATAGTTTATAGTGACATGTTTGTTTCGATTATCGTACATAATGCAGATTGTACAATTGATTTAAATTTTTGTTTTAACTTCCGAACCTTTTCATTGTTGACAAAAATATCTCAAGGATTTCATGATTTAACATTTAATTGATTTATCATATATGTAAATTATATATTTGGAAAAAATAATACTAAAACGTCAGGGAAAAAATTAATTTCTGGTCTTGGAAAATCTGAAAAAGCCAGGGAATTTTGTTCATTGCGAGTCTGCTGGACACCCTGAGTTTGCTATAACAAATGGATAATATAAACTTATTTAATGTATTGTGCGTCGATCTTTCGATACGAATGGAGGAGCAGGTAGCTCGACAGGTAATTCGAGATGCGAAGGTATTCGAGAAAGACAGTTGTCTCCGTTAGCAAATTGCTATCCGTCGTCAGCGACACCGACGCGGACACGACGCGGATAACATACGCAAGACTCGCGCTCTATCGCGGGTAAAGACAACGATCATGAAGCAGCGGGACACCGGAGGAGCTTCCGTAGAAGGGACTTCGGTAGCGGAGTTTGGGATGCGACAGACAGACAGCCATCAAGGCGCGGTTCAGAGGTAGATTATTCAGCCGTCCGTCAAAACAAAGCGCGGCCATCAGCAGCGGCGGCCGTCGAGCACATCCACATGTCCGCATGTATAATATAAACGATTTCGCGACGGGGTGCTCCTCCTCCCTTCGAGAAACGATACGATCCAAACTCCGCGAGAGTTCGAATAAATCGCGATTTCTCGCCCGATTCAACGGAAATCGCGAACGCGATCGCGTCGAGAATAGTATTGAGGTTCTCTTCTTTCCTCGACTCTTTCCGAGTTGAAAGATGCATTATTCGAGAATATTATACATATTTGTATATTTATGAAAAATTATGACATTAACAAAATTTGAGACAGAGCAGATTGATTTCTTTCGATCGTATCGGTTCGAAATTTTGTTTACAACAACGAAGAATCTTTTCGGAATCGCTGTCAACTCTGCTACACTAGATCACCCGACAGAATGAATCTGTTTAATCGTGTAATGCAGAAGGCAATCGGACAGCTGGCCGATTTTTTCTGAGATTCCCCGAACCGATAGAAATGTCGGGGATGAGAACTGCAGGGTGGACCCACCAATTTTCGGCGCGTACCATCCAACTCGATATCGCGACTCGCCAAGGACGTTAAGTTGCACGCCAAGAAATGCTCGTTCGCGTGAGACAAGGGAGATTCTTTATATGGTATTACACGATGGGAGGGGTGGTTGAGAGTTTTCGCTATATACGGCTATTGGCAGCAATGGCTGTTTTATAATGCAGATAGCTACCGTGCCGCGAGACCGTCGCTGTTTCCCGACAGCGAAAAGGACGGAGGGAGCGCATAATAAATCCTCCGCGAAGAGCTGTACGTCTCTCCTCCCAGGGACAGCGGAGAATCCGAGGTAGAAGAAGGAATCCTGCGGAACGCGCAGCGATCTCTGTTTCCTTCGCCTCGTCTCGTCGTGTAGAGGTCTTGACGTAGCGACGTAGTGACGGATGGTAGCGCAGGTCCTGCGCTACTCTCGCGCACGTGTCAGGCCCGAATCTCTATTTAGATAACTCAATAGATAGCGACCGGGGGGTCCCAGCAAGAATACGACGAGTGTCCTTCGGGAACGGATAGTCAGGAGACACAAATCAAACGGGTTCGACGAATCCGTTCGATTAACGACAAGCCCTTCCTTTATGCTTCTCTCTTTTATTAGCTCCACATTGCTTTCGAACTGTTACGAGTATATATTATATGTGTGTAGATTGATAATTGTAAGTTTTATAAGATTTAATAAAGTTTTAAAATGTATAAATTTCTTAAGTATTTTTGCAGATGTTATTATTTACTCTCTCTTTTGAACTTTGAATATTATGTATAAAAATATTATATACATGCATGTATACGTAGAGAATCTTGTTGAATCTTCTTGAAAAAATATCTACCACAATAAGAAATAAAAATGTTTGATTAATTTTACTATGTACATATTAATATATGTTTTATTGTAGTAAATATTAATCAGAGAAACTCTTCGAAAATTCTTCCAATATCATATTGTCTCACGATTATCATGATTTTCAGAGTAAGTTCTAAAAAAATTGCTCTGTGTATATATGTATATAATATTTTTAAACATAATGTTTAAATTTTAATTAAACAAAATATCTGAATAAAAATATTTTAGAATTATATATATTAGATTTAAATCTTTTATGAAAATTACAGTTATATAAATCAGTATATATAATAATGTATAAGTGTAGGGAGATAATATAGATAATTGAAAGCTGTTACTACATATTGCTATACTATTATTCGTTAATATCTTATTACAGAGAAGGTGTTGGTTCGTATAGCTGTTTAAATGATTTGATAAATCTTGCACGCTCAAGAGAATGTACCCTTCATAGATTTGAAATAAAACTGTGTAAGCCGCAGATTCGTTGTAATGGGTTTGCTCGATTAATAGAACTATAATTCGAGTGAATAGTTATTATTTATGTAGATGCTCGGCCGTTTTTTAATTATTATAAAATACAGGAGATATGTGCATATATGTGTATGTGTGTGTATATATTCATCATTCAGGCTATAACCTTCGTCTTCGCTTCTTAACGATGTTTCTTAACGAGTTCTACATATATCACGTTTGAGGTGATTTTTATGGAATCCTTCGTCGTCGGAATCCGCTACTCGAAGGGTCAAAGAGTGAGAGTCAATGGTCTGAGAAATAGAAGAAAGAGCTTTCATTTCGACGTTTTAGGCGTTTCCATATTTATAGCTATAAATCCTGTCGTCGCGGAGCATCGTTGCAGCGATCCGGTCCGAACTTCTTGTGTGGGCCTCAACGAGTCCGGTTGGAACGGTCGAAGATCGATTCCGTGTACTTTTCATAATACATTAAGTCGTTTTGCCGAAACCCGACGAAATCGTGACATTAGGCGAGAAAAGCCAGGGGGAGGTGGCGAGAGAGAGGGAAAGCAGGACCGCATTGAGAGCAACGAGAGGGCAAGAGGACCGTGTCCGAGTGATTTAGCTACAAACGGGCTCTTGTCGAGATGCCCGGGGACCCGAATTTGACACGGTGGATTTCTCGCAGACGGTCTCTCTCTCCACCTGGCCACCTTAAATAAGAGGACGGCTGTTGCTCGATGGACGGTGAGGTACGCGCTTTTCTCGGAAGCTACTGCCCTCTGACTCGAGAGCCAAAATCTAATAACGACCGACCGGTTGTTGCCGATGTTACGGATAATCGATGAATTGGACCTTTTTCGCGTGCCTTGGTCCCGCAATGGGACCACGAATGTAAGGGCGGTTTTTGTCATCACGAATATCCGTGCGATTGATGCGATCATTTGGGATTTCTCCGCGGAATGGTGTATCTTATTCATGCAGCGATTAAACATACATATTGCACACATAAGATATAAGGGAAATATTCGTAGAATTTTGTCCGACGAAAGACAACGTATCTTTTACGATAAAGAAATTCAAAAATTAATGATCAAATATGTACTTATATTTCTCTTATCTTATACTCTTTATTTCTCCATCGCATGAAAAGGGAACCGCGGAGAATGAATTTGATGGGAACGGAGGCGAAATATTCGCAGAGAGAAAGGGAATGAAATTCATCGGAGTAAGTATAGTCGAAGGTATCTCGTTAGGATTCCACGATCGGTCAGGACGGGTCGCTTTACATAACTCTTGAAAAAGTCGTGGAATCGACACCTCCTCCCGTCTCGCGGGCAAAAAAAGGCGTACCGATCCACGGAGGCAGATAACGAGAGGCCGGACGGGATGCGGGCCCCGAACGAGCTTAAGCTTTCAAGTCAGGTGCGCCCGATGTCGCGCTCTCGCGCATTCGTCCGACACGATATATGTTTCCTCTTTCGGCGCACGTACGCGCCACGACGAATTTATATGTCACACCGGAATAGGCCGACCGCAGGGTCTTCTTATGGAATTGGGACAGGTTTTCGGAGTCTGCCGCCGTGTGCGCTTTGATTTAAGAAAACGCGGGCGCTTCGTGTCACCTCTCCCGTCGTCGTAAAAGATTCCACTTTGTATTATTCCCTCGAGAAACACGTTTATCTGGCGATTACACGAGAGAACTTTCGTTCCCGTAAACGCGAAATATCATCGAATCAAATTTTCCAGTCGGACCGATTTGTCACCATATCTCTAACAGAAAATAAATTTTATATAATGTAATGTATTTTCTTCGTGTAACAAATAGATTATTTGAATAGTTTGCTTTATCTGATCAAGATAGATTAATTTTCTTTTATAAAGATTGCAGAATGATTTAATTTTACTTCGAAAAAATTACTTAAGAACTTCGTCCCTGAAACTACATTGTTTCGAGAGATCTGCGATACACACGGTAAAAACTTTCGGCTGCTTTCGTACTGTTTTTCACATAATTTTACCAGTCATTTCAGTTCTTTAATGGAGTCTTATACGTTTCGTTCATTTGTATTTATAGCGCGAACCGAGACGAATTTAATGATCCAGGAAACATTAATTCGCCATTAGCAAGCCGACAGCTTATTAATCACGAGTTCAGATCTGATCAGATAATTTCGCTCCTTAAGTATTCTCGGTACCTCGTTGAAGAAGGACGCTGCTCTGTTGAATTCTACTGCTGGGTGTGAGGGACGAGCAATTCCACCTGTGCCACATGAATTGATGCTGACACTCGGATATGGCCATTTGCAGGCCCTTCGTCGCGGCTACGGTAACATCGGGATTTCCGTGGCAGAGCTCGCGTTGCTCCTTCGTCAGTCCCGGTATGCCGTTACAGACGACGCTGTCGTTCCAATCATCCACGGAATTGCTCATTAGGCTAACTGCGCTGAAAAAGATAGAGAAATATTAATCGATTCATCGCTCATTTCTTCGATCGTCATAAGTGGTTACGATTAAGGATAATAGACCGTGTCGTGATTAAATACGTCAAATGAGCTTCGCTCTTTTTTTTATCGAGATCAGACGAGCTGGAAGATGTATGGCGAAATAAGTATGATATTTTACGACTTTTTATTCTTGATAGAGAAATCACAAAGGGTGTACCTTGAGGAACGCTGTTTCAGGTTTCTCACGTAAAAATGCACAAGAATCCTCGTAAAATGTCGCCATTGAACGCGGTATGAAAGTGTAAAAAGAGTAAATGGAGCTTTTACGCTTTTCAACGAGCCTCTGTTACGGCTGATAAAATCGTTAACGACGGACGCGCGCAATTAATTCCGTCGTTCGATTTAAATCGCAAGTTTCGAATAGCGAGGCGAATGATTTTCCCACGGGAGCGGTCGCTGATTCGATCGATTTGAGTGATTTTGGCTTCGGGGAATCTAGCTGAAGGCATTCCACGTGTTCACGATATGGCATGATCTTCTTTCACAGTTCCCTTAATGCTTTCGTCCCTTCTCGTTCCCGGTTATCGAATTCCCGATCGCGCATCACGCGTGGATCAGACGTTTATTAAAGGTATACACTACTTTTTCTCGATCTTCGCGACTCTGATCATTCTTTCGATTATCAGATACGCGCGCGGACATGCAACATGTGAAAAACGTTGGTTAACTCCCTTCACGCCTTTCTCGGAATATTTCACGGAAGAGAAATTGCTTTGCGTGTCATAAATCACTATCTGTTCTATCACGTGTGTCCGGAGGGATTTTCACGAAATCTCCAATATTAATTTTAATGCGAGAAATTCTTTGACTATACATGACTTGTATAATTGAATATTTACTGCTGCTTCCCTATCGTCAAATGTTGAGAAAATTACAGTATCTCATGAGAAATTAACGAAGAAGAAAAAAATGTGTAATAAGCTGTAAGTATTTACCGCCAAGTTAGAACTCGCATCCTAGTCTTTTCATCGCCGTTATTTCTCTTCCCGGTTGCGAACGTACATATTAGTTTAGCATGTGTCGAGTGTAATTAGTGACGACGTGCGGAAGCACGGGAGCAGCCGGTCAAGCTCGCCACCTGGTTAAACTCGCGAAACTGATTATCGTTGAGTTCTTCGCAGATAACGGTGCGCAAGCAATTGCACTATGGATGATTACTGGTACTGAGATAGTAGGAAACATTTTCGATATTTCACAATTAATATTTCAGGAAGAGCAGGGGAAGATTAAACTATTATTTATTTATATACTCTCTGAAATAACTCATTCGATTGATTAGCAATTTTGCTTTCGATTTACGAATCGAATTATATATAGAACAATAATATAGAATTATATATTTTAGAACGTGACAATTTTGATAGTAGAAAGCATCGATATTTTACAATGAATATTTTAGGGAGAGCAGGGAAAGAATAAACCATTATTTATTGATGTACTCTCTGAAATAACTCATTCGCGGTTAATTAGCAGTTTTGTTTTCGATTTACGAATCGAATTATATACCTATAGAACAATAATATATTGTAGAATTATATTTTTGAACGTGACAATTTTGGACTGATAATAAATATAATTTTGCAAATAATTAGCGTTTCCATTAGGCGAGAGTTTCTATCTGTTCGAGTAAATTTAGGAATTACCATTTAAAATTGAGATGTTGATTATATTTTATTTTTATTTGAATATTAATTAAAGAATTTTTGAATATACACGGAAAGAATTTTCTCGTAGAATTTATCCTGAAAATTGTAATTATAGGACAATATGATATAAGAATTTTTTAAGTTTCTTTGTGTGATTAATATTTACCATAATAAAAAATATTAATATGTACATAATAAATTTTACTATGTGCATAGTAAAATAAATCGAACATATTTTATATCTCATTGTGATAGATATTAATATTTTTATTGTGGTAAATATTAATCAGAGAAACTCTTATAAAATTCTTCCAATATCATATATATTATCTCACAATTACTATAATTTTTTCTTTCAGGGTAAATTCTACAAGAAAATTCTTTGTATGTGTATCGTTAAGACATATATAGAATTTTATCCAAATAGAACTAGAAATTAAAAACATAATGCGGTTGCATAATTTTTAATTTCTATTTATACTTCGATAAGACGCTCTATATCCCCAATAATACAATTCTTTGCAATTGATATTATTAAATTGATAAAGTAGGATCGACCCTTCTCTGTAAATGGCGATTTCAAAATTTTGCTCGGACAGATAGAAACTCTCGCCTAACGGAGACGCTCGTACGGAAGTATCGGAGAATCGGAGCCGGCTGCATCTCCGAATCTGTATACGATGCAGCACTAATCGCGGTCTGGGCCTTGCGCGGCTGCACAGCGCGCACTTTTGCGCACGCGTGCGTTGCTCACGGGCGTCCGCTTTCCTTCGTCTTTACGAGGCCGAGGTCAAGAGGTGCGAATGCTTTCAAAGAGCCGATGTAAAACCGTTTCTATCTTGCCGTCTGTTTCTGCCATACAGCGCGCTCTGCACGAAGGGGGATATTCATCCCCTGCTTGGTCGCGATAACGGCATCCATCTCTTGGCAGAGGAGCTCTTAAAGCGCTATCTTAAGTGACGGCTGCTGCCTAATGGTCGCGTATCGTAATACCGCGCCGTAGCGTACCGGGTGTTAATTAATTTCGAGGTGGAGAAAAGAAACGACAGAAGCGTGCGTGCGTGCGTGAGTCGAAACGCGCGTCGGTCTATCGAAAGAAAGAGATAGGAGGGTTCCTTTCGTTCGTTTGTCGCTGCGAGACCAACAGAGTCGTCATTCCCTGTTACCGCATTCTCTATCAAAATTCTAGGCGATCGTATTTTGAGGATTTTTTACAGCCTTTTTAGTAGTTTGCCGGATATATTTACAGTTAGTAAATATGAGCTATAAACCCTTATCTATCGAATTGTTGAGTTAATGCCTTGCTTTTCCGGGGGGTACGTCATTTTCTCTTATACGAATTTCCTTAATCCTTTAATTTTTCTAAATAAAATGGTTTTGATATAAGTCTAATAAAAGAACAGAATTATTAAGAATTATATTGAAGACGCGCATTTTTGATTGATTATCTGGATAATATTGCAGCTAAAAATATGATTTTAAAATTAAGCATTTCTCTCTCTCTCTCTTCTCTTTGTAGCGATTTATTCGGGATGGCACAAATTAAGTGCAGCAAAAGTGAAAAATTGCCTGCGATGCGCTCAGTCAGTAAAGCCAATAATTTTATGAAAATTAACGTAAGTCGTTAACACGTGAATATATCAACAATTCCTATCGACGATCATGGAACTCGCAAGATTGGCCAACAGCGCGAAAAGATCGCCTTCACGATCATTAATCTGCTCGTAGCGCCTCCGGAGCGGTTGATTTTATTTTTCTTGAAGGGACCCTCGGAGGGTCCTGCGAGATGTCACGGGTGCAAGGCTCTCCGTGGGTCGCTCGGTTATCTGCGGGTACAAATTAGCGGACGAGCTTCTTCTAAAGTAAAAGCTGCGTATAGCACCCGAATAGCGCGAACGAAGAAAGAGGCGCAAGACGAAGAAAAAATCGACGACAGCGAAGGCGAGGACGGGGCGAATGGGTGATAATAAGAAGAAAAGGGAAGAAAGGCCCTATGGAGATACTACGGTGTGTGGGAAAAGAAACGACGGTGTGGAAGAGGTGGGGTTTTAGGGTCGTGGGGTTATTGAGAGCTCCCATTACCGGTACACCGTTGCAGCCTCGCTATCTTTCGCGCTATTGATGATCTACCGAAAGCAGATTAATGATCTTAACTCCTTCAACAAATTACGGAAGACACCGTGTACCTGCGGAGGAAGTCGGATTGTATCAAGAGATTCTTTTCTGCTACCTCTTGCGCGCGCGCATTTTCGGCTTCCCTTCTTCGCTTCTGCATGCGTCTCACTTTGCGATTAAGGTACGGATATGTGAAGCGATCGTTTCATCCCTTATAATGATTGCGCAATCATAATAAGAGAGTGCAAAACTTGGTTTACTAATCGCTTTACTATCGGTAGCAATTACTCCAAACTATATGTTATACATATATATGTTTATTCTATCGAAAGGATCATTTCTTGGTCGTACATCTCTCGACATATGTATTAAAAATGGGTGGTGATTTTTTTATAATACACTGAAAAAATTCATGTACTTTTACATGGAAATTACTTGTTCAAAACTTGAAAAAAATTACTTAATTATCACTGTAATTTTTTTAAGTGAAAATACATATTAAATACATATTATATAAAAATATATGTAAAATATAGGTAAAATTACTATTTTATGCAAAAATCACTTGTAATTTGAAATTTAGTATTTTTACTTTATATTAGAACCTTATTTTATAAGCATTTATCTATTTTATTTATAACATTATTTTATAACATTTCCATGTTCAGTGGAATAATTTTAATCTTGAAAATATATATAAGAATATATTTTATATGAAATTACATATAATCTGTAATGTTTCATATGGGTAGCAATATTGCATGATTATGCTGGGTAAAAAACCCAGCACAATCATGTAATTTCACACAAATATTTTTCTCAGTATACTTTGTCAAACTTTATTAAAAAATTCGATCAAAAAGATAGATGCTGTCATATGTGGAACTGATGTTATAAGAGTTAACGTCAAATAAATGAAGATTGATCATGTATAAATATGACACGATATATCATCAATTAGAAATTAGAAATACGTTCATCCGATGCTATATTTCGAAATGAAGTAACGAGATGATGTAAACGCGATTTCTTGCGCAAACGCTTGACATTGCGCTTTTAGCGGCCGTTATAATTCCATTTCGCTTCGGACGCTCGATCTCATGGGAACCCGCTGGGCAAATCGGAGACGAGATACGCGAGCGCGTGTCCCGCATTTTTGCAATAATCCAAGGGATCGCACAAGAATCCAAGATGGCGACGACGCGGGAAGGGAGAGAGATGTACGTATTTTATTTAACCCCGTTCCGGTTTCTGCTCGCGGAGATGAGAGAGGGGAACACGGCACGGAATTTCACATCTAATGGGATATACCTAGTGGAAAGAAAAAGAGAGAGAGAGAGAGAGAGAGAAAGAGAACTTGCTTTTTTTCACGATCCGACTCACGAGAATACCTGCGGTAGATATCGAGGTGCCTCGCTCTTCCCTCGATCTTTACGAGAGTAAATCGATTTCGCGGCGAGTACATTGTAAGGAATGCGATAGTCTGCGAATTACGTTCTGCAGATGGTATCTAACGCGTAAGTTACGGCGACCTGTAACTTTGCGATAAAACAGGATTCTTCTTTAGTTCGTCAATTCAATCTTTCGTAAAATATTTCGCATCGCGAAATCTTTTGTTAATAAATCTTTAGTTTCCGTTTATATATTTCTTTCCCTTAAGAATATCAATTTCTTGAAAATAATATCACATCTGAGAAATCATAAGTCGCACTTATCCATTCATCACAAGTTACCGCACATCCGGAAGATCTCTCTTTCAGAATGATTCAGAAATCTCTTCCGATTCTGATCATAAGTATGCTACTTGAAAACAGTGTCTTTAAGGTTTTATCGATTTGATCGAATTTCTTTCTGTTTTCAATTAATATATATTCGCGTATTTCTTTGTCTAATTTCGATTGTTTAATTAGTCGTGAGAAAAATTAATATTCAATTTATTTAGCTTATTAAATTCACCATGAGAAAACCTGTTAATTAAAACAATATTAATTATACGAGGAAATAATTATTTCCTTCTGTTTTGACAGCAAAAATATTCAGAAATATTTCAATGTTTAAATGGATTTTATCGACTAGTTTAAAGTACACGTAGCTCCTACACACTAAATTCTGTCATTACTTTTACGCTGATTTATTCGCGATGCGTGAATCAGCGTAAGAATCACAATATATGTCAGGGAAAATTGTGTGCACATACGTGTCGAAACGTTGAGGATGCGTGTTGTGCGCGCACGAACCAGTTTATTGACTATTATATCATCAAAAGCGTAATTCAATGCCGTCCTGCAAGTCTGTCACGTGTAAGTATACGTGAATATGCGTGAATCTACTCACACACGTTCCGTTCCCGGATGCTAGGCGTAATTATTTACAAGAAGCAACGCGTGAGTCTCAGAGAAGAGCCTTTTGACGAAGAGTCGTTCGTGTGTATATATTTCGAGAACTTGTGGCGAATCATTGATGATTATCGGGTACGATACCTCGCCGGACGACGACAAACGAGAAACGTTATTATTATCACGAAACCCTGCGATTATAAAATTTATTACTTGACACTTTTATACGCGCGATACCGGATTTTACGACTACAGTGCGCCTGATTGACAGCTCTGTAAGTTTTACCAACGCAGCGATCTTTTTTTATCGATGTGATGACTTAATGACGAGAGAGAGAGAAATTCTCTCGAGTGTTAAATAAGAGAAAAGATATTACCTAATATTATTGAATACCTATAAAATATTTGCCAAAAAGAGAGAATATGCAATTTTCATGTTTGCATTTTTTAAGTAACAAATAATAATCCTCTTTGAAATGTGTATTCGCATGGATACGTATATACACCTGTCTCAAATTGTCAGTAGGTCTATTTAAACAATTAAAGCGATCCCTTTCAACGCGCATTGTCACAAAACCGACCCACCGGTGTGCTTTTCGCAAAAAGAAAAAAAGAAGTCGTTTGAGGCAATCCCGGAACACACAAGGCGCGATAAGTATTACGATCGAAAAGCTATAATAAAGATCGCAGCGGGATCCATTCTTCGCGATACGGAGCCTCGGTTGGAGCGGCCTATTTGCACTTCGTCATTGTGCATCTCTATGGAACCGTCGATACGACCGCCGGGTCGACGAGGAGCGCGCGCTATTGATGGATTCTTTCCGCAGAGGAGACTAAGAGAGTGGCTCCGTGGAGTCAGGAACACACAGAAGAAGACGCGCCGCGGAAAAAGACGTGGAAGAAGTCGGTCTCTTGCTACCGCGCTCGTAAATTTCTCTCGTCGAGATTAGACACGGCCGCTCTCGTCGCAGCTTCTCCTCGGTTGTCCCGCGACATTGTCGTGCCCTTCGGTGTACCTTATTCGTATACCTTCGCGCGGGACGTGAATTTCGTGAACGACTTCGCGATTTGAAGCGCTCCGTCGCAGCGGACGAATAAAGCCAGCTGAGAGTGACGTTTTGACGTCTGCATTATGGTGCATCGCGGCGCGTCGGAGTATCGCGTGGATCGAACAAGTACGAGAATACGACCTTCTCCCCGGAAGAGTATTCGCGGCGACGATGAAGTGTGAAGTGTGAAGGGGGAGAAAAAGGGGGAGAATGAAGAGGATGAGAGAAATCGTGTATCGCTGGTCAATCACGAGGAAGAATAGATAAAACGTTTAAGCGAAAATAAATTGGCGATGATGATGATGGTGAACGAACACGTAGGGAATAATGAATATGTATAAGCTAACGCGCATAATCTAAGAACGATTATGCGATCACCTTATAAATTTGATACGTACAACAGTTTGTTTTGTACGGCGCCTATATTCTAATTTGTGAAATTTAAATGAACAAAATTTACATATTGGGAATCTTGTATACCTAAGGTGCATAAAAAATATATTACTCGATTACATCTTATTTTTAGGGTAAAATGAAATCTGTCGATGTCAGTATTGAATTTACTATAGTTTTTCATGAATGTGAAAAATTGTTTTTATTTTTGAATATTAATGAAGTTTTAATATATCAAAAGATTCTATATATCTATAACAGAGCGTTGGATAAATTTGTCGCATTTTACTTCGCTAATTGCAACAAATATTTAATTTGGAAAATACAAAATTTCTGGACTATATATTATTATTTATAATTACGATTAGGAATTTATATTATCAATTCACACACGCAATACCATTCTTTCGCTTTCTCTTTTTACGAGATTAAATAACGAATATAAATAATTTAAATATATAAATGTTTAAAGACACGAACGATGTGAAATATTCACACGTGCTCACAGTTTTCATTCCAACTGTCGCGATCGTACAAATCGTACTTGAAACATATTAAAAAAAAAAAAAAAAGTGCAAGGGGTTCAACACGTGATTATTAAGAGATCGCGATGATAGTTACCAACGATGCTCGAACAGAATCAGCAGAAGAGCGACAACGGGGCCGATTCTCGTGGCGATCCTGGACGGCGGTCTGTTGTATGCGCGTCCTGTACGAGTTGGAGGCATCCTGTCATCGCCCCGAGGACGTCTCCTCTTCTTTGCCCACTTTAAAAGAGTCGAGTGCGACCCTTCGTCCAGGGCTGCACACCCCTAGCACCCGAACGGAAGGACCCCTCGCTCGAGATGATGCTGAAGTTGCTCCCGTTCTTGCCTCCCTCTTTCTCTCTTTCTCGTCCGCCTTTCTCTTTCTTTGCCCGTATTCTCCGGTCCCTCTCCTACTCTTTTCGCTGCGGTGCCTGTGATCAGCAGCCTGGCACGCGTCGAGGACTCGCCCCGGGCACCGGCGCTTCTCCTTTGACGTTCCGTGCGATTCGAGAACTCCCAGTTTCGCCGCTTCGAGGGTTCGTTTCGAAAACCACCCCGAGACAATAATATTCCGCGGCGATCGGGCGATTCATCGAGTGCCTACGCGCTTCAATCTCGGCAGGCTTGCTCGATGACGAGATCCGTAGACGTGTAATCACCTTTCTTCTTGTGACTCGTTCGTCTGGTAATGATGCTCCACTATCCTTTGATGCACCACTTACGCGTACGTTCTCTCATTAAAGGGGTCTCCGTTGCGTTTATCGAGGCAATTTTTTTGCTCAAATATTGTTAGATATACTTATCTCTTTGGAAGGGAAATACTGAGGGTTGATATTCTGCTCTAGCGTAGATCCAGACTTCGTCGAGGTATACGATGAGGTCACTATCACTAAAGTCTTTGTCGCACCAGCTCTGTTCTTTCTGTCTTTGGCATTCTCTTCGGCGCTGGAGAAGGACTTCGGCATAACTCGCCTCCGAACGATCTCTTTATCCGATTTGCTGCACCGCGAAGTCGCGGATCACGACACCTTTCTCGGCGAAATCTAATCGAAGATCCAGTGACATCCTGTCGTCCCTTCGCCTTCTATCGCTTTCTCTCAATTTCTCGACTCGTTAGGCGGAAAGAGATAGATAGGAGAGCTTGACGTCTCATTCGGCACTTCCGGTGTGTGTGCGCTCGCGGCGAAGTGTCAAGCTCAAATAAAAGAAAAGTCGCCCTCCGGATCCTCCTACTCCTCCCACACACGGACCATCACAATCTTCCCCCTTCCCCGCCTCTCAGCTACAGGTCTTCTTCCTCTTTCTCCTCAACCACCGCTTCTTCCTCTTCCACCGTGGCTTCCTCTGCCTTCCTCTTTCCCTCGCAACCGCACCTATCTTTCGCTCAGCTCGTGCAAACAGTTGAATAGCAAACTTCCCGCGATCGTCACGCACGGTGTGACGATGATGACAGAACCAGGCGAGGCTTTGAGGATTGCGGAAGAGAAAGACGTTGAAGAGCGGATGGGGGATATAAGGGAAAGACAAGAGGTCTGATCCTCTTCGAGGGACTCTAAAAGCGAAGATCGCGTTGGTGGTGCGAACAAGATTCTCGCCGAAGTCTCGAAAAGTACGAGATCAAAGATCGAGGTTGTCGAGAAATCACAAATGAGGCATTGGGAAATGATAGGAAATTTTGGAAACGTCAAGAAGCACAATATACGATCGTATATATATATGTGATGATCGAGAAGAGCAGCTGCTCGATCGAGGAACTCGAGAAGATCGCACACTTTCGTTATCCCCGTTATACTTTCCTCTTTTTCGTACGCTGACACGCTACCGTAGAACCGGAGAGATGGACAGAATCTGGACGATTCCACCTCTGTTCAAGACCGACGAGGAGCTGTCAGGGAGATCGCTCTGTCTATGATGAACTCGGTGCGCAGTGCGCGGCTACGGGGGCTCTCCTCGCTCTCCCATAGGGAGAGAAAGGAGATAGGGAGCAGTATAGGCACGAAGGAACCAACTACCCCCCCACCATAACCACCACCATCCGGACCACGACTACCACCACCATCGGCCACTACCCCGAGATTCGATGTGAGAGACGAAGAGGTACGGACAGAGACCGACTTGGCTCGGACGAGGACGACGTGATGTCGAGAGGGACCGTGAAAAGGAAAAATAGCGGAGATAGCAAGCGTGCGAGAAAGAGAAAGATGAAATGCATACACCATATCTAAGCTCTCGCATTCTATACATCTCTCTTTTTCCCTTTGCCTTTCCCATCCTCGGTTTTTTCCACTTTTGGGGCGACCCATTCTTGAAAAATTGTCTGAAAGTGTTTTCCCTTGGTCACTCAGATAAACGCCAACAGGTACCTGCTGACATCAGCAATCTGAATTTCGGGGTGTGTTTGTTCTAACGCAAAATATACAATATTAATTTTTATTTATATTTTATCATCTCTCGTGATTCATAAGTGTATGCTATTCTATAACGCACATTGTATTTTTTACTTTATTATTTTTATTGTTATTTATTTTTCATGTGATTTTCGGCGAGAAAAGAGAAATTTTTCGATTCTAAATTTTTGATTAAAAAATCAACATTTGTGAAAAGAAACTAGAAGAGCAATATATAAAAGAAGTTTTTGAATTACTTAACTGGTTCAATACCATTATTTCTATACATTAATCATTAATATTTTAAATAAGTAACACTAATAATTAATCAATATTAAATTTTTTCCAAATGTAACTTTTTATGTGCGTATAAATTTTTTTAATTTTACGTATTTGTACTAATATTCGGATTAAATCATCGAGTTTAATTGTTGAGCAGTATTATCTCGTCTTTTACCGAATTTATTCAATTATTCGTTGAAACGTGGCTTTACTATTCATTGAAACGAATGTAACCGTCTGTAAATGTTTTCGCTCCTTAAAGTGCATATTTCTCTATTATCATATAAATAAGCGGATTATCTCCTCGTTTCGACGTTTCGTTGCATTTTCCGGCTTCCGGAGGTTTACACCCTCCGCTGGATCGAAAGGAAGGAAAACAGGCAGGAAGGAAGGAAGGTTGTTCGAGATCACGTGACAGGATAAGTGGGAGGAGCGAAATTCCCCTACCTAGCATCACTCGGAGGAGTCAATCGGCATAATTGAGGTTTATCTTCCTCCCTTGTACAAACTACCGTCCGCCTACTCTCATCCCCTCTATTCTGTGAAGCTTTCCCTAGATCTTGATATTATTTTTTTAACAATCTTTTGCTAACAAAGTGATCGAGAGTCATGATCGTATTTATTCCCAAATATTTAGTCTTTTTTTATTTTTTGCACGACTAATCGTTCTCGTCTCATTTTTTTGTCTACACAATATCGACGAATTTCTTTTTTGAAGCAAGACAACTTGCAATCGTTAGATAGCCACTTCATTACAGACTCAATTGACAAGAAATGCATTTATCCTTTAAAAATATCCGTCTATACACATAGTTCGTGGTAGTCCCTTTTCAGCGTTCACAATCAGGTACAAAAATCCAAACCGATAGCGAATATAGAAACCTGAATCGAAATATCTATACGACATTCACTATCTACTTGTATATCTCATCGACTCGTGTTTCTCTCTATAGCCAATTAGCTGCGCATCCGATATAATAACTGTCGTACGAAGATCTCGGTCGGTGCAGCGATCATGAGAATCGCGAGGGAGCAAGTGAGCTCCCTGTTGTACATCCCCCGTCTCTCGCTTCTCTCCTCCTACCTTCGATCTCTCGTCGATGCGATGTGCAAGTGCAGATTTCATCGACGTGGTCGCTGAGCTGGCAATTAGCTGCAACGACCCCGGCTTGTACGCCGCGCGTGTATAGTCACCCCACGTGGTCGAAGATCAAACGACATCCTGACACAAAGCGCAGCCAGTTGGGGTCTCTCTCTCTCTCCCGATAATCGGTAGCGACGCCGTCCTTGTGGAGGACGGATGAATCCGCGGCGACTCGTTTGGTCACCCTCAGCCGCGACCTTTGACCTACGCTTAATTAGGACCCACGTGCCGAGAAGCAGGTGCGCGATTCGCGCTGGCAATCGTGTACGGTTGACGAGATCGTCGATTCGGATAAACAAAAGCAATTTCTATCGTCGAGAAAGTCGAATCCATTTAACTTTCAGTATTACACTCGTATATGGTAATAATAAAGCTTTATACTATCGCATCTCATTTTGGTCAACTTTTATTGGCGAAAAGTTTTATAATAATTTTTTTTATTGCTCGTTTCACATGGCCTCGTAATATTTAATAAGTTATCATTGTGTTTTATTGGCGTGTTATGACAAATTTGCCCAGTTATCGTTTTAAAATGTAAAAAGGAAAATACGGAAAAATATATACTTTATACACTAGATTTAATCTTGCCGTTGACAGTTCAATGTCTGTCGCGATTCGATCATAAATGCAAATCAGTCTAACATTATGCTCCGGAATTATATAGGTGTAGATTGAGTGGCGATTTATTGCGCTAGATCATTCTGTCATCATGATTTCTTTTGCCTCGCAGATCAGTCACGTTCCATTCGTTTTGTAAACGAACACTTGCTGGTTTCGATACTTTGTACAGCCATTCGTATACCATTCGTGCTTCCAGAGGAAGTAGCTTTTCTGTGCTCGATTTAATTTCTCTCTTTATCTCGGTCGTACTCCTTGAAACACGTATCCGCTGTCATTCTATCAGAGTGCATTACTTATCGGGCTATCGAGTGTCGTGACCGTGATCCTGGCACGCGAGCACCGATACGATCGGGTCGTTCGATCATTCTATCGTCGCGCAATGCACCGTCGCGTCGCTCGGCAACCTAATTGGCCTCCTCGAGAAAAGAGTACGAAATCCCTTCATGAAGAACGACGTGCAAAGAGGGAAAAAAGAGAAAGGAAGAAAGGATGGTGTCGTGCGCATTACCGATTTCTTCGGCAAGATCCGACGTTTCGGCCGAACAAAAATTGTCGGTTAATTAAATGTTCTCGTAAATATTCGCATACTCGCGTTCGCGTGTGTTATTGCGACGCATTAGCGAGGGGGTGATTTATGTCACGGTAAAGGAGAGAGATTACTTTAGGGCTCGCGATTGCCGTATCATGGCCGTAATTTATTGCACTATTCAATGCTAATGATCGTTTTCTCGAACGATGCGCAATGAGAGAGAAGGAGAGAGAAAGGTATCCGCATCCAATCTTCTATTTTAAACTACATAAGCGCGTATGCTTTCAGCTTGAGCTATCTTGGGCAAAAACAAGTGTTCCTCGCGATCTATAATTATAGTCTTAAACAGCATATAGTTTTTAACGAGTGTCTCTCTCTCTCTGTTACGACGGACGCCTATCTATGATATGCCATCATTTGTACAGAAAAAGTCGAAAAAATGTACAATTTTTCATTTTTAGTATCAGAATTTATTATATCATTGAAATTAATAATTATATATACGCATGCAATGCACATAAACGGAGCTAAGCTATCGTGGATTCTTTTATTATATTATTCTAATATTTATTATGCACATTAATATCTTTAATATTGAATTATGATCTATATTATTTTTTTGATTATACTTTCGAAAATAAACGTAGAAATTATTCAACTTATATCCAGTCGCAATGCATTTAACGAAGTATGTAAGTTCCTTTGAATAAAACTGCATACATTGTAGCGCAATAATTGATTGATGCGCGTGCAAAGCGTAGTTTTATTTTCGCAAGGTAGCCATTACTATGTCTTTAAAGGGAAGAGGAAGCAAAAGATCGCAAGAAAGGGAGACGCGATAGAATGGCGGTGTGAAAATCGTTGGTAATTGCAGTCGATCGCCTTCGATCTTAATTGAGACATCCGCCCGTTAGCAAGAAGCTAACTACAGGAAGGCAATGAAGAAACGATAATAGACGCGCTATCGTCTCTTCGCGCAATATCCTGCAACAAAAGTCAAGAGCAAAAAACCGTTTATTTCGATTTTTGCAAAATGCTTATCCTGTTCTATAAAAGACGAATATTTTGTGTAACGAAAGCTCTATACGAGATGCCCTTTCATGTACTGCATGTTAAGAAAAAAATGTGCCGTGTTAAAAAAGGTAAATGTTCAAAGAGAAGAGGCTTCAATTTATTATGTGTGTACATGTACATATTTAATATTCTAACATACGAGTATTGTAATTACAAAAGATTATTTAGAAAAGAAATAATTTTTATAAAATTCCCTTACATTT